GNGTGGTGGGCGGCGGCGGCAGGTGGGAAAGATAGGTAGGATGGGAAAGCTGGGATGGGCCCCGGGGGGTGGCGGCGGCGGCAGCTGTGATAGGTAGGTAGCCTCGGTTTTCAGCGTCCTCCATCGCTACTTTTTGCCGGTTACGGGGGAAGAACGCCCCGTGCCGTAGGCCACGGGCCACAACTAGTTGTAAGTTAACTATCAAGAGATAACGCTCGCTGATGGTCTCAGGCTGGCATCCTTGTTTGGGGGACTGGTCGCCAAGGTATTGGGAGTAGCTGCCTCTGCAGCGGCCTGTATGCATGCATGAAAGCCGGAATGGATAGCAGAGGGCCACCTGAGTCAGGGTTGCCTGTCTGTGCCTGCCGTGCCCAACGCTGCCATGCCTCTTGCGTTGCCGGTGTCAGCTGGCCCCAGCTCGCACTACCTTTCCCCGGAACTTGGCCGCAAGGGCTTCAGCTCTAGGCGTTGCAGCATCTCCGTACTGCACCAAACGTCGAAAGCTGGCGGTGCCTGTGCAGCTCCGTCCTGCTTCTTGCGTTCACACAACACTTCCCAGGGGCTGTCGCTGCTTCTGGAGCCAGCCTGTAGGGCCCCGAGCAAGACTGCCGGCAGGACGCGGGCAGTCTAGTCGTGACAAGCGCCACTGCGGACGCAACTGCCACCGTTAGACTGGTCTCGCACGGTTTCAAGGAGATGAGCGTGGGTGAGCAGGCGCGGGGCGAGTTGGTTGAAGTGACGGAGACCGCGCAAACGTGCCCCCAGCGGTGCCAACCGGCCCTGTCCCACCCTGAAAGTGATCTGAGCGCACCACCGCCGCCCCGCCACCAACGCTGTACAGCTGCACCCGCCGCCGCCAAGCCGGCCGTGACGGCCAACACCGTGACGCGTGACCTGGAGTTGGGTGACTTCAACAAGGGTGCGATACAGCTTTGGAAGGGGCCTCTGGGGGTTACACGGTGATGTTTAAGCTTGTTTTGACGTGATGCCGCCGGTGTCGGGTCTCAGTCCAGGCTGAGTACGTCTTGCCGCACGGTTGCCGCCGCACTGCTGCCTGCAGGCTACCTGAACCTCCTTTCCCAGCTGACCAAGGTGGGGGACTACGACGAGGGCACCTTCACAGGCAAGGCTTGGGTAGAGGAGCAACCAGGCGCGTTTCAGGGGCAGTGTGCTCGACTGCGGCCACGTCCGCTTTCTGCCATGCTTCTTGCAGCGCGCTTTGAGGAGCTTAGCAAGATGAAGGACACCTACAGGGTGGTCGTCATCGAAGGTGTGTCTTGTGTGGGCAGTTGCGGTATTCCTGTTGCCCCGGCCTGCTCTACTGGCATGCACCCCCCCACCCTGGGTTGCGCCTCTTCTGCTGCTGCCCTGCTTGCTGCCTCTTTGCTGCTCCGGGGCCAGCTGCCTTTACCCAACTGCATTGAGCTGCCCCACGCTGCTCTCCTCTGCCGCACTGCTGCTGCTGCACAGACCTGGACAAGCAGCAGATCATTGCAACTGCCACTCTGGTTGTGGAGCTGAAGTTCATCCGCGGTTGCGGCAAGTGCGGCCACATTGAGGACGTGGTGGTGGATTCCACCTACCGCGGCCTGCGCCTGGGCCTGCGTGTCATCGAGGCACTCATGGCGGCGGCGCAGGCAAGACGCATCACTGGCTTCTTGACATGGCGGCATCGATGGCAGACTGCGCAGGATTGTGATTGCCAGCATTTGATGTCGGGCTGGGCAGCGGGTGATGCACATAGCCCCTGCTAAAGCAGAACCTGCGGCCAGGCAAACTGGGATGCCATGCCTGCACCACCCTGCCATCCCCTGCAGGAGCTTGGGTGCTACAAAGTGATCCTGGACTGCAGCGAGGACAACGCGCCATTCTACGAGAAGTGCGGCCTCATTAAGAAGGAGGTGCAGATGGTCAAGTGAGTGGCTGGGGTCTGGGTGGGATGGGATTCGGCACGAGAGTTGTGTGCAGATACTGGTAGGCTGGGCTGCCCTTCGCTATGTGCCCGCTGTCTCACCCTTTCAGCTCCTCAACCTACGCAGGTATTTGTGAGCCCAAACGAACCCCTGGTTGGCCTGCGATGCCACATCAAGCCGCTCACTGTTTCAGCAGAGTGGCTTGGGTTTGGGCAAGGTCCCCATCATTCAACTGTATGAGCCGACCGTGTGACGTAAATATGGACGCGACTGACATCACTACACCCATGTGCTTTGTTCTGTTCTGTTTTCCTTGCTGCCTCCTCGGTATTTTTGCTAGTGCCCCTTTGTCATTGGGACCCTTGCCCAGATGACGCATAAACCTGCGGCGATGCCAATGCTTCTGCGCAGCAGGAAGTGATCATTTTGGCCTTTCAAGCTGCAGCAACAACAACGTTACTTGCAGCGTGAAAAGTAACCTGGAATCAGTGCAGTGGCAGGTAGCGAGGTGTGGCGGGCATGCAGGTGCATGCAGTGGGCAGCGGACGGCGGCAACACCAGCCGTCAGCTGCCCAGCTTGGCAGCATCTGCCAGCATTGCTGCGATCAGGCCCATCTTGAAGTTGTTAAGGAACCAGATGAACAGGCTTGGCTTCTCGGTGCTGTAGTAAAGATGCGTCACCACCTCGCAGAACATGAGCGTGATGACTGCTGCCAGCACGTCATTTACAGCCAGGGCGCCGAATGACAACGTGGCAATATTTCCTGCAGACACGGATGTCCGGGCAACATGGTGCATGAGCACAAGGCAGAAAGGTTTGCATGGACTGAATTCCCGCCGTGGAACGCACCTGCGTAGAAGCCGGCGCTCAGCGAGATGCCCGCCCACATCCACCTGCGCCACCAGCTCGACTCCAGGTAGCGATCCAAGCGCTGCGGCGCCGACAGGACGTACGAGAGCAGGCGGCGCTGCCGGTCGCGCGCCTTGATGCAGATGCTGCGCATGGGACAGGTAGCAGGCATGTGCCTGAAGGCATGTGCCTACCCCAAAAAGTGACATCCACCCTGGGCAGCAATATCACAGCAGACAACCCAGCAGGTGAAGGAGGGGAGCGGTCTGGAGGCTGACCTGAGCTGTCGCTGGATGCGGACTGGCCGCACCCTGGCATGGGGGAGGCGTGCCCAGCTCCTGCCGCCACCCAGTGCACTGCCCCAGCCCAGGCCGCGCCCTCCAGCCGCTGCCAGTGCGGAGGTCATGCCGCTGACAGGAGGTCATAGCGCCCCCATGGGAGCTGCCTTGGGCCGCGGTTGCACACACACAAACAACAGGCCGAAGCCGGTGTAGCTGCGTCAGCTTGTCACCGCTGGCCCTAGCTGGCAGGGATGGCGCGTGGACTGCAGATGTAGGGTTATAGTGTGAATTATACCCAGGCAGCTGTCCGTAACTAGCCAGGGCGTAAGCGTAAGTCCTAAACAGCGAGATGGAGCGTGCGGCCGTGTTGTCTCGACACTTTGCTGCAGAGGAGCGGCAGGTAGGCCCCTAGGCAGTCTCATGTGATTCTGCAGCAACGTTTGCAGGTGTCCAAGGCGGGCTCGAAAGCGCAGCTCGGCCGTCGGCCTGTGGCGGTGGTTGGTGGCGGCGGCTACCGGGCGCCGCCAGCAAACCTCCTCTACACGCTTGCAACACGCCTGTTCTGCTGTTCCTGTTTGCCTACAGCGATCCCCGCAGCTGGATGCACAACCTACGTCCGCACCTGGCAGCGGCTACAACGTGGCGGTGCTGGGATCAGGCGGCGGCATCGGGCAACCGCTCAGCCTGCTGCTGAAGCTGTGAGCCTGTGGTGTGAGCGCTGGTTACATTCCGTGCGTAACCATCTGACCAGGGCTGCCTGCTTGCGCTTCGCACCGCATGTTGCCTCCAGCTGCCCGCGGGTCCGGGATTTGCGGCTCTACGATGTCGCCAACACGGCAGGCGTGGCCGCCGACCTGTCCCACATCGCCACCGCTGCCCGCGTGAGCGCGCACACCGGTGGCGACGAGCTGCCAGACGCGCTGTATGGGGCCGACCTGGTGGTCATCCCGGCGGGCGTACCTCGCAAGCCAGGCATGACACGGGATGACTTGTTCAACATAAACGCAGGTGCGTGCAGGCAGTGGATGCACACTGCTCAAACATTGGAGTGGGCCGATGTGTGTGATGAGTGGCTGGCTAGCTGCCCCAGCGCCGCCTTTGTGCACCCTCTTCCTTGCTAGTGATGGCAGCTGCAGTGGTCAGGGGATCGCCCTTCGGGACAACGGCAGCCTGAGTTGCGGTGCGACGCAGGGAGCTGCTGTGGCCCAATCCCCTCGCTTTGCTTGGCCCCTGCAGGCATTGTTCGCACGCTGTGCGAGGGCGTGGCGCGCTATTGCCCACATGCCTGGGTGGCCATCATCTCCAACCCTGTCAATTCCACGGTGCCCATTGCTGCCGAGGTGTTCAAGCGCGCTGGAACCTTCAATCCTGCCAAGCTGTTTGGCGTGACGATGCTGGATGTGGTACGTGCCAACACGTTTGTGGGGGAAGCGCTGGGTGTGGACCCCGCAACCGTCAACGTGCCGGTCATCGGCGGCCACGCGGGTGGGTGGGTGGGACACAACACGGAAAGCAGCAGGCAACACTGCCAGGGCCCCTTTGGCCAGCTGGGTGTGCTAGCTCTGAGGATGGGGGCGGGCTGCAGGGATCCAGCTCCTTTCTCTGGGATAGCAAGTGCCGGACATCGTGTCGCACTCGCAGGTGTGACCATCCTGCCGGTGCTGTCGGCAGGCACCCCTAAGCTGTCAGTTCCAGAGGGCCAGGCCCGGGCCCTGATGGCCCGCATCCAGGATGCCGGCACAGAGGTAGTCAAGGTGCGCATTTTGCTGGCTGGTAATGTGGATTATTTCTGTGGTGCTTCCACCTGGACTGTCACTGGTGATTGATTGATGTCCTTCATCATGAATGTGCCGCACCTCCCTGCCGCGCTGCCAATGCCGGCGCTGCAGGCCAAGGCGGGTGCCGGATCTGCCACCCTGTCCATGGCCTATGCGGCCTCGCGCTTTGTGGAGGCCTGCCTTCGTGCCATGGCGGGCGAGGTTGGCGTGGTGGAGTGCGCATTTGTGGCCAGCAGCCTCGTCACCGACCTCCCATTCTTTGCCAGCCAGCTGCGGCTGGGCCCTGGGGGCATTGCAGGTAGGTGGGGTAGAGTGTGGGTGGGTGCGCATGTGCTGCCTTCCAAAATCTTGCCAACACTGCCCAAACATGCTTTGGGGGGCAGCCAGTAGCACATGCATGTGTCCCACCCCCCCCCCCCCCACCCACCACCGCCACCACCACCACACACACCGCCTTGTCTCGCCCGCCTGGCCTGCAGAGTTCCTGCCGCTGCCGCGCCTGAACGCCATGGAGCAGGGCAACTTTGAGTCCATGAAGGCAGAGCTGCGCTCCAGCATCCAAAAGGGCGTGGACTTTATGAACACGTGAATGGAGCACGACTCCTGTGTGCGGCAAGCACCTCAACAGTGTGAGCAATTTACAGATTTGGCGCGAATAGGTCACCTACTGTTGCTGTTTGAGTTTGTGTAAGCGCTATGATAGCAGTGTTTGAGCCCAGCAGCCAATTGCAGCGGAGGCGGGAAGACGGTTGCCCGCCTCCCTCCCGACCCCTTGCACAGCCTACCCTTGCACAGCTTCAGGCTCCCACGCTCTGCCCCAGGCCAGGTGCTCGACTTGCATTGGTCTGCTTCCTGCACATTGCTGCTGTAGTTGTTGCACGGTTCGAATTCCGTGACTGGACCGGAAGTTCGATTTTTCAAGATTGAAGAGGAGCGCGTTCTCCCTTCCCTCCCTCACTTCACTCCCGCACGCTCCCTTTGTGTCCCGCTGGCAACCCTGAGGTGCGTCCCGTTGCTGCGCTGCAGCTGGCCGCGCTGCGAGCGAGCCAGCCCGCCTCCCCACTCCCCGGTCGCCTCAGGGTTGTCAGGGGGTGGTGGCAGCGAGGCAGGTGCCCTGCGTGCGTGCACCACACAGGAGCCAAACCCGTCTTTTCCCAGCCGCGCTCTCAGCCCTCTGGCCCGCCTGCAAGGGTCCCAATCCACCGTGAACCAATCCCTAGCGCCTCTTGTGCGCTGCGGACTCAAAAATAACTGGCGCCGCCGTCCCACCCGCCGCTGCCCCCGCCGGCGCTGCAGGCGATTCGTGTGCAGCAAACAGAGCAAACTGAGTAAAATGGTGTCAGCTCAAGAAATTGACAACCAGCTTAAGGTCTGATGCGGCCTGCGCTCCTCTAACTCGAATGTGGTCTGCATTGCTCTTTCCGTAATGGCCAACAGAGGGCCGTCCCTGCTTGTTGCAGCCGCTGATGCTCAAGGACCTGAGGATACAGTGCCGCGCGCGCGGCCTCAACCCAGGCGGCAGCCGCGAGGCGCTGATGGACCGCATGAAGGAGCACATGCTGCAGACCGGCAACTTGTGAGCTGGTGCCGCGTGCCCACCCGGTGCTGGCCACCACCCATCAGCAACATTCCTCCGACTCTCCTGCCCAACCGACCCTCTTGCGCAGCACCCTGGTGACTGAGTACAATGGCGAGATTGCGCATGGCGTGCCGCGGGAGGTGGCCAACCGCGCAGACCATGCTTCGGAGGGCGCCATTGGCGTGAATAACAACAACTACTCGCGGAACGAGGGCCAGAACGTGGGGTGAGTGAGCGGGCCGGGTGCTGGCATGGTGTTTGTGGAGGCAGTGCCACAAGAGCTGTCCACCAACCTTGCTGTTCGCTGTCCCTTGCGATGCCTACAGCAACTTCATCACCGACCGGCCCTCCTCCCGCGTGCTTGCACCCCCTGGGGGCGCCACCAACTGGAGCTTTGCTGGCGACGTGCCCGCGGACCCCATCAGGGCCAAGGTGGGTGGCGCAGCAGCCCCGGGTGGCACCCCTGCCAGTGCGCACTGGTGGGCTAAAATGCGCCGTTGGCAGCCAGCTACAAAGCCCAGGGAGTCATGCCTGCGCACGGCATGCCGTCCCTCCTCTTGGGCCCCAGCCAGCTTTCCCTCCTTTTGGCCCGCACCGCAGCCTGCCCACTCGCCCATCAAGCAGGCACCCATGTCGGCTGCGGCGGCAGAGGCACCGGGTGTAGCAGAGGCTGTCAGCGAGGACCTGATTGGCGCTGCCAACATGGGTGTGGCACAGAACAATTATGCACGTCCCTCTGGGCAGAACGTTGGGTGGGTGCCCCTGCTGCTGCTGGTTCTATTCGTGTGTTTTGCATGTCAGCTTCTCAGGCTGGACTGGATGCTTCCAAAAGGCTAGGATATTCATGACGCATCTGTGTTACCCAGGAGTGCACCACTTAACTTGCCAGCTGCTTGCCTCATCCCCTTGCAGCAACTTCATCACCGACAAGCCCTCCTCCCGCGTGCTGGCGCCGCCTGGTGGCGGCAGCTCCATCGTTTTTGGCTGAGCAAACCGGTAGCAGGCAGACTCAGACTCAATACATTACAGCTGGGCATTGTCCATGGCTTGCTCGCTAGCTAGTTCTGTATCAGGCATTATAATGGATGCAATATGTTTGTTTTTTGGTACAAAAGCATTTAAAGCGAGTACATTTTGCACGAGCTCGATCACACAGCCATTATGTGCCCCGTGTCTCGCGTTGCCAGCGAGAACAGGGGCTTGGCGCCTGTCAGAGTCGGTGCCTTGCTGGGTGAGCTGTTGGCGGATGAGTGCTTGAGCAGAACAGGCTGCAGCTGAAGCAAGCTGTCCTGCGCCCGTATCTTGCGCAGGCGGGCTAGGACCTCAGGAAAGGAGGGCCTGAGTGGAGGGTTGTGCCGCCAGCATTCTTTCAACAGCCGAGCGAGGGCCGGCGGGCAGCCGGCGGGGATGGGCAGGCGCTGGCGCTCCACGCCCACGGCGAACATGACTTGGAGGGGGCTGACCAACTCTTGCCACGCTGGCAGGCCAGTTAACATCTACGGTTTGGGGAGAAAGGTCAGGTCGGCGCAGCTGCATTTCAACCCTCGTCGTCCCCAACATGCCAAATGAGGCAGCGCTCCACTGCTAATCACTGATTAAATCTACAGGGGCTCACCTCCCAAAGGAGTATGCTGTAGCTGAACACATCGCACCGCTCCGTAACCTGGCCTGCCTGCATCACTTCTGGTGCCATGAAGCTTGCCGTGCCGAAAGCACCTGCCTGCAGAGCCGGGCAGGCAGGCAAATGCAAATGGCCATCCCAACTTGCCAAAATGCTGATGCAGCTCTTCTCCTTGCCTTGTCGTTCGATAAAAAGGTGCGATTTCGGGCAGTAGCTAGCCCAAAGTCGGCCAGGCGGGCGTGGCCATCGAACCCCAACAGAACATTGCGGGCGGAGAGGTCTCGGTGGAGAACAGGCGGACGCTGCGCATGGCAATGCGCCAGCGCGATGGCCACGTCCTCTGCCAGCTGCATGAAGAGTCCCCACTGAGGTCGAAGCTGCTGGTGGTGGAGCAGCTCGTGAAGGCTGGCTGCCGCCAGCTCCTGCAGATGTGCACGGGGCGGTTTGCCCGAGCTTTGGTCGCGGCCTGGTGAGCGAGGGCAAAGGACCCGTCGCCCCTGAGCTTCCTCACCTGCACCACCGCCATGGGTGGCTCCAGGCACGCACCCAAGATGCGGATGATGTACCGATGCTGCAGTGCAGTCATGACTTTGACCTCCCTACACCCCAGTAGGCAAAGCCGATCTTGTGACTGAGTGATGCAAGGAGTGGTACGAGCACATGGATGGCTCTGAGAAATGCAGCACGCACCGGACAAGTTCCTTCTCGTCGGCTGTGGAGGGATGCAGCAGCTTGACTGCCACCTGTTCGCCCGCATAAGTCGCAGAGTACACGCAGCCCGCTGCCCCAACGCCCAGCAGCTTGCTCATCTGCACTTGCTCCTGTACATACGGGCAGAGGAAGTGCAAGATGGTCCAGTGAAGCACGAGCCAGCCGCCTTTGTCAGAGCAGGCCATATCCAGCAGCATACTCTTCTGCCTACCTTGAACTGCTGGGGCGTCAGCAACCGCAGGCCGTGCAGAGATGCCTGCTCCTTCATCCCGCCTCTGCTAATGCTGGTCTTGCAACCGCTTGCGGGATCCCTAACCTCTGTTTGTGCGGGTGAGTCTGTTGACGCGTGAACCGCCCACAGCGTGCCCCCAGACACTTCTGCCTGTTGACTGCTACAGCCATAGCTGCGGTGCTGTGGCTGGCTGAAGCTGCCACCAGAGCCAGCTCCAGGTTCTGCAGCCTCCTCCCCCCCGTCGCCCTCCTCCAAGGCCGCCAGGGACAGATCCTGGGGCCTGATGGTTTTCGCACCGGTGAGCTTCCGTTGGGCCTGCCCTTGGGGCAGCTTGCCAGGGCTAACATGGGTGCTGATTGAAGCCTGGGCAAGCATGGACGCAGTGCGGCTGCCCTCCGGGCTCGCACTGGGTAGCTCTGGTGTGGCCAGCAGCCGAAAGCCATGGGCAGCGTCGCTGGCCCCCCTGTCAAGTGCCAGGGTGCTGCTCCTTGCTGCCTGCTTGGCCTGCCATGACAGGTCAGTGTTGCTCGGCCCCGCCATAGCTGACGGGACTGATGCTGCCTTCAAGCTGGATGCCGGGATGGATGGGCTTGCTGGCTGGGCGCTGTCTGGAGAGGATGGTGTGCTGCCAGGGTCGCCAAAGAGAGGGTTAACAAAGCCGATCCCCTGGTAGGACATGTCTTGCCTCGCTGCCCACCCTGTCTTTGATGCGTCCCTGAAGCGCACTGAAGGGTCCACCGTGAGGTGTGCCAGCGGCGGCGGGCTGCTGTTTGCAGGGCTGCTGGCGTCGTCAGAAATGCCAGGGCTGCTCAGCTGCTCGTCTGCATCTTTGTCCTCTTCAGCATTGATGGCTGGCCGTTTGTCATCTGCCTCCAAATCAACAGAGGCACTGCAAGCAGCATCGCCATCGATGACATTCGTCACCGTCGTCGCCCAAACTGCAGCAGCTGCTGCAGCCTCCCCCCTAGATCAGACGGGCGCCTCAGCAGGCGTCTATTTGGCAGACAGTGCCAGAGCTGAACCGCTGCCAGCAGCGCGCCCGAGGAGCCCAGCAGCAGCAGGCCCCACACTGGCGCCATTGCAACAGCGGACACAGCTGGCTGAAGTGCGTGCGCTGCGACAATCAGCCCAGCTTTTGCTGCTGAGACTGTGGCGGCAGCGGCTGCCACTGCTGGTTGAGCTGCCCGAGCCACCGCAGCCAGACCGGCCTTCATTGCTGCAGTGCTGGCGTGTGCTGCAGTGCTGGCGGAAATAGCCGGCGTGTTATCTGCTGTGCTGAGTTCTTGGCCACCTATCAGCTCATCAACAGCAGCGACAGCAACCGAGCCTTCAAGGCGGGTCGCCACAGGGTTGGTGCTCGTTGCTGGCAGCGCTGCATGTACAGAGGCGTTGGTCGGCATGCCACAGCCAGCCAGGCCATATCGGCACCAGAGTGCTTGAAGACTATCATCCCCGCCGCCCGTCTCGAGTGCGCCGCCCGCCGGGCCGCCGCCGCCACCTGCAGGGCAGTCTCCAAGGCGCCTTGGAGGATTGCATATGGCCTTGGAAGTCACCACCCAGCATGCGAGGCTTACCGGCATGTGAGAACACTCGCTGAGAGAGGACGAGGAGGAGGAGGCAAAGCGTAACACATGTCCCCCGCGCCATTGCCCTCCAAGCGCTCTGACCACCAGTCGTTTATCGAGGAGACAGCTATGAGACTTGTCGCACATGGAGTCAACCTGGCATCGATGGCAGCGCCCCCATGGGGCCCCACAACAGCCACGACTCTCGTGCCATTTGCTTGAAAGATCTCTTCGCGGGCCCTCCATCCATTTCGGTTGCGCTGTGCAACTGACGGCGTGCCGCGGAAGGCGATGGCCACCGGCTCCCTGCGCACCCTTATCGCGCACAGGTGAGCAGGAGATACGCAGCCTTGCTGTCAGCAGTACGCAGCAGTGCCCTAGGTCCAAGGCACTAGGTTGAAGCATCGCGGGCCGGCCGCTGGCGGTGGGGTGGCCCGCTATTCGCCCACTATTCGCCCGTGCTATGTGTGCTGCAGAATGAGCTTGCGGTTGCTCCCCAGCCTCAGGATGGGACCTTTGTATGGCCGGCGACACTGTGTGCACAGCTGCACTTCGGTGGCCGCGTCAGCGGTGGCGGCAGCGAAACCGCAGCCGCCTGCCGTCGACCCTCCCCCGCTTGTCGGCTTCAGTCCTGACACCATCAACAGTGTGGTGGTCAGCGGCTTGGCCCTCAGCGAGCCGCGGGTGCATTACTTGGCTGCCAACCAGGTCGCAGCTCACTTCAGCCTCGGCCTGCGGCCGTGCAATTTCCGCCTGGACCTGCCACAGCAGCCGCAGGGCGCAGTTTTTGTTGATTCTTGGGGCCTGCTGGCGCTGCAACTTCAGCAGCACGTCCACAAGGGCGACCGGGTCCAAGTGCGGGGCGTGCTGCGGGAAGACACCTGGACGGACAATGCTACCGGGAAGCCACGGAGGGCAGTCAAGGTAGGGCAGAGAAGGGGCTGGATCAATGGGCTTGGTTGGTACTGTTTGGTGAAAGAAGTGAGAGGCCTGGACTAGCTGGCTGCAAAATGACGAGAGGATAAGGCTCCTGTGTCGGCGTTTTGCTGCCTGCAGATCATTGCTGAAGAGCTGGCCCTGGTGGCGCCGCCAACTGACCAGCACGTGGAGGGCCTGCCTCCCCAGCACCAGGAGCAGGAACAGGAGGAGGCTGACGGCGAAGAACCCCACTTCCCGCCGGCGCAGGCGCAGGCGCTGCAGCGTCCTCGCATGAGCCTCAGCGCTGAGCAGAGCCTGCACATGTACCAGCAGATGGGACTGGGGCTGGAGGCGATCGCCGCAGCCCGTGGCATTAAAATGAGCACCGTCATCGAGCATCTGCTGGCGGCCGCAGAAGTGGGCGCCTTCCCCACCGCTTGCTGGCAGCGGCTGGCCAGCGACGTTTGCCTAGGTGCATCCGACGCCTGGCTGTCGCCAGCAGAGGTGGCGGAGGCGGTGATGGCGGTAGAGCAGGAGAACCCTGGGGTGGAGCTCAGGGCCATCCCGCTCAGAGCCATCCGGCAGCGGCTGGCTGAGGGCGAGGGAACGTCGGCCAAGGTGGCGGAACTGCAGTCGAGCCGCGGTGGAGACCCCTCGCTTGTTTATGGGGCCATCCGTGTGGTCATCACAATGCTTAAGCAGGGAGTCTCTTTTGCAACCATCAACAGCAGCTCCAGTGCTTCGCATCCAACAAGGCAACCCCCGTTCTGACCCACCAGTGCTGCATGCCTAGCTCGTACATAAATCGTTTTTTCTTGTTTAACACACGTGGGAAGGCAATACAGCCGAAAACCGTACCAGGGCACTTTTGGCAAGCAGAGCTGGCACAAAGGGGCACAAACAGATTGTGTGCATGGCCCATAAAAGAGCAGGGCAAAGCGAGTACGCATGAGAGCACCGCGCGGAGCAAACAAGGGTGGATGCAGTAGGGTACAGGAGAGGACACCAGGGTGTAGAACGGGCGTCAATGAAGGAATTGTTAAGGGCAGGAGGAGATACAGTTGTGCACCCTGTACATTGCGCACAACGACAGGATGGGTGGCAAGGGCGGCACTCGGCTGCAGGAGATGGGCAGCACGCCCTCCACCTGACAGCGTGCCTAGTTCACCACGCGGCGGGGGCGGAAGGGGCCAAACCAGCTGCGCGGCTTGCTGGTTGCGGGCTGTTTCTCCACCATGGGGGAAGAGTGCTCAAACCCTTCGCCTGCCTTGGCAAGGCAGCGTCCGGCCACCGTGTCGCAAACAGGCAGGTCCTCAGGGCAGCAGTGCTGCTGGTCGTCGCAGCAGGTGGCCTTGGGCAGCGGGCAGCAGGCCCAGGTGAAGCAGAAGCCGAAGAACTCGCGCATGCAGCAGCAGGTGTTGTCGGGCGGGCACTGCGTGGTGTCGTCGCAAGAAACCGGCTGCGGCTCGGGGGGCTCGGGGCCGGGGCCGGGCGGCGTGGGAGGCGGCTCGGGCGGGTTGGCACCCTTCTTGATAGGGAAGGAGGCCTGCATAGCCACGCCGCACTGGCCCTCCTCGCCCAGGTTGCGCAGCAGGCGGATGTAGCCCTGCAGGGGGGCCGAGAAGAGAGCAGAAGTTGGGGGGGGAGGTCGTTGTACACGCAGCATTTCTTGCCTTCTCAGACCCAAACACAGTTTCCTTCCAATCGGCCCAACTCATGTGACGCACCTTGTCGCCCCACTCTGCACCCCACGAATTCTTGACCAGCCAGTAGGGCAGGTGGTGGGTGCCGTTGGAGGCGGTGCCGTAGCCCACCACCAGCACGCCATGGTCCAGCGCAGTGCCGCACTCGGCATCAAACACGCCGCCGCCATACAGCTGGAAGGCGCGCTGCAGGCGGGATCGGGCAGGCAGGAATGCCAACGGATTATGAGTTCTGTGTGGGGGGGATGTCTGGAATTCCCGAGCTGCTGCAATACCTCTTGTCCGCGCCACCCCTGCTCCCCTGCCCCAGCCCGCTTTGCACCTGGTCTGCCTCGATGGCCACACTGACGGGCTGGTTAGCCACCGCCTTCATCAGCGCGTGCTCGTCGTTGGGCGGCACATCCTGGTAGTCGTCGATGGTCACCACGTGGCGCCTCATCTTGTTGTCCTGGCACATGCCCTCCTCGGCCGTGTAGGGGTAGTCGTCCTCGGTGTCGATGCCGCCATTCTTCATGATGAACTCGAAGGCAAAGTCCATGAGGCCGCCGTGACAGCCGTTGTCGCGTTCACGGTCGCAGTCCACCAGCATCTGCTCGCTAAGCGAGGCCAGCTTGCCGGTGGCAATGGCGCTGGCGCCCTCAACCGCGCCCGTGGTGCTGAAGGCCCAGCATGAGCCGCACAGCAGCTGGTTCTTCACCTGGACACACAGCAGCACACGTGGAGGCTCGCGGGCAAGTAACGGGGGAGGTAGATGTTGCCATGGGCGCGCGGCCCATCTGGCCCACCTGGGCTTATGCAGTGGACTGACAACGGAACCGGGCTGCACCCTGTGTAAATGAATATGCCTGCCGGCCCGACGCAGCCCCTGCTGATCCCTTTCTGCCCGCGCACCGGTGTGACAGCCCCCTTGGCCACCCAGTCGACCTCCTTGGGTGGCACGGTGCCCTCGTACAGGAAGGGCGCAGCGCGCAAAGGCCGTTCCTCGTGCAGGTCGGCATTGTAGCCCAACGCCTTGGAGCGATACTCATCCTGGCTCAGGTCTGCATAAACGCCCATGGACAGCTGCAGCAAGAGACACACGGGACGAGTGGCGGCGCGTTGGAATACACAAGGGGCCGGCGATGGTGGTTGGGCAGGCAGCAGTTGGGTTGCCGGCCACTTTGTTGTGGCAAACAAGAAACAGCCACGCGGGCAGGGTCTGCTGCCCGAAGATTGAGTGCCTGACTCTGGCTACAAGCAGAAGCGCCTGCGGCGGCGGCGGCGCACCCAGTGGGACGTGTGCCCGGCGTTGTACTCGTGCACGAAGCGCAGGTTGTCCAGCCAGACATCGAAGCGACGCTCATACTCCTGCACGGAGCGAGAGGTGTCGGAGCCCTCCCGAAGGGCAGGGGCAGACTGCTCGCACAAAAGCTAAGAGCCACACCTCTGCGCTGGCGTAGGCTCGCTTCAAGGTCTGCACCCAGAAGTCGAAGGCCTCACGGGGGGACTCCTGCAGGAGGGCGGGGGAGCGCGTGTGTGCAAGGGCCATTTCAACGGCACAGTCACGCCCGTGCGCCCAGCGGCACCGTTCCAGCTCACCACTGCCTGCTGGATGAACAGCCTGTGGTTCTCGAAGGGGAAGCCGGCTGCCACGGCCAGGCACGAGCAGGCTACCAGCAGCACACAGGACAGCCGCATCGCGCTCCAGCTCCAGCCCCACAGGCAGAGCAAGCTAATCTAAGAGACTAGGCACCGCACGCACCATAGTCAGTACATGGGCAGTACAAAGTCCTGCGGCCCACATGCTCTGAGGGGTTTGGAGCCTCCCGTATGTATCCTTTTGCGCGCGCAGCTTCGATCTGTCCGCTGGAGTCCAGCAGCTCCACTTGTACCTTTTGGTTGAAAGGCAGCCCGCGACAGGTGCAGAGCAGGCGCCACCTGCTGCCGTGCCCGCACGATTTGGCTCGCCTCGCGGTCAGACAACCCAGCCTGCAATGGCAGAGCTGGCGGAGCCGGCCCCCGCACCTACCGGTGGGCCTGAGGCCGACATAGACGAGCGCTTCGAGTATGACGCGCCCCGCTTTTACGACTTTGATGAGGGCAGCCCCACGGGCGCGCCTGCAGCCGACGGCTGGTTTGACACCGACGGTCCAAAAGGTGCGGCGCCTGAGTGGCGGCACCTCTTTGGTTGTGGTACCTCTATGAGGAGCAGGGCACCGACAACCTCCCCAACTGTGGGCCCTTCACTTTCTCGCTGTTGCAGGCCTGACCACACCGCTGCGTGCCGGCCAGCAAGATGCTGCCGGTCCCAAACCGCCGCAGGTGTGTGGAGCGGCAGCCCATGTGTTTTTGCACCCTGCACTGCCTCTCCAACGTTTTCTTCAATAGCCGACCAACTCGCCTGCTATGTGTGCAGGGAGACGCTACTTGCGCCGCTGAGAGCGAGAACGCACAGCACGCAGCGGTGGACGGCAAGGGTGGCAAAGGTGCGGTGGATGGCAAAGAAACTTTTTCGGTCAGGAGGCCAGACCATGCCAATCACGTCTCTGGTCTCATTGGGCTCCATTTTCCCTCCCTATCATATATGGGGTTGGTAAGCTTACCCGCCTACCTGGCTTTTCCTGCGCTGCAGCCAAGGGGGGGTGCTCAGACTGGCGGCGCGCTCTGGGCTCCATTACCAACACCACCAAAGGGGGCCAGCAGGGGCCGGTCCCGCAGCCAGCCAACAAGCGGGCCAAGCGCAAAGCATCAGGGGATGCAAATTCTGGCGGTGCGGCAGTGAACGCCGCTGCCGGTGATAGCAAGAGCGGACCCGCCCCCAGTTCAGCACCCCTGCAGCAGCAGCAGAAGCACCGCCAGCAGCAGGTGCCACGCACAGATGATGATGCAACGGCGGCTCCACCTCCGCAGGCCGCCGCTTCCAGGCGTGTTGCTGCCGCTAGACCAGCATGACAACAACACCAGCTGCAGTATGCTGCAACCTCACAAAGGAGGTTGGGCATTTGTCCTCGACAGTTGATGTGCCGTGTGGCCAGGAACGAATTTTTGGCGTGTACCCTAAATGCTGCCTGTGCTGCCACCAATGCGCTGTGTGCAGGTTGCGGCTGCACTCACGCCCCCGCTCCACAGCTCGACATGAGAAGACGAGCGAGCAGGAAGAGCTGGAGCGGGTGCAACTGGAGAAGCAGGCAGCTGCAGCGCTGAAACGGCGTAACGCAGAAGCTGTGAAGCATGTGCGGCAGCCGCCGGCACCAGCGGTGGCACACAGCAACCGGCCACTAACAGAGCCACAGCCGCTGGAGCTGTGCACCTCCAAGCGCCGCCGCATGCATGGCATGGAGACGCGGTCCATGGTGCGATGATTGGAGAAGGGACAGTCAAATTTAGTTTCGCTGCTCTGAGCCCTGCCAGCCTGTGGACCCCCCCTGCAGGCCAGTCCCTTCAAATCGACAGCAGAGCAGATCGCGGCGTTTGAGGGCCGTCTACCCAGCAAAAGCCGCCTGGCACCAGGCAGTGCTTCTGCCGGGCAGGCCCACGTGGCGCCCAAGCAGCAGCAGCACCTCCCGGGCCATGGGGGCACCGGTATGGCGGGCCTGACAGTGCCCATGTCTCCGCAGTTTGCCACCAAGAGGCGTGTGCGGCCGCCGCGGTTCAAGCCACGAGAGGTGGTGGAGGCGGAGGAGATGGCGGCTATGCCCAAGTTCAAGGCCCGCCCAGTGAAGTGAGTGGGCTGGAGTGCGGCAGGAGCAGGGGCCGGCTGGATGCGGTGATTGGCACGCTGAGCAGATACTGACAGCTGAACCTGATGCATGTCACATTTTACTGACCCCCCCTTGCTGACGCTCCCCCCGCCTTGCTGCAGCAAGCGCATTTTGAAGGACAAGAGCGGGCAGCTGGGCGTGCCACAGGTTGGCACCAAGCCACCCACGGTGCCCGAGCCCTTTGCACTGAAGACTGACCAGCAGGCACTGGAGCATGACCCAGCCGGCGGCAGTGCTGCTGCAGCACCCGCTGGCAGCAGCGGCGCAGCGGCATTTGTGTTTGGGGCGCAGGGGGAGGGCATGCACGTCGCGCGCAGCAAGGGCTCAAAGAAAAAGGCAGCATGGACGCAGCTGACGCAGACCGAGCCGTTTGTATTGGCTACAGATGCCAGGGGGTGAGCTGCCAGATGAAAAATGGTGCCTGTTACAACCTGCCATGCTAGTTGAATGAAATTCTTCACAGTTGGCTCCGCCATGCTATGAATGCGCATGTTTGTTGCATGCCCCTTTTCCCCCTGCAGCGGCATCAAGCGCAATGCAGCAGACGAGCCGCAGCATGAACAGCAGGAGGCTCGCGCAGCCAAGCGGGCACGCAAGACTGCTGCTGGTCCCTTTCAGCTGGCCACCGACCAGCGTGGTGCGGCAGAGGAGGCTCGTATCGAGGGCATGCGCAGGCAGCAGGAAGCGCATGCGCAGCGCGAGGCAGAATTCAAGGTACGCAGTCAGATGGGCGGGGGGCACAGACACGTCAAAGGCTAGTAACTGGTGCCTTCCGTGCTGCCCACTCTTTCTTCCGAGCAGAACAGGCAAGGGCTGACATGCTGTCTTTGACAGTGCAGGCACTGCCACTGAACAAGGCTGTGTTGGCTGGGGCGTGGAAGCCGCCGCCCATGGCGCCCCATGAGCTGACTGTTCCTCGAGATGTGATGCTGCACAGCGAGGTGCGAGCGGTACAGCGACATCAGTTTGACCAGGCCGCGGCCAACCATGCAGCCGAGCTGGAGGCTGAGCGGCAGCACCTGCAGGCACTGCAGCAGCAGCAGGAAGAGGAGAAGGTGCAGCGAATGCGAAAGAATCTGGGGCACAAAGCGCTTCCACTGCCAGGTCGGCTGTGAGTCTGTGCGACAAACGGTTCCTCACCCTAATTGCACCTTGCTGTTTGCACGGGAGTCTGTATCGTGTTTCCCCTGATTTTGATGTGCTCCTTGCTCACCTGCTCTGCGAGAGAGCTTATGGTTTGTGTTGACAATGTGGAACCTGCCTGCCATGCAACTAGGCAGCATTCCCCAGGTGCCTGCCCGCCTCCCTACATCAAGGCTGACTATGATGTGATGCCTCTAATGCTCTTGCTTCCAACCGCCTATGCATCATCCTCATCCTCAAAGTCAGTTTCCCAGTCCTCCCCGCTCATCTCCCTGAATGCGTCTTCGCCAACCGTGTTCTCCTTCACGCACCTCCAAGCGTCTAGCTTGGCGAGATCCAGCGTCCAGATGTCGTCTGTGGGGGCAGGGCGGTGATGCCTGAGTCAGCGAATGGATGCTACCCCCAGCACATGGCAGACGCCAGCATACGAGGGGCTGGGCGCTCCCTCACCCAACACGATGTCGGTGTGCGCAATCTCCACCTGCAGAACCCAGTAAAGCATGGGCGGTGAACCCACCGATCACAAGCACAGTTCATCAACAAGGCTCCCCGGCAACGCCTAGATGAAACCATGCCATATAGCTTCGGCAATGCCATATAGCTTCGTGGCCTTTCACGACTTCGTCCCTGTGCCCGATGCTCACCTGACCACCCAGCATCCACATGATGTTCCGCAGGACGCATAGCATGGGAGCTGCCCGTGCACGTGGCTTGATCATATCTTGTGCATCAAGGTCAATGCCGTAGGTGGCAGGGCTGTATAGCAGCTCGCTGATCTCGCCACCCAGGCGGTAAGTCTTGTATGCCTGCAGTGCACTGGGGTCCAGGGCGGGCGTGCAGTGAAAGAGCTAGGCAAGACAATGCGGAACCGGAACAGCCCAAGCAGGTGCTCGAAATCACGCATTGCCTCGCACCAGGTAAAGCCCACCAATAATCCCACCCCATCGATGGCATGTACCTGGCGAACACGATATCCGCGGAAGTTTGCCTGAATCTTGGCAGCAGCACCATGCACCAGGCCACCCCGGTCTGCCAACATCTTCTGTAGCATGGCATGCATCTCGGGCCTCACGCGCTGTGGCAAACGGATACTGCCTCCGCCGCCGCTGTCCTGCCGCTGCTGCTGCTGCTGCTGGGTGGGGTCGCCGGTGCCGCTACTGGCTGCTGGCTCTTCCATCGCTGCTGCCTCGCCCTTGCCCTTCTTGGGTGGGTGGAGTCCTAGAGGAAACCAGCGCCTGTTCTCTAGATTGAAAGCGTACATGTCATTATACAGCGTTGAGTACAGTCTATCACCCTGCATCCAGCAGAACAGGAATTTTCTTGCGTGTTAGCATTGCCTGCAGCATGTGCTTGCATGTGCAGCATTGCCTGATCCTTATTGCAGCATTGCCTGATTTGCAAAAGCGAAGGCTGCGAAGCATCAATCATCTCAAGTCAGGGTCCCTGCCGCACCTTGCCCTCCTGATCCAGAATGCCGCCAAACAGCACGGCCCGCTTGCGGTGCGTCACCATGCCAAAGGCCGTGCGAGGGTTTGGAACCATGCCTGCACCATGTGGCAGCAGTGCTTTTGTCCTGCCAACCCATTGTGGTACAGCGCGCAACCAGCGACGCACATAGCCGCCCACCTTGCTTTTTGACCCGTTCAAACTCCAAACTCTTGAGATCGAGGCACCAAACTGCAAGAAGCAGACAAGAGTGGTGGAAAGGACGGCGGTTCGGCAGGGAACAGCAGCTGCGCGCCGCCATTGTGGCGCTGAGCAGATCTGCAGCGCACCGTCGTCGTGCATGACACCCTTGCTGTCCTCGTCATCCTCCTCCCCTCTCTGTTTCTTGCGCGGCAGGAAGCTGTCTGCACGGCAGAAGCCCAACAACAGCACAGCACTTAACCTGGATCACATCTGCCTGGCAGGCTCTGGCAGCTAGCTAACATCCGCATGGGATGTCTAGAAGCGTCAACAAACTGGCCAAAGGACATGCCAGTGACACAACATGCTGCCCACCACGCCGCTCGCGCACCCTTGTCCTCCTCCGTCTTTTTCACGCTGTAACCGCCGAATATGAACAGCTGGTCGCCGTTGAGTGCCAGCTGGCAGCCGCCGCGCGGCGCCGGCGCAGTATGCCCGGGTTTGGGCCCCAGAGACGTCCACTTTAGCTCCTCTGTGCAGAAACTCCAAGCATCATTGTAGTACCTGCCAGCAATGCCACCATGCTTGCCCAGCCGTGAGCAATGCGGAGATGCAGAAATGTGAATGCAAGATGCTGACAAGCAGTTGTCAATTGCCAATACACAAGGCAGCAACAATCGTGCAAGTGATCTGCCGAGGCTCTCACTTGGTCTCCTTGCCGTTGTCAAAGAAGCCGCCAAAGAGGAGAATGCGCTTGCCATGCAGTGCCATGCGGTGGCCGCTGCATGTGCCAGAGTGGGTTAAGTAACAGTAACAGTCACGCTTGCTCCTGTTTCAGCCGTCGCAGTAGGTTCCGCCCGTGCCTATTCCCCGACCGCCTGCCGGCCGCCTCGCACCTCCGGGGGCTCGGCCCGCCCTTGCTGGGTATCTGCTCCCAGGTCCAGTCGGCGAGGTTGAGGCGCCACAGGTCTGCATGCAGCAATCTGCATAGTGAGACCAAATGCCTAGAGTCTGAACGTGCCACATCATGATCACGTAACCTCAACACCTACCGCGGTAGTGCCGGAACTTCTCCTGGTTGAGAGAGGTGAACTCGCCGCCCCACACCCACAGCGCCGTTCGAGTGCACACCGCCTGGTGGCTGGTGCGCGGCAGTGGCCTGCGTACCATGGTCAGGCAGCAGTAGTGAATACGCCCACACACGCCCCGGGTGGTCTTTGTGGAGCAAGCGCAGGCAGTGTGCGGTTGCGCGTGTCGCACCCACTGGGGCTCACGACCTGCTTCCAGCTGAGTTTCTCCACATTCAGCACGAACAAATCGGAGTAGACGTGCATCCTGTCCTTGTCGCCGTCATACCTGCAGTAAAACGTTTTGATGATGCTGAAAAAGAAAACCAAACCAAACCAAACCAAAACAAGAAACAGTTGTATACCATTCCCCGCCATACAGCAAGACAAGGTTGTCCTTCTGCAGGAAGGAAGGCAGGCGGCCAGCTTATGGGCAGTTGCTCCTGCATTGTTGGTCTCAAACTGCTGTCAGCAATCGACAACTGCCCGTATTGGCCCCGCGGCGGGCGCCCCGTGCCTGGGATGGGATGGGGGTGAAGGAGGCATAGACGCGGGGCGAGGGCGCGGGGCAGTTCTCCTTGACCTCCACCCGCGTGTGCCGCTCGTCGTCAAGCTTAAATTTTGCCAGCACGGCGTCAATGTCGTCCTCGCCGCCCTGCAACGCAGCATTGGCAGCGTGGGGCTGGCGGTGAGCGCGGTGGTGGTGCCGGGCGGGGGCATGGCAGCGTAGCATTCTTTGCCTGCGCCTGTCGCTCCAAACGCCGCGTCTTCTTCTCCTCGTTCTGTTCAGTTTTCCGTTCTGTCTTGTCTGCTCCGGCCCTGGGCTTCTGTCCCGTCTGTTTCTTCCGCCGCTTGTCTCTGCGGGCGGGGGCGGGCGGGCGGGCTGGTGGCGACCTGGCGGGTGACGAGTGTACATGCGACTTTACATGCGTTTTTCATGTGCAACGCAGTTTGCAACATGGGTGGGCAACAAGGCCGGCGGACAACCAAGGCCGACTTGCACGGCGGGGGAGCACCTGCCGCTCCCCATTTTGCAGCGGGCCGAGTGGTCAGTTGCGCCTGTGGGATTGCCGTGCTGGCGGGCATGAAATTTTTTCGCAGTACATTGCAGTCTGACATTGCAGTACATTGCTCGGCTCTTCCACGCGCCCGACAGCACAACGGGAGCTTCTTCTCGCTGCCCGCTCAGCCTATGGTGTCGTGCCGGCACCACCAGGCATTCGTCCCAGCCAGCCGCGTTCCCGGGGTTCTCCTCGGGCACTCTGCTGCACTTTGCTGCATTCGGCTGAGGAGGCCTGCTCAGGATGCAGCTGCATGACGACGAGCTGCTGAGGCAGCTCGCCTCGGCCTTGGACCTGCACAACCGTGGCTCTACGCTCGTGGCATTTAGTTGGGGCTGCGTTTTGACGCTCACGTGCCTGGCAGTGGTTTACTTCTACCATCGCCACTCGGAGCAGCACAAACAGAAGCTGGAGGCGGCCGCCCACATGGCCGACGCCTCCACCGACCACCTCAGAGCCCTGCTGCGAGACGCGCTGCCGGCGTGGTGAGTCTGTCGTCTTGCTGAAGGCCAGCTGGAGGCAGTCACCCTTCCTGCGCATGAGCGTGCTGCCACCGCATGCACCCACCCCCAACCCACCCCCACCCCCCACCCCCCGAAAACCACCCACCCCCACCGCCACCTGTTGTGCAGGGTACTCGTGCCGGACAGCGCGCGCGTCGAGTGGTTGAATGCTGTCACGCAGCAGCTCTGGCCACACATAGAGCGAGGGGCCACAAAATTCCTGATGGAAGGCAAGCGCCTGGAAGGCCTGCTCAACTCCACCACCTTCTGGCGCCCACGTGTGTTGGCGGATGCCCAGCTGCAGGTCGCTGCGGTGTCTCTCGGGCAGGTGGGAGCCAGCAGCACGTGCTGGGCGCAGCCAGCTTCCCAATCGCTCTGCCTTGGGAGCCGATTGTAGGCAGGCGGTCCACCTGTACTGTGGAGGGGGTGTGGGGACCTTTCCTTGCTGTCCTCACGTTTCTCTGTTGCTCGATGCAGGAGCCGCCGCGCATCACCGGCGTGAAAACATTTCCTCAGCAAGGAGGGCAGGACAAGGAGGTAGGGCGTCACATCCTGAGATTGCAGCTGCTTGATTTGTGTGGTTGATGTAGTGCCGCCGTGGAGGAGGCTGGTGAGGCTGGTGCATTCCTCCAGTTTGGCTGCACCCTTGCAGGTTTTAATGGAGTACAGCTTCGTTTGGAGCTCTAAGCTAGAAGTGAAACTCCTGGTGAAGTTGCTGGGCAAGTGGCAAGGAACCAAGGGCCTGCGTTCGATGCTGTCGTCCGTCACGCGCCTCAAGGCAAGGAAGGGCGCAGCCCAAAGTTGATGCAGCGGGACAGCAGGATGCACAATGGATGCATGCTGGGGGATGCTCGGCGACGTAGAGTGACACCGGTTACAGTCCACCGCCTGCTGTATTCAAGCTGCGGGTTGGGTGCAGGTTGGGGTGTCAAATCTAGTGGCGCGTGGCACCCTGCGGGTGGCCCTTAAACCCCTGCTGGACGAGATCCCCATTGCCGGCGGCATCAAGGTGCCCTGCCTGCATGGCCGCTTGGGGGTTGATGCAGCACTGCAGCTTCTTAACCACTCGAGACTGTTCATGCTTTCAAAGGGATCCGCGCTGTTAGTCCGCCGGTGGTTCCAGGCTGGAACCGACGGACCTAACCTGGGTGGCTGGACTGGGCGCAGGTTAGCTTCATGGGTGCCCCAGACTTCTCTTACTCAACACGAGTGCTGGGAGGTGAGATCATGTCTGCTCGTGGTTGAGGCAAATTTCTCGATCGATTGATAGATTGTCTGCAACTGTCCCTCCCGACAGGGAACCCATACCTGGTCCCTGGAATCAGCCAATTTGTGGATTCCTTTGTGCGAGACAGGCTTCTGACACCCCTCAACTTTCCTGACGGTGAGCTTTGAAGCCAGGCTGCTTATCCTGCTGGTCCCTCAGCAGGCTACAGTGGCCCCCGCTCACCCTTGCATTCACATGCAGGATTCACTTACGACCTGGTCACTCGCAGCGTGGCATTACAGGAGCAGCCAGAGGGCCTGCTGGAGGTCACAGTGGTTGAGGCAACGGGCGTGCCACGCATGGACACATTTGGCAAGGTGCTCAGGGGTGGGCAACATTGCACTGGCTTCCAGCAGCCAGGCCATGCATGCTGGCCGGAGTTTGATCCTGTATTGCTGCCGTTGCCTGCAGTGCGACCCTTTCTGTAACCTGTGGGTGCGTGAGAGCCACAAGCTGCGCACCACCGTGAAGAGCCGAACACTGAAGCCCGTGTGGAAGGAGAGCTTCACTTTTATGGTCCACTCGACCCAGCACCAGGAGCTCACAATGGCCCTTTATGACTCAGGTGCTGCGGTGCTAGAAACTGAGAGGGTTCAGGTGCTGCCGAGCACAGCACAAACGCGAGCTTGCACAGCAGCAACTCGGTGGCTTGTCCTTAATCAACGGTGGTCCACACTGTGTTGTCTCCCCCGCTCCTTGAACTGCAGACTTTTGGAGCGAGGACGATCTCATCGGCCGCGTGTCGCTGCCGCTCACTGTGCTAGACCTTACGCCAGGTGCCGTGAATGACTACTGGCTGCCGGTGCCACGCGCCGGCACGAGCAGAGGCGAGGCAGAGGAGGGCAGCATGCATCGGCGTAAGCACACTGTTCGGATGATGAGCAACGGGCCCCATGGCAGCTCAGCAGCTAACGAGCAGGATCTGGGCTCCTGGCCCTCGACCGTCAGCGGCAGGGACGACACTGCCGTCTTCGCCACCGGCAACCTACCGCGGTCGACGTCCTCCCCTTTTGCTGCGGCAGCCGCCAACGCCGGAGTGGCAGCGGCAGATGGGCGGCGGGCGGCGCCATTCTCACGTTCCTCGCGGTCACCAGGGCCGCCCGAGAGGCAGCAGTCCACTGCCAGCGGCAGCAGCATGGCCACAGTGTGGTCGCAGCAGTTGCGGCAGCTGGCTGCCAACCCGCTGGAAATGCTGCGGTCCAAGCGTTGCATGCTGCACATCACCGCCTCCTACTTCCCGCTCACCGACCAAGAAATTGCGGCGGTGGCCAAGGAGGCGGGCAGGCAGCAGCGGGGGGAGGCGGAGCCGGCGACCTTAAGCAGCTCACTGGGGGGGGCATCACGTCTGCTGCGCAGGTGAGAGGATTGTGACGGAGAGCCTGTCCTGGGTGCTGCACTGCATTGCTACTAGACTTGATCGGTCGGTTGGAGCCTTTTTGTCCCGTGTGGTTGCAGCGGAATATTGTACGTCTGGTTGGACAGGGCCACAAACTTGAAAGCAAAAACGGGCTTCACGAAAAGAATGTGAGTGCAAGGGGGAGAAGAGCGGGGTTGCCCTCTTTTGGGGTGGGGCGACGGACCGGCAGCAGAAACAAAGTGTTTCTTTGCGTGCCTGCAGGAAGGTCAATGTGCGCGTGGGATCCATTACCAAGACGACAGAAAGGGGCAATGTGCGCGGCGGCATTTGCCTCTGAAGTACGAACCTGTGCAGGCGCTTTGTGGCTCGCTGAGCTCACTTGCGTCGTGCTGCCTGCAGGTGAAGCTGCAGCACCGCGCGAATCCTGTTTTCGAAGAGATGGTCGAGCTGATTGTGGACGGCGACACGGCGCAGCGCAGCAACACGCTGATCCACATTGAAATAGTCACGGAGCACCTTGTGCGCCACCCCTCTTTTCAGGTTGGGCTGGCGATGTGCTGCGGCTGTTGACTTGCCAGCTGCCTGACTGCGCCCCTCCTGCCTGTATCGACGAGCCACCGCCTGCCTGCCATCCATGAAAATCTGGATTCAATGATGCGCAGGGGAGAGTGTCCATCCCGCTGGGAGAGGTGATCAAGCAGCGGCGCTGGCGAGACACGTGGCAGCTGCAAGACGCGGAGCGGGGCAGCATCACCCTGGAGCTCTCTTGGCTCAGCGCACTCGCCATGTGACAGCAGGCAGGGCATGCTGAACGAGTGCAGTTTTGCACGATTTCTGATTTTGACCAACCGCAGAATTGTTGTGTGGGGTGCCTGCGGGACTTCTCTGTGGGCCGTGCTGAGCAGCGCCTTGGCGTGCCTCTTGTGGCCAGTGGCAAGACCAGGCTGTGGGAAGCTGTGCCCAGCTGTGGCAAAACCAGTTGTGGGCACCACAGGCCAGCTTCGCGGGGCCCCACAGCACAACCAACACCCGCCGGATGTCAGGCCTTCCACGGGTTGTTGGGCGGCGGCGGCGGCTGGCGGCTCGCATCCAGCCCCCCCGGCAGAGGCCGCCTGGAGACCAAGCAGTGCAGACCACTTGCGAGAATCCAGAGTTTCCAGGTCTGAGAAATGGCCCGCGTGGCAGGACATGAAATGTCAGAAATCTCTCCTGCAGGGCCCCGCTCCTCGTTGCGTGCACTCTCAGCAACCATTGGTTGGTGGGTTTTGCTCTCTGTTCGCAGAAGGGACCCCGCGGCCCCAAGCCGTATATGGCCGCGCGGTGCCCGGCCTCGCGGACGCTGCTGGCAGTCGTCTATGCGACAGTCCTCTATGCGACATGCACAGCACGCCTTGCAGCAGGTGGACTGGGGCGGCTGCCGACACCATCTGGGCCAAACCGTTGTGGGCTGCTCTTACTCGCGCGGCGCAATCCGCCAGCAATGTCCAGCGGGCGGGTGTGGTGCGGCCGTCGCACGCTGCGCTCAGCTGTCGGTCGCCACGCCTTGCGGTCCGACGCCCGCCCCTGCGCTGCCCGCTGTCGCAGGTAAAGCGGGCACATCTTGCCCAACGGCCAAGAAGTTTCTGACATGCGTTACGCCACAGTGGACAATGCCAAACATGGCCAACGTCATCCTCAACTCGAACACGCCAGCGCTCACCGTGCTCGATTTTCCGGGCAACGTCGACCTGCGAGCCATTTTGCCTTGGAATGATGGCGTCACCCTGTGAGTGCTGGCACCGCGCTGCCAGTGTCACTGCACGGCGCGAGCGATAGTTGTGTTGAAGTACAATCCCTGCTGGTTCTGCTGCGCAGAACTTACCGACGCACCAACCACAGCATTTATCAGTGCCAGGTGCCGATCTTCCCCGGCTACCAGCTGATGAGCTACGCCAGCAAACCTGCATCGCGATATCACAGCATGTTCATCACCTGCCCCCGCTCGCCAATGTGGACTGGCCGTCAAAACTACTATGTGACGGGCGCGTTTCGCAAGTGAGTTGAATGACGCAGGCTGGAGGCAGGATCCGGGCAGGAGGCAGCCGGCGGCAGGTGGAATTCATAGCAGGCTGGCGGCGGCAGGCTTGTGGGTAAACGGCGCAAGGGGTGCAGGCACGGCAGGCGTTCTGCAGTATGCTGCGCATGGCATTCCTGCTGGGCCCAGCGCCGTGGCACGGACATCAGCAGACATTGCCAGGGCACCACCCTTACCTCTGCGTCTCATGTCCTGCAGTGTGTCGTCACTGAGCAAGAGGGCGATTAAGGGCCTGCCGCAGCTGCAGGCCTGGAAAACCTTCTACATGCCCGTTGCGCGCCATCTGAGCATGTGCCTCACGATCAACCCCTGCCTTATGAATGGTGCGCGCTGGCGGCACCACCGCTGTTGCGGGTTGCCATTGGTGCCAGCAAGCGGGTGGCGCACCGTCCTCGTCTTTGCGCGAGTGCCGCTGCTCGACGTGATGCCTCGCGCTGCCATCTCCCTTGCAGTGTTTCTGGGCATTTCCAACCTGCAAAAATGGGTCAACGTGCAGGCGCAGGGAGCATCAGTGGAGATCTTGCTGCAGGAGTATTTTTACTCATTCGGCGTCAACACTCTACCGCCGGCCTGGCGGACTGCCACCACCAGCTTCTGGCTCATGGATCCTTCGGCGTTCAATTTCACCGGTGCGATCTTTGCTTTGACCTCATGGCCTGCTGAACCATGTGACATCACACGTGCAGCTTGCACTGAAGTGTCCCCTTGTTTGCAGATCGCAGCCGGCTCACCACTCCTCCATCTCTTTGTTCCTTCTCTCTGCCTGTAGGGTGGTGGTATCCTGTGGAGCAGCTCACGATCTCCACTGGCCGCACGTATGTGAAAGGACGCCTCAATAGCATGGGCAGCAACACTGTCACGATGCCCTGTGCCACGCTGGACCTTGGGGGCCAGAGCACCGCGTGGGTCCTCTGGCGGGATGACAGCAGAGTGGCGGTGTCCTACCAGCTGGCGGCGGCACCAAACATCCGACTCTGGGACAAAATAGACCTCACCCTCTGGTGCGCTAGCTGCTGGCGATGCCGTATCTCCAACGGCTGCTGGTTGCCTGGCGGGCGGGCTGGGGGTGCGTTGCTTGGCAAGCCCGTCAGGAATGCCACCCGCTACCTTGAACTGAATGCAGGAGCGCCGGCGGGGCGAAATTTAAGAATGTGCAGCTGCTGACACGCAGGCCCAGCTGTCAGTTCTGGCTGAATGGTCCTGTGGAGAATGTGCCGCTATGGCGCATCATTGGTCAGATCCCCGCCCTAGGCTCCATCATGGAGCGTGTCTACAGAGATCCCGGCTCAAGCACAACCGACAAGAATAGGGTTGCCTCCATCGATGTTTACCTGGCTGGCACCAATGGCGTCTCCGTTCGGCTGGGCATGCAGGCCGGCACCTACAGGCTGACCTCGGCGGTGAGGAGGGGAATGGTGCTGCTGCGGCTGGCGAGTCAATGGCATGCAGCTGGGCTGGGCTGCTGGGCATGCTGCTGTGCACCAGCAACGCATTGTCACACCCACACTGCAGGCACAACTGCGCACTGGGCAGAAAGTGATCAAGTCCCCGCATGTCCTCATCTTCACGGTGAGTGCGGTCACACCGCCCTGCAGCCCCTTACCATAGTGTCACCCCAAGCTTCCTTTGTTGGGGCGCTCATGGCTGCTTGTGCAATGCTGCAGGCCGCGTTCGACGCCGACACCTTCAACAGCGGCGTCACGCTCGAGCAGGGCACCACAACCACACCAATCCATTTCTGCTCCACTGTGGACGACTGCCCACAAGAGTATGAGTACTGTGACGAGATCGAAGGTGTATGCCTCCCGCTGGAGGACTTTACAACCACTGCTGCAGCAGCAGCCAGCGTGAGTGCGGCGGCAATAGTTGCCAACGTCCAGCCAGCCAAGGGCAGCCTGCTCCTTGGCGAGCTGTGCAGCAGCCGGGAGCAGTGCAGCTCAGGGCTGCACTGTTTCAACGGACATTGCGCAGAAGGGGCATGAGGCAGGCGTGCCGTCAAGGGTAGAGACGTTTCTTGATGCCTAAACACCACAACGTTGCTGTCGTGAGGGATGTACTTTTGACCTGAGGCTCCCATGCTGTGGCGTTGTTACCCATCTGCTGTAAGTACATTCAAAGAGCCCCAACTTTGCTCTCGCTCACTGCTTGGTGCGGGGAGTGACTCAATACAGATTATCATGGCTGCTTGGAGCAGGCAAGCCGCAATCAAAGCCCCACCTGCAGTGCTATCGCCGCGGCTTCTTGCCGCCGCCACCCCCGCCACCCTTGGATTTCCGCTTCCGTGCAAACTCCTCATTGCCACCGTCATCTGAGAAGCTGCGCTCCCGGTCCTCCGCCGCCGCCTGCTCCTCCAGCTCGTCCCAGTCCAGGCCTGCAGGCGGGCAGGTGCAGGATGGTAAGGGAAAATGCGCAAAACAGAGCATTCCATGGCATGCCACTTATCGGCTATGCCACCATGGAGCATCATGCATCGAACCACACAATCACACCTACCCCACTGTGCCCCTTGCTCACTCACCCGCCTCCTCATCAGACTCCGCTTCGTACTCGCTCTCCTCCTCGCCTTCGCTCACCATCGACGCATCCTCGCTGCTTGCATCCTCCTCACTCTCGCCGCCCGCATCGCTGCAGCAGGGCGCCAGCTCATGCCAGGCAGCAGCACCCCAAGCAGCGTCAGAGCCTGCAACTGACCAGCTCGGGGGTGCCTGCCAAACACTAGCAGCAACAGTCCTGCCACACGACTCGGTGGCTGGCCCACGCCGTCAGCGCACCTGGGTGCAAAGTCGCTCTCCTCCTCGTCTCCCTCCTCCTCGCTATCGCTCTGCTCCGCGTCCAAGAAAGACCAGCCGCCGTCCTCAATGAAGCCCTCTGGGTCCTACAGCCAGCGAATACAATACAACTGGGGCCAGCTGGGCGCTCCAAGCCAGTTTTTCTGCAACGCCGACCAGCACAGGTAGGAACACGTGTCCCGACCCCTCTGTCGCCCTGTCACCCACCTCCTTGATGGACTTGAGGATGTTCTTCCAGTTGAGGTTGACCTTGGACTCGTAGTACTTGATTTCAATGCTGGTCAGCCAGTCCTGCAGGACATGACATACATGGTATGTGTGTTGAAGGTGGGGTGGGGTGGAGTGGGGCTGGGGATCAGTTGGGCGCCCCAGCGACCAGGACTCATTGGAAGGGGTGGGGCCCTGGCACAACACATGAGGACAGCACAAGAGTGCGGCCTGGGCCCCTAGCTGCGCGCCTTGATGGTGTCCAGCGAGGTGGAGGGGATGGAGTCGATGCGGCCCACATCCCGGTTCAGGTCCTTCCAAATGAACACCATGTCAAAGTTGCGCAGGTTGAAGCCCACGCGCTCCAGATTGACCAGGTTGACCTCTGCACGTGGACGGAGCGGGGTAGCAGCTGGAGGCAGATACCACCAAATGACTGCCAACAGCAGCTTGCAAATTACCCTCGCCTCCAGCGGCGCCCTGCCCCGCCTGCCAGCGCCAGCTGCGGCCTCTCACCCCCCAGTGTGATGACCGTGAAGGGCATCTCTGTCAGTTCCACCAGGCAGTTGACGGTGGGCATTATGAAGGAGTTGGTGCGGTGGGGCACGCCGTGGAAGCCCAGCTCCCGGAAGGGCACCTCAAACTCCAGGTTGAGATCGCTGCAGGCAGCGAAGGGGTGCAGCGTGGAACAGGGTTGTATGCGGAACAAGTGTAAAGCAGACCAGCAGGCAGTCCAGCACTATAGCAGCCATTGCTGCAGGCAGGCACTGTAGCTGGCCTGGCTGCGTTCCAGCCCCTGTCTCTCCACCTCTGTCCTCACCCATAGTCTCGCTCCCAGATGTCCTGCTGCACACGCTTCACAAACTGGTTGAACTGGCGATTGATCTGGTTGCGCCGCTCCCGCTCCCGCTGCTCCTCCTCAATTTCATCAGGGTCATACCTGCGCGGGCAGCATGCAGCATGCGGAGGGAGGCCGTGGAGCGCAGCGCACAGCGCAAAGGCCATGGCCGCAAGCCTGGGCTTACACATGCCAGCTTGAGCCAGAGCCAAAAACCTCGACTCACATGGACCGCCGCCCTGCATCCAGCGTCTGCACTGAGTCCATGACCTCTGTGTAGAACTGCACGTCGTTGGTCTTCTTCTTGCCCACCATGATGGGGTTGACCAGGTGGAAGTGCACCAGCGCAATCATCTCGTTGTCGGCAGGCTGGAAGAAGGCATGCTTGATGTTGCTGCCGAGCAGGGGCCGGGGAGCGCGGCAGCAGGGGCCGAGGCCTCAGCTCATTGCCAAGCCAGCAAATTAGGAAACAAGCTCCCCTGCCCTCACCGGTACATGATGTCCAGCTCCTCCCCCTTGGGCGAGGTGTAGCGGAAGCCGTTAAAGTGCGCCTCCAGCGTGCCCGTCACCTTGCGCCCCTTGCCGCCAAATGCCGGCCGGATCCACACATCTGGCAGCGCGTACACGCGACCCTGCGGCAGAAGAGGCAGGGCTTGGGACGGTGATGAGATCTTGTGCTGGGCGGTGCCGTTGGCATGCCACATGCAGATGGATCATCCCACCTGCACCATGGTGCCATCTGCCCAGTCCGTCACTGCTGCCCCCCCCTTCAGAGGCCCTCTCCTCCCCCCTTGCACACCTTGCCGCGCACGAGCTTCTCCTGCTGCACGAGCGTGGCGCGCTCCGCCCGCTCCTTGTCTCGCTGCATCACCGCGCTGCGCAGCGCCTTTATCTCCTGCACCACCTTTGCGGCATGGCGGATGTCGGAGGAGCGGAAGGAGAGCTCCTTGAGGATGGCAGCCTGGGGGTGCTTGGCGCACGGCTCATATGCGCCACTGAAGTTAAAGTTGAGCCGGATATAGGCATGCTCGCCATCCTGCGAAGGCAAGAAAGGAGGCACTCAGGTTGGCAGGCATATGGGAGAGCGCGTGGCGCCAATGGCAGCAGCAGCTGCTGAACAGGGGTGTGCTGGTACACGCGGCACTAGGCAGGCAGTGTGGCACCTGGTTGTTGGAGGCATTGCGCACGGTGAGGATGTGGAAGGGCACGAGCTGGCCATAGATGGGCACAAGCACACACTCGGCGCGGTGGTCCACCTGGTGCCAGGACACAAATGGATGAACAGATCAGCAAGGAGGGCTTTAAACCGCATTTGCGTCGTGTGGGATGCCTGGGTCTCCCCCGCACCTGCACCGTTAGGCTGTTGTTGTGTTGCATGTCTGTCACGCTTCGGTAGGCCTGGATGTCGGTGATCTTACGGCCAACGCCGGAGCCGGCGCCGCCCCCTGCGCCGCCCTTGCTCAGCATGTCCAGCGTGGCCTGGTTCACGCGCTGCAGCAGGTCCTCCTGGTTCTCCTTCTGCCGCCGCCTGCAGGTGGCATGTCAGCAACGGCAGGTATGCTGCCTTGCAAAGAAGTGGCTGCTGCAAAGAAGAGGCTGCTGATGGGGGCATAGCAGCATTTCAACAGCGGGCAGGCTGGGAAGCAACCCGACACCAGCCCCCACTGTCCCACGCTCGCACCTCTCCTCCTCTCGGGCCTTGAAGTCGACATGCTCTGTGCGTGCCGACTTGCGCATACCCACCTCCGCCAGGGCCGCCACATCATCCTCCACCTCCACAACCTCCGCCTCATCCTCACCGCCATCCTGCAACGAGCGCAGCAGGGGAGGCAACAGCAACACACGCAACAGCGAGTGTTGTGGTAAGACAGGCGGACTTCCCGCCCCCATCCTAACTCTCCCAGCACCCGCAATTCACATGCAAGCCCAGCCAGGACCACCCCCCCTCGGCCGCCCACCTTGAGATAGTAGGCCACCTCCTTCCAGTCCTTGGGGGCCAGCGTGGTGGCCACATCAGGCGGCGCGCCTCCCGGCTTGCACACCACCGTGTCTGCCACCAGCATCGCGTAGCTCTTGCCTGCATCGCTTTCTGCATCCTCACGCATTAGGCCCGACACGCCTGCACGGAAAGACGGCGAGAACTGAGGTGCAGTGCCGAAAGTAGAGCCCAAGAAAAGCCTTGGACTCCTCGCTCCTAATCACCACTGGCACCTGCCGCATGGCACTGCACATCCAACCAACTTGCGCCGCGGCTCACCCACGGCCACGTTGAAGGTCATGCCTGCCTTGACAGGCTTAGAATTGGAGGTGTTAAGCTGCTGTGTGGTGTCGCGCAGCTCCAGTCCAATGGCAGTGCCCACATTCTTGGTCAGCTTGTCAACCAGCGCGTCCTGACCCTTGGCCTGCAGGTGGTGCAGCGCCGCAGGACACAGCAGGGGGGAGGCTGAGCTTTTCAGCTTTTTGAACAACAGAAGGGCTATCGGATGCCAACCAGTGACATGGGCAAGTGGCCCTGACATGCATCCTAGCTGGCATGCTCACTGCAGGCCGCTGGCGCCCATCTTGCCATGCAGAGCACCTTGAGTGTCTCGACCACCGCTTCGTAAGCCGCTGACATCGGCGCCCCCTCCACCAGCGCTGCAACGGCGGCGGCCTGCGCCTCCTGCAGGGCTGCGTACTCTGCCTCCTGCTGCTTGGAGGGGTCCACAAAATAGGTCCGCGCCACATTTGCACAGTACGAGGCATACCTGCAGCAGCAAACAAGTGGCAGGTAATGGGACGGCAAGGTAGGGAGAAGGAGAAGGGTGCACAACTGGTGCGGCGTGTCCATCCGTACACCGCCTGCCTCCCACCCACCGTGCGCCCAGGCTGCACACAATGACTCCATAATGGATGTGCGTATCCTTGGAGGCAGAGGCCAGGCGCAGGTCGTAGTCGCCGCCTGATTGCACCAGCGGCGGGTAGGCGATGTCAACAGAGTCCGCCTGCAGTGTGATGGCAGCACAGACAGGGGCAGCAAGGGAAAGGGCAGCACAGAGGAGATGGGGTAGGTCAGTGGGCTGTAAAACATCTGCAAACATGTCGCAGCCGCAGCGTGCCAGGCAGGCAGGTAAGGCAGCAGGGCAGCAACCACACTGGCAACACGGTTGCCAATGTCATGTCCTGCTGCCCTCCCATCTCAACCCGCCCCGACCAGTGCAGCCCACACCTTGAGCTTGATCTCCATTTTGCTTGGCTCACTGATCACCTCCTCTATCTTGTCTGCAAGCTTGCTGTGCCGCACCTTCTTTTCCTCGTCGATGATGCCTGCCGCGGGTGGAAGGGGAGGCAGGCAGCAGAGCGAAGGAGCGCGTTGAGGGAGGCACCCGATGGGCTGCCACCCGGCCCTGCCAGGCAGCAGCGCCAGTGGCACTTGCCTCTTCCCGGACCCTGTGCTTGCTGCATTGCCCCAAGAACCCACACGCTGCCTCCCACATGCCTCCTTGCTCACTCACCCTCCAGCTGCGGCACCGCAAACTTGGTGAGCGCGTTGGAGACAAGGTAGGCCGCCTTGCGCACATTCTTGGCCTCCTCGTCATCCTTGGGGGACAACAGTGCCGCCAGGTCGGCAGCCATGTCGCTAGTGGCCAGCCCCGACCCCGCCACCGCCGCCAGCCAGGCCTCTGGCACCGCACCTTGTGGCTTCTCCTGCAGCAGCAGCAGCGGCGGGTTCTTGCTGTTGCTCCACTGCAGAGCCAATTTGGCCTTCCCAACCGCCGACCACCGACTGGGCCCACCCGTTGAGTAGTGAGAAAGCCGGCCGAGGGGCCCACCCCCAACCCTCGGAGGCAAGCACCCTCTGCTAAGCACCTTGGGCAGGGTGCCGATGACGGGGGTGTCAGCAGAAGCCTTGCAGGCTGCCAGCAGCGCCTCGATCTGTGTTGAGCCATCCTCCTTCTTGGGCTTGGGGTGCAGCCGTAGCGTGACGCCTGCTGCAGCGCATGCGTCGCTGAGCTGCGCCAAGATGTCCGTCTTCTTGGGCCCCGCCATAGCGTGCAGCTCTGATTTTGTGAACACCAGGATCGTCTCTGCAAGGCGCAGCCGAAGCGATCGCAGCAGCGCGGGTGCCAGTGGGCGGAGCCGCCGCCGGTCGGCTGCTCACCAAGCCAAAATCCCCTGCCGCTGGACTCACCTGTAAACTCATAGCCCAGCAGCCACAGATGCAGGCTGGCAGATTTGGTGTAGGTGATGGCCTCAGTGACGGACCCCACAGCCACCGCAAGGGCGCTGGCATCGGGCCACAGCCCCCCTTCCTGCATGCTTTACCCGCTCCCCGGCGTCAAACGTGAGTGGCTAGGAGGATTTGGGGGTCTCGCAGCGCTGCAAGGCTTGATCACAGGTGCTCACCCGCCATCCATCGTAGAGCGCCTTCAGGCGTGTCTGAAATTTTCCTGTGTCGATGGATACCATCCTGGCTCCTCCACCGGCCCCGACTGGCCGCCTCACGGCCGTGTTCAGTTTGAAGTCACAGCCAGCCCGGCCAATCGCACTGCTTCAGTGCTGGAGGCGCAATTTAATGGATGTGCGGTCCACACACAAAATTCATCAGGTCAGTGCCAGCGAGGCTCTGACTCGCTCCCCTTGGGGATGAAGGGCCACTGCCAGCAGGTCAGGTTGCCGCGCGATGCAGACTAGCATGCGGGCGATGCTTTGAAGCCACCAGATGTGTTAGCCGTGCCCAAGCTCAGGTGCCGCCCATGCGAATTTCATATGACCCAGCCTGCGTCAAGTACCGCACCCTGCAAGACAGGCAGTGCAGCGGGCGGACAGCTTGTGGCAGTCCCTTGGTCGGGGCACCAGCTGCAAATGCGTTGCCGCAAGCCAAAACCCAAGCAAGGGCATCGTGCTACGCACCAGGGCAGCGCCTGGTATCCACTGCGCTCGATGACCTTGAGATACCTAATTTGGATGCCGCTGCAGCAAAGATGGCAGCCAGGCAAGGCTTCAGTGCATGCATGCATGATGCTGCCATCTCAAACCGGGCGCACCAATTCCTGCCGACTCCGACAGGCAGGCACACTACACTTGCCTGACGCTGTAGTAGGGGATCTGCACCGCATGCAGCCAGCAGGCACAATTGGGTGAGAGGTGCGTGACTGTCACCCAACTCCCATAGAACCAGCCAAGCATGTACGCTGCCTGCATGTGTGCCTGTTTCCTCATCATAAGATGCATCCTCCCCTGGCCCCACCAGCGCACCTCAAACTTGACCTTGATGGGTGGCAGCCGCCCCTGCGCCTCGTCCTCCGCTGCCACAGATGGCAGCCCAAACTTACAGCGCAGCAAGAACTCACGACCGCCTGGGAAGTTCTTGATCTTCCACACCAACGCATCCTTCTCAGGTGCATACACTGCGGTGCCCTGCATGGTCGTGCAGCCAGTCCCAATGGCAATGGCAGGTGTCGCAAATGGCAAGCAAAATCCATCCAGCCCTTGGCCTGGCACTTGCCTGCGATGTGCGCACGGTGGGCGAGATGGCGTCTGGCGGAAGCGGCAGCAGGATCTCCACAGACGTCGCGGTGCTGCGCTCCTTGAACTGGCTCCGCGCCTTGACCAAGTACTCAGTGCGGCTGCGGCTGTGCTTGTCCACCTGGCACTCCACCCAGATCAGAGGCTTGATGTTCTGGCTCAGCCGGTATGTCCTGCGGGGTGCGAGGGTGCCAGATGATGCAAGAAGGCAGCAGCAGGACAAGCACCAGCCCTCCTCCTCAAAGGATCCTTTCCAGTCAGGCCAGCTTGCTCACATGAGGTCAAAGGCTCCATCTGGCGGGATGAAGGAGATGGTGCGGTCGCGCTCAAAAGAGGCGAGGCGCACGCACTGGTGGAACTTCATGTCCTCCAGGTCCACAGCCTTCTGCCGCCCCGTGCGCCCCTGGGCCTCAAACAGCACCTTGTCATTCACGCCACACTTGCACTCGGGCTGTGGCAGGGAAGGGTGTGGCAATACAGGTCACGTGAGGCGCTCAGGAGGAGCCAGGCCATAAGGAGACAGCTAGGTGCATGTCCTCTTTGTTGCATTTGAATGGCAGATCTCAACCGCCCGCCCAACAGCTGCACTCACCATGCCGCTGAGGTACGCGCGCATCTTGAGTGCGCCCACCACCTCACTGCGCACGACGGTGCCGTTGCTGTTGACCAGCAGGTTGACACTCTCCACCACATCCAGGAACACCTCGTTTTTCTTGTAATACAGCCCCTCCTGCCTCCAAGACACCGCGTTGGTGACCGCCATGGGTGGCCGCGCCTGCACCGCCAGCCGGTGCGCATCGGTCTTGATGTACTCTGAGAGGATCTTGGCCTCGGTGAACTGCGGGTGGGCAGTGGGGGTGGTGCAGGGGCAGCACAGAAGCATGCGCTTATTGGCAGCAGCCCGCCTCTCCAAGCCACAGGTGATGGACACGGCGGGCAGCAACTTGTACAACCCCTACCGCAGCACGTGAGCCGAGGCAGGCGGCGCCAGGCAGCTTCTGCGGCCCTTTGATTGCTTTGTTTAAAAAGTAGCAATTTATCAGCAAAAGAGAAGTGGCTCAACTTGCCTGAAAAAGTCCAAAGTCCAACACCTCATCCAGCAGCTCGTATGCGATCACAAAGTTGTCACGCAGCGACTCCTCCTCCAGCTGCAGGGCAAGCGGGCAGTAGCGGCATGACTTCTCCATAAACCCAGACCCCTGTTGCATCCCAGCAGACCCTGCTTGCCTCGTGGAAGTAGTGCTTGAAAATCTCTATGAGCTTGTGCAGGAAGACGAGCGTGGCGGCAGCGTTGACATTGGCCTTGGTGACCGCCAGCACGTACAGGTTGGAGTACTGGACATACACATAGCTGAGGTTACCATCTAGCAAGATGGGCGCCGCGCCGCCCGTCTCCTCCAGCTCATTCAGCTTGGCCATGAAGCGCTCCGCCACCTTAGCCAGCGGCACATCACCCCTACAACTCGCGGGGGGGGAGGTGCATGTGATGAGTTTGAAATGCACGGAGGTTCAGCAATCCCCTGACCCCCTGGGTTAATCACCTGTAGTCACGCTGCAGCACCGGTTTCCCCCGTGCATCGAGGAACAATAGCGCACTGAGGGCGGGCATAATGCCAGGGGGACCTCGAGCCCTGGCAGGTTGTGTGTTTTGTTTGATGTCCTCCCTACTTGAAAGTCGCTTGTGCTCAGGCAGTCGTTTGCCCGAGCGGTGGCTGCGACCGCCGCCGCTGCCGACAGGCGCAGTGCAAGGGGGACTGGTACAACTGTGCGCCGTGAATAGGACACCCTGCCAACTTCACGACAGGTGTGGAGCGGCTAAAACAGCGCGAAACTATCGGTGGACCCGCGACAGGCGATCTCTGCTATCAGAATGTTGGCAGTTTTCACAACTGTGTGCCGTAAATCGGGGCTGGCCCGCACGCCAGCAGGCGGACAGAACGGGTGGCCAGAACAGGCGGTCAAGACGTGACAGGGCTGGAGAGGAGAGAACGTCAGCGGCCCGCGCCCTCTAAAAAGCCTAAAGGAACTCTTTAGACACGGTAGATCGAGGTCAAGGCAGTCGGGCAGTACGTGCTGACGTACTGGGAGCCCGAAATTTTCAGACAGATCCTGCAGCTGCGGGCCGAGAAACTGTTTGGATTGCTTACATGTGGAGTGCCCTTTGAAGGAGGGGCGAGCTGCATCGTGCGGCCAGGTGCTCAGCCGCCGCCAGATGATACCGTCAGCTTGGCGGGCTTCCAAGTGCGCGCCAGGCGGCACCACGATACAATCTTCTTCGGCTTGCTCTGGGGTGGCTTAATCAGTACCCCCTCCACTTCTTGTTTCCAGCTCAGTCGCCGCTTCTTCCTAACCATCGACCTGCCACCATCATCCAACTCCACGGCCAACAACTCTGGTTCTCTACCCACCACCGCTGCCTTCTCTGCTTCCGCTTCGCCTGCTTGCTCGGCGCTGATCGGACCATGGCCATCCTGTGCTGCTCCATAGCTATGGATAAAGCCTGATGCAGCGGTGGCTGGAGGAACATTCTTCATTGGCGGCTGCGATGATTCTTGCTTCGCCTGCCCCTGCTGCTTCAACTCCTCTGCTTGAGCCTGCTCCTCTGAGGTCTCCAGCTCCGATAGACCCCCCGACGCAGCTGACTGCACAGAAACAACTGGCTGCGGCATAGCTTCTTCTTCAAGGCATGCGCTTCCCACAGAAGCTTGGACAAGGGGCCGTTGTGCCTGCTGTGGTGCTGCTGTGCCCTGCTGCTTGGCTGCTTGCTGCTGTTGATGTGGTGCCTGCAGCTGTAGCTGATGCCTCTGTACCTCCTGCTGTGCATGCTTGCCATCCTGCTTGCCTGGCGGGTGCTGCAGCAGCCGCTTGCTGGCATGGCTGCAGACGGGACAGACCTCTACTAGCAGCCAGCGACTGGCAGGCTGCTGCTGACGCCGAATTGAACGCCGTGGCAGCTTGTGCACATCGCTGCGGGGAGCGTAGTTGTTGGCAGCACCAAGTCGGGGCAGAGTGCAAGCAGCCGGGCCCTGAGCAAACACAACCAAGCCCTACCTGACAGGCTGCGCATTGCACGCTCCGCAATAAGGGCAGAGCCGCGGCGAGCCGCGGGGGAGCCCTGCAGTAGCAACCTGCGAAGGCGGCGGCAGGGACGGCGGGGGGCTGAGTGGCGGTCGCGGCGGTGGTTGGCACAGACATAAACCAATGCCCTACCTGCAGCGCTCTCCTGCCAAGCACGGTTCCCAGAGGCAAGCTGCAGGCTTGCCCAGCTGCCCTCAGCAAATGCTGAACTTGCGGATTGGCCTGCGGAGCCTGGGCTGCTTTTTCGCGGGCGCTCATTGCGATTGGGCAGCAATGTCAAGGAGTAGTTTCAGGAAATAGTTTCAAGGACAGAAGTACACAGGCGCTCCATGGCCCCACGGGAGCGAGGCTTGGCCGAATCGATGTACATTGCTTTAATACCATTGCTCCGACCATGCTGCCGTGAATGCAGCACACTGCGGCTCGCTCGCGGTTTTGCTTCGCTACCCGCTACCTAATAGACTCTAAGCCGCGATGGAGGCCCACGATAGAGCAGGCTCCTGGAGCAGCCCGGAGCAGCGCAGGGCTGATGCCAGCAAGCCTATCCTGCCTGCCTCGTCCGCCGCAGCAGCGGCGGCCGCGGCAGCAGCACTGGCGCGCAGGCCTTCCACTGCTTCCTCACCCGCCACAGTGGCAGCCGCGCCGGCACCAGCTCCTGCCCCTGCCTCCCAGCAGAAGGGTGATGCGCCCCCGCCGCCACCTCCGCCGCCCGAGGTCGTTGTGAAGCACCCGCCTGGCGTGCCGCAGGCAGTTGAGACCAGCACCACCGCCATCAGTCTCAGCTGGCAGCCGTCGGTTTGCGCCATTCACAGCCAGGTGTCGGTGGCGGTGGAGTATATCGTGCACTACGAGCTGCAGATGCAGCAGGTGAGAGCGAGCAGGCATCTGGTTGAGGGAGTGGCTTTCTCGCCAGCTCTTGGCAATGGCAATATTGGCAGCCAGGGAATAGTGGGACCCCTTCTTCGCCTGGCTCACCACACCATGCGCTTGCGACTGCAGGTGGACGACAAGGGGGCGCTGCACTCTGACCGCTGGAGCGCGCAGTACACCGGCACTGCCTCATTCGTTCAGGTCAAGGGGTTGCGCCCGGGGCGCAGCTATGCAGCCCGCGTCACGGCAGTGCCGCAGGTCATCAACATGCCGGAAGCGGTGGTGGTGGCCTCGCCGCCCTCGGACATCATGCTGGTGCAGACGCTCCCCTGCCCGCCGATGGGCCAGTCCGCGCCGCAGTTGGCAAGTCGGATGAAGAAGGAGCTCAAGGTGGGTGGGGACGGCCATATTCGAAGTGGATGTGGGGCGGGGTTATACTCAGGCACTGCTTGCCTTGCACACACACACAGCAGTGCCCAGGCAGGGTTTGCAGTTCAGCATGGTACCCCTGCCTGGCCTCACCATCCACTTGCGTGCAGTTCAAGTGGGCTGAGCCAGAGGAGTCTGGCGGCCGGCCCCTGGAGTATGTGCTGCAAGTGTGTGGGTGTGGGGCTGCGGTAGCTGTGCTCATGATTCACAGCACCAGAGCCTGTCTTACGAGCGTAAACCGCAGGCGCTCACAACAACTTGTCCATGCCTTGGTGCCTACTGCGTGGCCCTCCTGCAGATGAGCCCTGCGCCCGAGGGCTTTGAGGGCGGCTCGGGTGCCGCCACCCCTGACGGCTTCTACCAGGTGTACCGCGGGCCGGAGCGCGCCTACGTGGCCAAGCGGCTGGTGCCGGGTGTTCAGTACTGCGGCCGTGTCAAGGCCATTAACTGCGAGGTGGGCAGGCATGTCAACAGGAGACAAGGAGGATGAGGGGCTCGGATCAGGGCTGACAGCGCAGTTACCGCCTGCCTGCCTGCTGCAGGGCGAGAGCGCATTCAGCCCCCTGGCGGTGTTCTACACGCAAGCGACCGTACCCTCCTGGTCCCCCTCCGATGCACCCTTTGTGTGGGATACCACCGCCAGCAGCGTCACGCTGGGTTGGCCCGAGCCTGCCAGCAATGGCGGCAACGTGACAAGCTACGAGGTGGAAATGGATGATGGCAGTGGCAGCGGCTTCCGCCTTGTGACACGCTCACTGGAGCGCCAGTGCATTGTACAGGGCCTGCGCAGTGGCATTTTGTACAAGTGAGCCCGCCGCTTGCGAGGCAGGCGCACGCCACCTGGCATGTCGCTACGCAGCTGGGCGGCAGGCAGCCAGTGTTTGAGCTGGAATGGGGTCTCATTGCCGGCGGCTCCTGTACCTTTCACTGTGTGTTCGCCCCACCTGCTTTGTGTGCCACCAGGTTCCGAGTGAGGGCGGAGAATGAGGCCGGGCGCAGTCTGTGGAGCCCGCTGGGGGAGGGGAGGACAGCTGCTGTACCTCCAGCATCATGCTCAGCGCCCAGTACGCTAGGCACCAGCCAGACATCGGTGACAGTCCGCTGGGAGGCAAGCAGCGCTGCTACTGTCGCTGCTTTGCATGGCACGGGCTGGCTCGTTGCCGGAGCATGCCTATGCTGTGCATGTCCGTCGTCAAAGCCATCAGTCAACCTGAATTTGTGCCTGCGCCATGGCTGCATGGTGTGCAGGAGCCAGACGACGACGGCGGCAGCCCCATCGTGTACTACCAGGTCGAGGTGCGACCACGCTGCGCCGCAGCGCGCCGCAACCTGGCAGACGACTGGTCGGTTTACTACCAGGTGACGCACTGGCTTGGACGGACACTGCTGGTGCCAGCATGCTATTGCCTTGAGAACTGTGTAGCAACTGCATGCAAGTGACAAGGGGCCATGCATTGTTCTTCCTGCCTGTAGGGCCCTGAGAAAGCCTGCACTATTGGTGGGTTGCGGGCCGGCTGCTCCTACATGGCACGTGTCTTTGCGGTCAGCGAGGCGGGTGCGGGCGCATTCAGCGCAGCCTCCATCCTCCACACCGCCCCTAGCACGCCAGGTGGGTGATGGCAACTGTAGTATGGCTGGGTCCTTGGATGCTATGCTTCCTGTGCAGCTCATAAGGGCGGGTCTGCAGGTTGAATTAATTCTTTACAAGCTACAGTGTTGATTCTAATCCATTCAAGCTTGCAGGCTGTCCTGGCACCCCCTCTTGTGCGTGTCGTCAGCAAACGGAGCTTAACGTGTTGTGGGTTCCGCCGGAACATGATGGTGCGCTTGTTTTGCTCCTGTATGGCTGCCAGCTCGAGTATGTTCCATCAAGTATGCTGCTGGCTTCTCTTAGTTGCACATGCTGCCGTTGCCTTAACGGCTGCAGGTGGCAGCCCAGTCAGCGCGTACCGCCTGGAGATGTGCTGCCTGGGGCCCACTGAGGGCCCACACAGTGACAGTGGCAAGGGCAAGGGCAAACTGGACCCACCGTTTGAGCTGGCATACCTGGGTCCGCAGTGCAATGCAGGTGGGCATAGAAAGCATGTCGGGATTTGCCTGCCTTCCCAACAACATGCTACCGCCACCTGCCTGGCTAATTTGAGGAAATCCTTGCCATGCCCCCAATGCAGTGCTGTCTGGGCTGGAGCCAGGGCACCGCTATGCGCTGCGCTGCAGTGCCATCAATGAGCAGGGCAGCTCCGGCTGGGGCCACACTGCCCATGTCGAGACGCTGCCCGGCCTGCCCTTCCCAGTGGACTCGATGCAACTGGTGGCAGCGGCCAGCACCAGCCTGAAGATGAGCTGGTGCCAGCCTTATGGCCAGGGGGATCCAGTGGCTAGCTATGTGCTGGAAATGGCCACAGCACTCTCCCTCCCTACCCTGCCATTAGCGCCGCCACCGCCTCAGCTGCAGCAGCAGCAGCATGATGAGACAGCGGCTGTACAGCAGAGCGATGGGCAGCAGCAGGTGCCGATTAATGGGACGCTGGGCGGCGATGCTGGCGTCCTGGACTCATACTTCCAGCCGGCCTACCAGGGTGTAGATTGCTCATGCGCCGGTGAGCCACAACCGCCGAAACAGCATCCGCAGCAGCTCTCTTGCACATTTCAATCACCCGTGCCCGCCGCCTGCCTGCTGCAGTGAGTGGACTAGAGCCCAGCACAGAGTACACGTTTAGGATGCGGGCCTACAACAGCGTGGGCAGCAGCGTGAGTGAGCCAAAGACGTTCCGCACCGCGCCTGCGGCGCCCTCCTGCCCGCGCGATGTCGACCAGCAGGACGCCACACCCTCCAGCTTGCGCATCAGCTGGCTGCCGCCCGCCAACGACCACGGCGCGCCCATCACAGGCTATCAGCTGGAGTGCGCTCGCAGCAGCAGCCGCGGCGCCTCGTCGATGGCGCACGCCTGGAAACTTGCCCACCAAGCCGGGGGCCTGCATGCCCAGGTGGGTTGCGGGCAGCTACAGCAGGGGACCACGGTGGTGCGAGGCAGCTGGTTGGCCAGCTGTTGGTGCCCTTGCTTGGTGTGCTACCTGCCGTTTCCTCCTGCAACTGTCCCAGGCTGACCATCCCCCTGCCCCCACAGGTGAATGACCTGGTGTCAGGGAGCCTGTATTTGGCGAGGGTTCGCGCCGGCAACGCCTGCGGATGGGGCCCCTGGTCGGAGCCTCTGCCCTGCTCCACTGCTCCCGACGTCCCCAACGCTCCCGCCGGGCTGGCCGCCAGGGTGGTGGGCACCACGGTGCGTACGAGCTGGGAGGTGGCGGAGGACAATGGCGCAGCCATCCAGATGTACGAGCTGGAGATGGCGGGCGGCGGCGGACAGTTTACAATGGTGTTTCGGGGGGAGGGCACGTCGCACCGGGTGCAGCAACTGGATCCCCATAGCAGCTACCAGTTCCGCGTGCGTGCAGTGAACACGGGTGAGAGAGGGGGCTGGGGTGAAACAGGCGCGCTGATCATATGCCTACCACAGCTGATCACATGCCTACCACCCGCCTGGCATCTTGTGCTGCTGGGAATTGCACGCTGCAGCTCTCCACATCGCCCCTGCCTCAACCCAACCACCTCCTGCAGTCGGCGCGGGCCCCTTCAGCTCGGTGGTGGCAGTGCAGACCAGCAAAGCGCCGCCTCTGCCGCCCCAGGAGGTGCTGGCATGGGCTGCAGACCATGGCTCCAGCCCCAACACCGTGGACATCAGCTGGGTGCCAGCGCAGCAGGGGACCCAGGAGGCGGTTTGCGTTTCATACGAGGTCGAGGCAACCACAGGCCCCTCGTCCTTGGCTGTTCGGCAAACCTGCGCTGGTCGCATCACGCAGATGGTGCTGACAGGGCTACAGCCAGGGGCCACCTATTCAGTGAAAGTGCGCGGCGTGGGGGCAGATGGTGCGGGGCACGGCGCCTGGAGCCACCCACCTGCTAAGGTCAGCCTGCGTGCACTGCGGCCGGCTGAGGTGGCGGCAGCACGGTCAGCAGCAGCATCTGGAGCTTCAGTAGCTGGTGGTGAGCCTGCTGCCAAGGCACAGAAGCGGCGGGGCGAGCGGAGCACAGGCGCGCTGACACGCACAACTGCAGTCGTGAAGACTGCGGTTGGCAAGGGGCCGCCGAAGAAGGGCATGGCGGTGTCTCGCTTCATTCGGCAGTATGTCATGCGCCCTGTCTTCAACCGTGAGCACCGCATCGCACTGGTTACAGGGCTAGCTGTCCTAATCGTTTGCATGGCGGTTCTGAACGTATACATGTATTCTAACTAGAGTCGCGGCACTTTGATACTGAACCGATCACACTGATTTCTCGTGGCACAGATTGTGTCACACGCACCCTGTGTAAAATCCAAATTCCAAGCAGCTCTTCAGCGCCCCTCCTGGCCTCGAAGACCGCGGCGGCGGCACCTGCTGCGCCCGCCGTGGCGCGCCACCTGGCTTTTGAGCATCACCGGTTAGCGAGGAGCGAGCATCACCGGGTTTGCGAGGAGCGACCATCTGCCCCTTTGGAGCCACTAACACCAGCACGCAAGCAGGGAAGCAGCGGCAATGGCGGCCATTATTTATCAAGCTCCAACTTTGGGGCAGCAGCAGCAGCAGCAGCAGGCCAACAGAGAACAGGATCTCAGCGAGCAGCAGCTGTTATCTACGCCGCCTGCCGCCGCCCCGGTCAGCGGCACCGACGCTGCCGCCGCAGCTTCAATGGCTCGGTTGGCGTGCGATATGCTGGCTCTGCCAGCCCGGGTGGCCTGCACGGCACTTACGTTCCTGCACCACATGCAACGCGACCTGGCAGGCCTGCCAGCCCACGTGCGTTTGCTGCCGCCGCAGCCCGCAATTCCTGCTTGTTGGCCGACCCGTTCTTCGGCACATGCCAACCTCCAATTCCACACACCCACACCCTCGGCCATCTGTCCTGCAGCGCCTGGCTGCCGCCTTCGTTTTCCTGGCGGCCAAGGTCGAGGAGGCTTCTCTGAGAACCAACGACATGCTTAATGCAGTGGCAGCGCATGCGGCAGGCGCCACCGCTGGTGACAGTGCAGAACTTGCGCGCTTCCCCTGCTTGGTGGGCGATGCGTACCAGGCAGCCAAGCGCCAGCTCATCCAGGACGAGCAGCTGCTGCTGCGCTACCTGCGGTTCGACATTGGTGCGGACCAGCCGCACCGCCACCTGTACGTGCTGGCACACTGCTGGGGCGCCAGCCGTGAGGCGGTGCGCATGGCGGTCTGCTTGCTGAACGACGCCGTGTGCTGCTGTCCCAGCTATGGCAGCGCTGCCATGCCACCCGCCACAGCCGCTGCTGCAGCATTGCATGTTGGGGCACAGCTATGCGGCCAGGCAGTGCAGCCAGCAGGGTGGTGGCGAGCCACAGGGATCACCGACACGGCAATGCGTGGAGCCTGTGGAGCCTTGCTGGACCAGATCGGTGGCTGATCTGGGCGCCCCGCTGGAGGAGTCGATGGCGGCTAGCAGTGGGGGCATTGTGAGCACCACACGCAACCGAAAATGCTGCAGTAGGTTTATAAACGGCAATGAAATACAAAAGCAACAGCGGAAGAGAACAGAGGGAAGCAAGAGGTTGCGGAAGGATTGGTTGACGGGCTGATTGGTTGCTCGTGGACCATGAACATGGCGACGGTATTGTTAGGCTGATGCATCACTGCTTCCCTTGCTTCAAAAGATCCTGCAACAGGTAAAGCGACAGCGCAACAAGGGCGGACCGCACCAGTTAGCCACCCTATGCGCTGGCAGCTGTCAGCCTTGTGGCAGCACCTTCAGCAACGACCACCTTGGCAGGTAGCCAGCATTGATTCTGTGCCTGGCGCTCACCATTGCATGCGTGTGCTTGCGGGAGTAGAGGTCGTAGACAATTGACTGCCGCCGGACCATTTCAAGCTGCTGCCGCCCCTGCTCCCATAAGCGCGCCAGCTGGCCGCTGTCCGTCACAGACTGTGCCTCCTGAAACCCCTGCCGTGCGCGCCGCTTGACATACCTGCTAAGCAGGAGCAGGCGCAGTGTGCGGCACAAGAGGCATGAAGAGGAGCACGCAATGCAAGTTGGCGGTGAGAGACCAACGCCGCAGCGGTGGGCGCAACTCGACGCCAGCCAGCAACTCGGCCTCTCCCTCACTCTTTGATGTTATAGTTCGTGCCAAAGTGCTTGGAATGCCGCAAGAAGGCTCGGAACAGCGCTCTTGCCTCGGCGGCAGACATGGCCTCGCACAGCTGCACGCAAGCAGCCCAGCCAGCGGGGGTGATACACAGGGATTGATATTGATTTGAGACACTCAGTGGCAACCAGGGAGGTCTGGGAGGCATTATTGCCAGGCAAGCAAGCCAAATTTCCTCCGCAGGTCTGCGTGCAGTCGTTGTAGCTTGTCCCCCTGAGTCACCCGTGTTTATTCTTCTAGCTCCCCTGAGAAGTTGTAGCTCCCAAAGTGGTGTTCAGTTCTTGTGCAGCGGGCGATGGCCTCGCGGTTCTCGCGCGATGATGCACCACCCGCCTCTACTGTCTTTGGTGAGCAGGCGATTGCTGCGATGTGGGCGATGCCAGGGATGCTTCTCCGCGTGCGGCATGACGAAGACAAGAGTTCCCATCACCTCCAGTGGGCGACCCGATTCTGTGATTCAAGAAGAATCCATCGATGGCTGCTCTGGGGAGCGGCGGCGGGCGGCGGCGGCGGCGGCGGGGGAGTGGCGGCGGCGGGCACCTTGCTAGCCTCACCCCTCCCATACGGTGGTGCTCTGCTGCTGCAGTGGGAAATCTGAGCTATGACCTCACTGACCAAGATGTCATCGACCACTTCAGCCAAGTGGGACCCGTCAAGCACGTCCGGTGAGCGACGCCGCTACAGGTCCCAACTCTGTCTCGCACCCCCTGCTTGTGTCGTCCTATCAGCTCTCTCTCTCTCGCTCTCTCCTGCGTATGCTTGGCCCTTTCGCACGAGGCTGCCTGCCTCACCCACTTCACCCCATTCCCCTGCCTTGATCCGCACAATTCCAGCATCGTGACGGAGCGCGACACAGGAAAGCCACGCGGGTTTGGGTTCATCGAGTTCTTCGATATCCCCACCGCTGAGTCCGCCATCCGCAATCTGAGCGGCAAAGATTTCAAGGGGCGCACGATAAGGTGCGATGCTGGATGGATTGCAGCTTGGTTTGGAGCGGCGAGGGGCGAACCACCCGTGGTGATGGCGGCTTTGTCATGTGTTCTCCTCCAATGCTGTCCCCGCAGGATAGTGTATGCCGAGGGCGGCCCTGGCGAGTTCCGGTCTGGCAGGGGTGGGTAGCAAGTGTACTGTCTGAGTTTTTGGGATGCAGCATTGTCAATGTGGCTTGCCACACCAGCTGATCGGGGGGGGGGGTCCTCCTTGAATTGCTGCCCTCCCTCTTGCATTCTTCCGCCCGCCTGCAGACTTTGATGACCAGCGCGGGCCGCCCTCCCGGTTTGATGACCGCGGGGGACCTGGGGGGCCAGGCCGTCGCCCCATGCGCGACCGCGTGGTGGGCGGAGACCTCGCCTACCACGCCTCGCACGGCGTGGCCGCGCTGCTGGATGCGCCGCTGGCACCGGGCGCGCCCGCCGACGCCATCACGCACCTGCTGGCTCGCCGTTCCCGTGCCGAGCTCTACGACTACCTGGCCCAGATGAAGGGCCTGCTGCAGCGCAACCCGACGCAGGCGCGGCAGATCCTGGTGGACAACCCGCAGCTGGCCAAGGCGCTGTTCCAGATGCAGGTGAGGTTCAGGACGGGGGGTGGTGCCGTCACGTCGTTGTGGCACCCTGCCTGGCGTGCGTACGACCATGTTCCACCAGCTCCACCCAAACCCACCTCCCCCCACACACACCGACTCGCCCGCCCTCCGCCACCATGCAGGTCATTCTGGGCATGGTGTCCAACCCGCTGGGCGATGTGGCTCCCAAGGGCGTTGCGCCGCCAAACCTTATGCCCCGCCACGAGCCACCACACGGGCAGGGCCCACCGGGGCCGACGCCCATGGGCGGTCCAGATGGCATGATGATGGGCGGCCCGGGTGGTCCGCCGCCGCACATGCAGGGCCCACCGGGGGCTCATGGCATGGAGCCACCGCCGCCAATCATGGTGGGGGCACCCGTGCAGGGCCCGCCCATGGGCATGCCCGGTACCAGCATGCCACCACAGCAGCAGCCGCCCTACATGGGTGGCCCAATGGACCAGCCGCCCATGGGTCAGCCATACCAGCCGCCGCCGCAGGGCTATATGCCACCCCCTCAGCAGCAGCAGCAGCAGCCCCCGCCTTACATGGTGCCGCCAGAGGGCATGCAGGGCGGGCCAGGGTATGGGCTGCCACCGCAGCAGCCGCCAGTGCAGCCAAGCCAGCCGGTTGATCCGCGGCGCATGGCTGTAGCAGGTGGTGTGCCGCCGCGCCCCATGATGTCACTGGCCACGCAGCCCCCACCACAGCAGCCGCAGCCGCCGCAGCCGAGCATGCCAGCCATGCAGCAGCCACAGCCAGCACCAGGCGGAGGCGCACTGACAGCAGAGCAGCAGCAGGGTGAGTCGCTGCTGTGGCTTGCCATGGCCACAGCACGTGTGTTCTGCCCAGCGCAGGACCAGTACTTGCATTGCTGGTGAACGTCAACTGCATGACACGCCTATTGAGGGCAGCAACACAGCGCAAGCTTCATATGTGCACCGCCCTGACCGGCAACACGCCTGCCTACCACCCTCCCGCCTGCCTTCTTGCAGCCCTACTGCAGCAGGTCATGTCGCTGACCCCGCAGCAGATAGAGTTGCTGCCGCCACAGCAAAAGGCGCAGGTGTTGGCACTGCAGCAGCAGTTGGGCCACCGCTAACAGCTTGGACCCGCAAGGGTGCCTGCACACCACCACCAGCCATGGACATCAGACTACAGCTGATAGGGGCTCTCTGTCTGGCCTTGATCCCACTTTGCCAAGCTGTAATGCTCTTGTTGAGTGCACGTGCTCTTTGGGGAAAGGCAGCACCATGGCGTCAAAGTATGGAAAGCCAGGCCACCGCAAAACGCACGGGGTTCACAGTGCCTTCAAGGGGGTTCTTTAACACGCCGCCTTTGGATTTACATCAGAACCATGAATTTAATCAAAATGTTGAGTTGAGGAAGCACTAGATGCAACCAAACCAGTTGCAAAGTTGTAACCAACCAAATGCAGAATCACCAAGGCGGGGTCTCCTGTTGCAGCACTGTGCAATGATGTGGTGGCACAGCACGGCTGCCCAACACTTGGGGTGGCTGCCCCGCAAAGTGCCAGGACACATAACAGTCCGCAAGGGACAGCTTGCCGGGACGGCTGACTGCCACCTGCAGCGGCATCTCCACAACCTGCCCTGGCCGCACCACCGGCAGCGTCATCCGCGTCCGGCCGCACCACACGTGCTGCCGCATGGGGGGTAGCGCCTCTACCGTAGCCAGCACCACTGGCCCACTGCCGCTGCTACTCAGCGTGGGAGAGCGGGCACCGGCGCTGCCAACAGGTGCCTGGCCATTGTCCATGGTTGCTGCTGCTGGCTGCGCCTGTGAGGTGGCCCAAGTGGGCACGCCGATCGGTGCCACTTGGCCATCCGGCAGCCGGCCCACCTCTACGCACACAGCAGCTGGCGCCGCCATGGTGTTGCGCACAAGGAGGGTCAGGGGCAGCACGCACAGCGGCGCCACGCCAAAGTTGTGAGCTAGGCTGACAGGCCCTCGCAATCGGGCATCAATGGCTGGCGCGGTGTGGAGCCTGCAACAGGCGGGATGTACATGAAGTAAAGTGAATGAAGTGAAGGCTGGACAAGCAAATGTTGCCACCTCATTGCAGAGCACCAGAGCGTGCAGCAAATGGTCAATCAGTCACAATCACACACACCTCTGGTTGTGCAAGCAACAGAAGCCACGGCGCGGAGCTGCACCATCCTTGCCGTCTGCCTGCCAAAGCACAACCACATCCATCCCTTCTGCGCCATCCTGCGTATGCTGCTTTGGGCGCTGTTGCGGCGATGGATGCTGTCGCTGCTGCTGCTGGGCTGGAGGCTGCAAATGCTTAGGGGTGACTGGGGCTGCTGCTGCCACGTGCCTGCTGACCTGGAGCAGCCCAGCCTCAGCTGCCGTCATGATGGCCCCTGTCGCTGCTCCATCTACGCCTGCTGACGCATCCTCACCAGGTACCAACAGGCGATGCATGGCAGCAGATGCATCTGGTGCAATTGGCAGGCTGCCGCCACCATCACCGCTGCCGCTGCGACTGCCATCTAGGCTGTCGGCATTGCACAGCTGCCAGCTGCTGCTATGGCAGCTCAACCCAGTGACCAACACGGACTCGAACGACAGGTTGTGTAGCTGCGCCTGCAACAGGCACCCGCCCGGCGCAGAGCCAGCCACCCCTGCTACCAGGCGGCAAGACAGGTACAGCAACGGCAGTGCCTGCACCGCTTGAGCATAACGTGCTGTGCGGTATGCCAGGGCATCGAGCCGCACCAGTGGCTCGTACCGCCATGCCACCACCAAATGTGCCGCACCCGCCTGTGGCGCCCTGCAAAATAGGAAATAAGGCTGGGCTTTGATAGCATTCAGGAGCATGGAAGGCACTGCAGCGTCCTCGCATTTCGCAAGGCGACATCACTGTTCGGCCAACACAGCAGGAGCCAATCAAGAGCATTATCCCAATGCCGCGAACCTGAACCAGACTGGAAGCGTGAGTTCTTGGCCCACACCCAGCCGCACATTGGGCAGCATGTAGACAGCGACACCCTGACGGAAGGTGGGGGCCGGCACAGGCTCTGTAAGGCAGCCACCGAGGCTGCTGCGGGGGCTGCTGAAGCTGCTGCGCCGACTGTTGAGGTGGGCGGGAGGGCTGCTAACCATTGCAACAGTGGCGCTGCTGACACACCCTAAAGCGGCGGGAGTTGCATGGACAGGCGAGCTAATAGGCTGCTGCCGCTGCTCCTGGTTGGGGCTGACTGAAGTTACAATGCCGTCGCTGCCGATGCCGTCACTGCCATTTCCAGAACCGGCTGCTGGGCCGCCACCGAGGAAGATGCCTGCGGTCCCTGCTGCCGCCATGGACAAATGCTGTAGGGTCATGGCCCCGCTGTTCTTCAGCCGCATGCTGCAGCACACCACCTCCCCCGCTAGCACTGCTGCCGGCAAACCCGTGACGCTGACCTCCAATCGCGGCATGGGGGGCAGCACGCGGAAGGACATGCCACCGGGGGCGGGCCGATCGGCATCGAGGAGCACCCTGGAAGCATCAGGAGTGGGGGTTGCGCATCACCCACAGCAGCAAGAAGGGACATATGAGCTGAATGCAGGACCATGGATGGCCGCACAGGCTTCCGACATGCCAGCATGTGGCAGCGGGCCGGCATTGTCGCACTCACTTGCTGCTACTGCCAGGCTTGCGTGAGATGGGTCGGGGTATGTGGAAGGCCGCCTGGCCATGAGCGGTGCCGTTGAGCAGCCAGGCGAGGCCGTGCAGGTGCAGGCTGCCTGGCTTCAGTGGCACAACGCGCGAGTGCACAATCACACGCTTTCCGCCCTGCAGCGTCACGTTGTCCTCGTGAACCTGCAACATGGGGTGGGGGTGGAGGGTCAGCCAGCTTGAACACACTGCAGGCAGCAAAAATGCCAGCAGGAAGCGGAACGCAGGAATGGAAGAAGGAAAGGCAGGTAAAGTGAAACGGTAGGGAGCAGTGTGCAGCGCTGGGCAGCCCACCTGGAAGCCTGGCTGCTGCTGCTGCCCGCCACCCTCACTCGGCGCCGGCACTAAGCTGCCATCCGGGCTGCGACTGGCACTGCTGCCGCTCGCCAACATGCCAGCACCCGAGGATGAGGTGGCGGGGTCCCAAGTGCAGGCCAGACGCAGGTGGGTAACATGCAAGTCCAGCTGCAGCGGGTTGTGCAGCTCCACGTCTAGTCCCACTGCCTCGCCCACGCAGCACGACCTCTGATTCTCTTCTGCCTCTGCCAGCCGCATGCGGCTGCCGCCTGCAAGCACAAGAGTTGCACCCAAGCAAGCAGTTCAGTGGACCGCACGCAAAGTGGAAATTGGAAGGGAGGGGGCCAGGTCTTGGTGCGCTTCCTGGGCCTTCCAGCTGCCTGCATACCTTCCAGCCAGGTGCCACTGGGGTGAGCCTCCAGGGAGGGATGGAGAGCCACATCGAGCGCCTTCCATGCCTCACTTGGCACCTGCCGCGCCTCCACGCCACTGTAGCAGGTCTGCCCATCGTGCTGCAACCGTCACCCGCTCGCAGTTGACTTCTGGCAGCGGCAGCTCAAGCGGCAGCGCGAAGCCCTGCAGGAGATAACGAGCACAGCAGAAAGTGGCACGTAGAGGCAGGCAGCTGGCCACTGACCGGGCCAAACCAAGGCTGCTTGACCACCAATCGCACCCGCCCGTTCAACAGACCAACACAGGCTCCCAAGCCATCCCCCTTGATGCTCAGCCACACTGCCAGCACCCACCAGCTGTGCCTGCGCCGTGCGCAGTGCATCCATAAACTGCGTGAGGTAGAGTTGCTGGCAATACAGGTTGTTGGAGGGGCACACGAGCATGGCCATGAAATGGCGCACTGCGCCTGTCGCGTCATCACCCTCCCGCGCCTGCCGCCCAAGTGCATCATGGAGGTGCTCCTCAATCAGGGACCACTGTCGTCCTGAGTACACACCCAGCACCTGTCTGCCAACAGAGCATGGGCCAGGGGACAGATGAGCCCACAACACACGTTCCTTTGCTGTGTGCAGGTCAGGGAAGCCATGCAGCAACACGGCCAGTACAAACTGCTCAGACATGCCCAGTGCTGTCCTACTCACGTGTATGCCCTCGTGCTCAGCTGCTTCTGCTCGCACATGTCAAAACGCAGGCCCGCCAGCACGAGATGGAAGGCAAACTTGCGTGTGTGGGGCGGTTGGTGTGACAGCAGGCAGTAGGCTGCTTGCTCCAGCAGCAGCCCCGCACGCAGGTTCTCCTCCTGCCACAAGGGCACGCAGCATGGGGGCAGTGCAGGCGAGTGGGCGCACAAATGCTCATGTGAGCAGGCAGCCAAATTGGGTATGCTTTGCATTGACACTGGCGCCCACCCTGCCACCCTATCCGCCCTGCGCCACCTGGAAATGGGCTTTCATCAAAGCAGCTGTGGCCTCGCCGTACTGGCCTAATGCCTGCAAGTATGCTGCCAACAGAAGCACAGACCGCGTGGCATACCGCGCACCCTCCCGGTTGCGCGGATTGGCTTGGCTCAGCTGCAGGGCGGGGCGGGGCAGGCAGGCAGGGCGGCACCAGAGTGGCAGCATGAGCGGCCTGGCCATGTGCAAGGTGACTGCAGTGCCTGACTGCCATGCGCAGCACCCTTGGCTCCCCACCAACCTGCGCGTAGCGGTGCAGCGCTTCTTTGTAGGAGGCCATGGCATCAGAGGGCGGCGCCCCCGCCAGCACCGCCGCCGCACCCAGCGCCTCCTGCACCCCTGCGTATGCCTTGTACGCGCGGTCAGCCTTGGTGTCGCTGGCCAGCAGGCGAAGCGTACTGGAGGCAGTATCGTAGTCGCCCAGCATAAGCGCCAGGTCGCTCAGCTGGCGCATGTGGCTCTCCACCGAGCCGCCGGCGTACGAGACGCCGGCAGCGCCGGCAGCGCCGCCACTGGCGGAGGGTGTGCCAGGGGTGGACGCACTGTCCAAAGCGCCCTTGCGCCAGAGCAAGCTCTTCAGCTGGTTCTTCAGACCTTTGCGGTTGGCAGTTACCTATGGGTCGGCACAGTAGGGGCAGGACAAGCGAGTGTGCGGGGCAGCGCTGAGGGCGCAACAGGCCGAGACAGGCAAACTGTCGCTGCGATGCCCACCGCCGCACCTGCACATTGAGTGCCCGCAGCCGCATCTCCATGTGCGGCAGGATGGAGCGCACCGCCAGCTCGTGTACAAAGCCAGCCAGGCCAGACATATCGGCCTCGCTCAGCCAGGCACCCAGACCGCCAGGCGGCACCGGGGGGCGCTCTGCGGGCTCACCGCCGCCACCATCCGGCAGGCAGCCGTGCAGCATGTCGGCCCAGAGCCGGGGGCCCACCGGTGAGCCGCCGCCGCTGCCACTGTTGATGCTGAGAACCTGGCAACTGGTGCCCAGGGTGCTGCCCAGCTGGTGCAGCTTCTCTTGCGCCGCCACTAACACCTCGGGCCCCTGGCTGGCTGCGTCATGCAATAGCACATAGTGCCGAAGCACCCCCGCTGACTCCATCACCCCGGCCTGCATCAGCGGGGGCAGCGCCGAGTGACGCCACAATGCCGCAAAAGCTGCCGCCAGGTCGTCCGGCATTGTCCTGCCCTGCCAGCCCCTATGAAACTGATCGTGTCACCGCCCTGCTGGACACGGTTGCCTGCTGAGGTCTTCAACAAAGTACCTGCCTGCCTCCCTTCTGCTGCTGCCGACCTGGCTGCTGCTGCGCGTGCTGCCGTCAGTCGTGGCGGGACCGGCAAGACGCTGCTCCACCAGCTTTCCTACACGGCTGGTCGGTCAAAACGAGCTGAAGCCAGGACGTGCTGAGCCTACCAAAACATCCCAGCCAACCAACAGCGCACTCATTGCTGGCGATTGATTGTTGCTGCACGGGGTGTGCTGGTAGACCTGCTTGCTGAGCTGATCGGCGAGGTGGAACATGGACCGATTCAAATAAAACGCATACATAAAGAGCAAAGCGCAGGTATCACAGGGGTACGGCTATGAAAGGGTGCTGGGACGAAGCCGCACATTGTCGCTGGCAGCGTCAGAAAAAATAGGAGATGAACGGAGATTCAAACAATGATGTTTCCTAATAGCAGAGAAAAACTTGTGTAGATTTTGATAATATCACGCTCTGTCAGGCAACATCGCTGCTGCTGCGCCAGAATAAGGTATGAAGAATTGGGATGGGGTCGTACACAGAAAGAATGGGGTCGTACACAAACCGTTAAGATAGATCGGTAGACATTGTATCTTGACGCTGTGCTGCGCATCGAGGCAATGGCGCCATGTGATGGCAAGGCATCTATTGCGAGGCTTGCTAGGGCCGAAGAGTTGTCGGGATCCCGTTGCACGTCCAGATCACTACAGGTAGGTGGAGGCAAATAGGTCAGCTCCCACATAGGGAGCCAGCTGAAGCATTGCCAACTGCTTCTGCACTGTCCATACTACACCAAACCACCCAGCCCCTCGCTGGCATTAGCCAGGCAGCCTCACCTTCGGCGCCGTGCGCTCCTGCGCCACCAGCAGCTTCGACAGCTGGGCAACTTGCAGCCGTGACTCCTGCAGCGCACCCTCTAAGAAATTGCACTTGGACGTGGAGTCCGCCAGCAGCTCCTTGTTCTCCTGCAGCTCACGCACGACCTCGCGCTTCTCCGCCTCCCACTTCGCCTCCGCCGCCTCCAGCTCGCTCCTTGGCACCAAATCCGGCTGCGGCTGGGTGGCCGCTTCCGGCTGCTGCTTCTCTTGAGCTGGCGCACGCTCGTCCTGCTTGCCAATGGCTGGGCCTTGCTGCATGTTTGCTGCCTGCTGTGCGTCCCACGCCTTGTTCAATCAGTGGGACGCAACATTGGTGGCAATTGGGGCAAGAAATGCCACCGCTGCTGGGGATGTGACCGCCGCTGCTGCTATGTGCGCTGCCGCTGCCGCTAGCTGCCCTGGTCCATCGACATTGCCTGTGCTTGGCGCGCTGGCTTTGAACGGGGCAGCGGGGAGCAGCGATTAAGGCCGGGGCGCTGTGGGCTTGAGGGCAGGGAGGACATCTCCCCGAAATTGAGGCACGGCGGGCTCCAGCGTCGGAGGGGCTGGCTGGCAGAGGAAGAGGGGCGCAGCTGGCTGCGCTTTCGGATTTTGCGCCACCTGTGCCGAGCTGCCCAGCATGCAGGCCGCAACACCCGGGTCACACATAACTGCTCGTCTCATCTGCAGCATCCAACATTGGGGCTGCTGCAACCAACACTGACCCACACACACGCCTTTTGGCGCTGCAGCAGCTGAGCCTGCCCCCCCAGGTGTGCCCTCGGGAATGAAGATCAGAGACTGCGGGGCCTCCTCCAGGCTGCTCCAGCTCCAGCCGGCCCCCAGACGGTCCCCAGCAGCATCACGCGGCCGGCTGGCCGTTTCGACCGCCTGGCAGCCACGAGTTTCTGCGCGGCCCAACGCGGCTGCACCTCGCTCGCTGGGCACGGGCCCAGCAGCCAACGGCACACCCCAAGACAGCCCTCCGGTGGGTACCACTGTGTATGCACCTCCCCTGCACCACCGCAGCGCCCGGCGCCCATGGACACGATCGGAGTTGCCCAGCTTTGCCCTCGACTTGTGCGACAGTGGCATTTGCACAAGGCCAGTCTTGCATCCCACCTTCTTGCTCCTGCCACCCCACCCTTGCTGTGCAGAGAGAAGCAGAGGAACAGTGGGATACGCATGCGCTGATCGCTGAATCCAAAGCGGTGCGGGCCGAAGCCAAAGCGGCGATGGACAAATTTGATGCGAGGCTAGCGGAGACTCTGGTGGACATTGCCAGCACCAGAATTTTTATAAACGAGATTCGCCGGCGTGGGCAGTGCAAGGCTGACGAGACCGCCAGCCTCACAGACACTCAGCACACTGTGCTGGCGCGGCTGCAGTCCAGCGCCACCTTTGCAGCGCACACGTGGCCGCGCCTGGCAGCTGGAGCCACTCCAGCAACCCGCGCTGCCGCAGCAGAGGCCTCGGCGGCGGCGGCAGCAGCATGGGCCACCACGGCATTGGGCCTGGAAGCAAAGGCAGAGTCCACCGCTGCCCGCGCGGCCTGCCAGCCAGCAGCGGAGCATGCAAGCTTAGCTTTGGAGTGGGAGGCAGCTGCTGCAGCGTGGCGAGCAGCATTTGAGCAGCTTGAACTGGCCAAGCAGGCAGACCCTGGGTTGATGGCGGTGCAAGAGGCGGAGGAGGCGATCAAGGAAAAGCGTGGCTTCAAGCAGCAGCGCCAGCAGTTTGATGCTGGCACATCGTAAACAACGGTAATGTATTTATTTACTATTAGTGCCTGACCTTTTCCATTGCCCCATTCCCTTCTGATCGTCACCTCATGCATTTTACAGACACGCTCAACCACTGCAAGACCCTGTGTCGTTCGCTGCACTTGCACTACTGCACTTGCACTTGCACTACTGCCTCAGGCAGGTGGCCTGCCATGCCTCCTCATTTATACCCTGCATGTTTCCTATCCCTGTAACAATCTCACATCAGTGGTAGAGCCATATTGTTCCTGTGTGGCGCTGCCCTCGCAGTCCGGCCTTTGCACTCCTCCCTGCTCTCCCTCGCAGATAAATTAAAAAGTGCAAGGGTGGTCAATCGATAGGTGCGCTTCATTCAGCGGCTGCGCGCTCCGCTCAGCTGCTGGCGCTCAGTCCTCGCGGCTGGGGGTGTGCTGGAAGTGCCGTTCCCGCCGCAGCCCATGCTGCGCCAGCGCACGGGTGGCAACCCGCAGCGACCCAACCACGCCCTTCTGACGCGCAGCACCACGGCGTCTGCCTCTGGCGGCACAGGCACGCCGCTTGCCGCCCCATCTGCCACCCCTGCTGCCGCTGCCACCTCGCCGTCTGCCACCTCCCCGTCGTCCTTGATCGCCATTTGCACGCCCACAAAGAACTGAACCTTGCCGTCTGCATGGCATTTTGCGTGGCAGCTTGGCAGGCAAGTAAAAGATACGTCCTGGTAGGTGCCAGACTAGGAGTGACGGGCCCCAAGGGGTCAGGCAGGTAGGCCAAAGTGCGTCGAGGCGCAACTGCACCTGCTGCCCTGCCCTCACCTGCATCCCGTAGCGGCGAGATGTGCAGCGAGTTTCAGAAGGGCTGTTGTCTGCCTTCTGTATCGGCTTTGCGTTAGTTGAGCAGTGTGACTGTCCCAGGCTTAGGTGGCACCGCCGCCAGCGCGCAAAAGTGGGCCACCGCTGCAGGGTCAGTGCCTGGGCCCTGCAGGACGAGGCAGTTGCGGCCCACCACCTCCCTGCAGCAGGCGTGGGCAGGGGAGGGGGTGGTGGGGATGGTTCAGGATGAGGTTGGTGGCATCTGAAGGCAAGACAACGCAGACAAGCCACCTGGACAGCGTAAGGGCTACTGGTTGAACCACCACCCACAACGACAAAACACACCGCCATAGCCACGGCCAGGCCCCACCCCCTTCCGCCCACTAACTCGAACGAGTAACCGGTCAGCTTCAGGAAGGAGGGCGAGGCAGTCGGGCAGGTTGGGGTCCAACAGGCAGAAGCAGTCTTGGACGCGCGACAGCGCGGTGAGCAGCAAGGAGGGCACGCACTCCAGCACGGCACGCTTCTGGACTGCATCTGCCAGCTCGCGCTCGTGGCCCTCCAGGCGTGCCGCCACGCTGGCCGCCGCCGCCTCGCCCTGCACGCCCAGCGCCTCCAGCCGAGCGCCGCCGCCGGCCTCCACCAGCCGCGTGACGTCAGCCTGCAAGGGACGGGTGGAGGGCCAGCCGGTCGATCCGCGGCGCATGGCGGTACCAGGTGGTGTGCCGCCGCGCCCCATGATGTCACTGGCCACGCAGCCGCCACCACAGCAGCCGCCACAGCTGAGCATGCCGGCAGTGCAGCAGCCCTGCGGTGAGTCGCTGCTGTGGCTTGCCATAGCAATAGCACGTGTGTTCTGCCCAGCGCAGGACCAGGACTTGCATTGCTGGTGAACGTCAACTGCATGACACGCCTATTGAGGGCAGCAACACAGCGCAAGCTTCATATGTGCACCGCCCTGACCGGCAACACGCCTGCCTACCACCCTCCCGCCTGCCTTCTTGCAGCCCTACTGCAGCAGGTCATGTCGCTGACCCCGCAGCAGATAGAGTTGCTGCCGCCACAGCAAAAGGCGCAGGTGTTGGCACTGCAGCAGCAGTTGGGCCACCGCTAACAGCTTGGACCCGCAAGGGTGCCTGCACACCACCACCAGCCATGGACATCAGACTACAGCTGATAGGGGCTCTCTGTCTGGCCTTGATCCCACTTTGCCAAGCTGTAATGCTCTTGTTGAGTGCACGTGCTCTCTGGGGAAAGCAGCACCATGGCAGTCAAAGTATGGAAAGCCAGCCACGCGCAGACGCACGAGGTTCACAGTGTCATTCAGGTGGTTCTTTAACAACGCTGCCTTTGATTTACATCAGAACCATGAATCTTAATCAAATGTTGAGTTGAGGAAGCACTAGATGCAACCAAACCAGTTGCAAAGTTGTAACCAACCAAATGCAGAATCACCAAGGCGGGGTCTCCTGTTGCAGCACTGTGCAATGATGTGGTGGCACAGCACGGCTGCCCAACACTTGGGGTGGCTGCCCCGCAAAGTGCCAGGACACATAACAGTCCGCAAGGGACAGCTTGCCGGGACGGCTGACTGCCACCTGCAGCGGCATCTCCACAACCTGCCCTGGCCGCACCACCGGCAGCGTCATCCGCGTCCGGCCGCACCACACGTGCTGCCGCATGGGGGGTAGCGCCTCTACCGTAGCCAGCACCACTGGCCCACTGCCGCTGCTACTCAGCGTGGGAGAGCGGGCACCGGCGCTGCCAACAGGTGCCTGGCCATTGTCCATGGTTGCTGCTGCTGGCTGCGCCTGTGAGGTGGCCCAAGTGGGCACGCCGATCGGTGCCACTTGGCCATCCGGCAGCCGGCCCACCTCTACACACACAGCAGCTGGCGCCGCCATGGTGTTGCGCACAAGGAGGGTCAGGGGCAGCACGCACAGCGGCGCCACGCCAAAGTTGTGAGCTAGGCTGACAGGCCCTCGCAATCGGGCATCAATGGCTGGCGCGGTGTGGAGCCTGCAACAGGCGGGATGTACATGAAGTAAAGTGAATGAAGTGAAGGCTGGACAAGCAAATGTTGCCACCTCATTGCAGAGCACCAGAGCGTGCAGCAAATGGTCAACCAGTCACAATCACACACACCTCTGGTTGTGCAAGCAACAGAAGCCACGGCGCGGAGCTGCACCATCCTTGCCGTCTGCCTGCCAAAGCACAACCACATCCATCCCTTCTGCGCCATCCTGCGTATGCTGCTTTGGGCGCTGTTGCGGCGATGGATGCTGTCGCTGCTGCTGCTGGGCTGGAGGCTGCAAATGCTTAGGGGTGACTGGGGCTGCTGCTGCCACGTGCCTGCTGACCTGGAGCAGCCCAGCCTCAGCTGCCGTCATGATGGCCCCTGTCGCTGCCCCATCTACGCCTGCTGACGCATCCTCACCAGGTACCAACAGGCGATGCATGGCAGCAGATGCATCTGGTGCAATTGGCAGGCTGCCGCCACCATCACCGCTGCCGCTGCGACTGCCATCTAGGCTGTCGGCATTGCACAGCTGCCAGCTGCTGCTATGGCAGCTCAACCCAGTGACCAACACGGACTCGGACGACAGGTTGTGTAGCTGCGCCTGCAACAGGCACCCGCCCGGCGCAGAGCCAGCCACCCCTGCTACCAGGCGGCAAGACAGGTACAGCAACGGCAGTGCCTGCACCGCTTGAGCATAACGTGCTGTGCGGTATGCCAGGGCATCGAGCCGCACCAGTGGCTCGTACCGCCATGCCACCACCAAATGTGCCGCACCCGCCTGTGGCGCCCTGCAAAATAGGAAATAAGGCTGGGCTTTGATAGCATTCAGGAGCATGGAAGGCACTGCAGCGTCCTCGCATTTCGCAAGGCGACATCACTGTTCGGCCAACACAGCAGGAGCCAATCAAGAGCATTATCCCAATGCCGCGAACCTGAACCAGACTGGAAGCGTGAGTTCTTGGCCCACACCCAGCCGCACATTGGGCAGCATGTAGACAGCGACACCCTGACGGAAGGTGGGGGCCGGCACAGGCTCTGTAAGGCAGCCACCGAGGCTGCTGCGGGGGCTGCTGAAGCTGCTGCGCCGACTGTTGAGGTGGGCGGGAGGGCTGCTAACCATTGCAACAGTGGCGCTGCTGACACACCCTAAAGCGGCGGGAGTTGCATGGACAGGCGAGCTAATAGGCTGCTGCCGCTGCTCCTGGTTGGGGCTGACTGAAGTTACAATGCCGTCGCTGCCGATGCCGTCACTGCCATTTCCAGAACCGGCTGCTGGGCCGCCACCGAGGAAGATGCCTGCGGTCCCTGCTGCCGCCATGGACAAATGCTGTAGGGTCATGGCCCCGCTGTTCTTCAGCCGCATGCTGCAGCACACCACCTCCCCCGCTAGCACTGCTGCCGGCAAACCCGTGACGCTGACCTCCAATCGCGGCATGGGGGGCAGCACGCGGAAGGACATGCCACCGGGGGCGGGCCGATCGGCATCGAGGAGCACCCTGGAAGCATCAGGAGTGGGGGTTGCGCATCACCCACAGCAGCAAGAAGGGACATATGAGCTGAATGCAGGACCATGGATGGCCGCACAGGCTTCCGACATGCCAGCATGTGGCAGCGGGCCGGCATTGTCGCACTCACTTGCTGCTACTGCCAGGCTTGCGTGAGATGGGTCGGGGTATGTGGAAGGCCGCCTGGCCATGAGCGGTGCCGTTGAGCAGCCAGGCGAGGCCGTGCAGGTGCAGGCTGCCTGGCTTCAGTGGCACAACGCGCAAGTGCACAATCACACGCTTTCCGCCCTGCAGCGTCACGTTGTCCTCGTGAACCTGCAACATGGGGTGGGGGTGGAGGGTCAGCCAGCTTGAACACACTGCAGGCAGCAAAAATGCCAGCAGGAAGCGGAACGCAGGAATGGAAGAAGGAAAGGCAGGTAAAGTGAAACGGTAGGGAGCAGTGTGCAGCGCTGGGCAGCCCACCTGGAAGCCTGGCTGCTGCTGCTGCCCGCCACCCTCACTCGGCGCCGGCACTAAGCTGCCATCCGGGCTGCGACTGGCACTGCTGCCGCTCGCCAACATGCCAGCACCCGAGGATGAGGTGGCGGGGTCCCAAGTGCAGGCCAGACGCAGGTGGGTAACATGCAAGTCCAGCTGCAGCGGGTTGTGCAGCTCCACGTCTAGTCCCACTGCCTCGCCCACGCAGCACGACCTCTGATTCTCTTCTGCCTCTGCCAGCCGCATGCGGCTGCCGCCTGCAAGCACAAGAGTTGCACCCAAGCAAGCAGTTCAGTGGACCGCACGCAAAGTGGAAATTGGAAGGGAGGGGGCCAGGTCTTGGTGCGCTTCCTGGGCCTTCCAGCTGCCTGCATACCTTCCAGCCAGGTGCCACTGGGGTGAGCCTCCAGGGAGGGATGGAGAGCCACATCGAGCGCCTTCCATGCCTCACTTGGCACCTGCCGCGCCTCCACGCCACTGTAGCAGGTCTGCCCATCGTGCTGCAACCGTCACCCGCTCGCAGTTGACTTCTGGCAGCGGCAGCTCAAGCGGCAGCGCGAAGCCCTGCAGGAGATAACGAGCACAGCAGAAAGTGGCACGTAGAGGCAGGCAGCTGGCCACTGACCGGGCCAAACCAAGGCTGCTTGACCACCAATCGCACCCGCCCGTTCAACAGACCAACACAGGCTCCCAAGCCATCCCCCTTGATGCTCAGCCACACTGCCAGCACCCACCAGCTGTGCCTGCGCCGTGCGCAGTGCATCCATAAACTGCGTGAGGTAGAGTTGCTGGCAATACAGGTTGTTGGAGGGGCACACGAGCATGGCCATGAAATGGCGCACTGCGCCTGTCGCGTCATCACCCTCCCGCGCCTGCCGCCCAAGTGCATCATGGAGGTGCTCCTCAATCAGGGACCACTGTCGTCCTGAGTACACACCCAGCACCTGTCTGCCAACAGAGCATGGGCCAGGGGACAGATGAGCCCACAACACACGTTCCTTTGCTGTGTGCAGGTCAGGGAAGCCATGCAGCAACACGGCCAGTACAAACTGCTCAGACATGCCCAGTGCTGTCCTACTCACGTGTATGCCCTCGTGCTCAGCTGCTTCTGCTCGCACATGTCAAAACGCAGGCCCGCCAGCACGAGATGGAAGGCAAACTTGCGTGTGTGGGGCGGTTGGTGTGACAGCAGGCAGTAGGCTGCTTGCTCCAGCAGCAGCCCCGCACGCAGGTTCTCCTCCTGCCACAAGGGCACGCAGCATGGGGGCAGTGCAGGCGAGTGGGCGCACAAATGCTCATGTGAGCAGGCAGCCAAATTGGGTATGCTTTGCATTGACACTGGCGCCCACCCTGCCACCCTATCCGCCCTGCGCCACCTGGAAATGGGCTTTCATCAAAGCAGCTGTGGCCTCGCCGTACTGGCCTAATGCCTGCAAGTATGCTGCCAACAGAAGCACAGACCGCGTGGCATACCGCGCACCCTCCCGGTTGCGCGGATTGGCTTGGCTCAGCTGCAGGGCGGGGCGGGGCAGGCAGGCAGGGCGGCACCAGAGTGGCAGCATGAGCGGCCTGGCCATGTGCAAGGTGACTGCAGTGCCTGACTGCCATGCGCAGCACCCTTGGCTCCCCACCAACCTGCGCGTAGCGGTGCAGCGCTTCTTTGTAGGAGGCCATGGCATCAGAGGGCGGCGCCCCCGCCAGCACCGCCGCCGCACCCAGCGCCTCCTGCACCCCTGCGTATGCCTTGTACGCGCGGTCAGCCTTGGTGTCGCTGGCCAGCAGGCGAAGCGTACTGGAGGCAGTATCGTAGTCGCCCAGCATAAGCGCCAGGTCGCTCAGCTGGCGCATGTGGCTCTCCACCGAGCCGCCGGCGTACGAGACGCCGGCAGCGCCGGCAGCGCCGCCACTGGCGGAGGGTGTGCCAGGGGTGGACGCACTGTCCAAAGCGCCCTTGCGCCAGAGCAAGCTCTTCAGCTGGTTCTTCAGACCTTTGCGGTTGGCAGTTACCTATGGGTCGGCACAGTAGGGGCAGGACAAGCGAGTGTGCGGGGCAGCGCTGAGGGCGCAACAGGCCGAGACAGGCAAACTGTCGCTGCGATGCCCACCGCCGCACCTGCACATTGAGTGCCCGCAGCCGCATCTCCATGTGCGGCAGGATGGAGCGCACCGCCAGCTCGTGTACAAAGCCAGCCAGGCCAGACATATCGGCCTCGCTCAGCCAGGCACCCAGACCGCCAGGCGGCACCGGGGGGCGCTCTGCGGGCTCACCGCCGCCACCATCCGGCAGGCAGCCGTGCAGCATGTCGGCCCAGAGCCGGGGGCCCACCGGTGAGCCTCCGCCGCTGCCACTGTTGATGCTGAGAACCTGGCAACTGGTGCCCAGGGTGCTGCCCAGCTGGTGCAGCTTCTCTTGCGCCGCCACTAACACCTCGGGCCCCTGGCTGGCTGCGTCATGCAATAGCACATAGTGCCGAAGCACCCCCGCTGACTCCATCACCCCGGCCTGCATCAGCGGGGGCAGCGCCGAGTGACGCCACAATGCCGCAAAAGCTGCCGCCAGGTTGCCGGCATGGTCGGCGGGCAACGCCAAGATGCCTGCGAGAACGAGGATCAGTGCTAAAATAACGTGGTACTCAGGGACATGCATGAGGGCGGTAAGTGGGCACAGCCACTGCCTGCTCGTGCACCTGGGAACTACACCATTGCTCTGTGGCCTGCACCAACAACTATGAACAGCGCTATTCCAACCCATCGCCAGCCCCACTACTCACATGCCACTGGGTGGTCCAGAGTTTCATGCTCCCCAAACTGCATGAGCCGCAGGAACTCTCGGCGATACAGACGGTACCAAGGGGTGGGCGGGTCTGCTCGCCTCGCTGCAGCAACCAAGCCAACAGGCTCAGCAGCAAGCCGAGAGCAGTTCAGCAGCGCATGACCTGCTAGGGGGGCCATCCATGGCATACATCCAACTGGCTGCAGACTCGCCACCATCCGGCCAGCAGCAGGCAGGCAGCCAGCGGGCAGTTGCTCTGGAGCGCGTGGCCCACACAACGGCCCACCCACCCGCCACACCTGCACTGCCGAGCAGCTCCTGCAGCTCTGGCACATCAACGCTGGCGTCCTCTCCTGCGGCGGCTGACAGCACACCGCGCAGGTATGCGTCGGCCACCTCGGGTGCCGGTTGGAACATCGTTTCGGCGCTGTAGAAGCGCAGCCGCCAGCTGTGCAGGCGCAGCGGATGCTCTGCCGGTGTCCTGACTGGCACTGCGGGCAGGCGTTCCAGCGGCAGGGGGTGACTTCACAAAGTGGCAACGGTAAGAATCCGCTCCGTCGGCGAGGAGGTCGCGGGCAGGCGGCACCACCCACCTCCCACCGTCCCGTTGAGCTGTCGGATGACCCCAAACGGCCTGAGGAGTTCTGCTAGGCTCAGGCCATTCCTCAGGAGACAAGAGGCCTCTAGGCTTTGATCAGCCAACACCATCACTGCTGGGCAGTGAGCCCTCTGCAGGGTAGCCTTGACCTCCTGCAGGCGCTCCATGACTGGATGGAGATGGACAGCCCGCGGCACGCCTTCTGATGGTGAGTTCCTTCACAAGGCGCCAGGGCTGCGACGGGCAGCCATTGTGCTATCGAATAGCAAATCGCCCTGGCGCCCTGATCATCACCAGACAGAGGAAGTTGCCGGCGCTTTGTACAAACTTCCGACCTCGGCCACTGTAGTGCGTGCGCGCCCGGGCGTGCCACGAGGGCCCCTGCAATGCTGGCAGTAGTCCCGGTACATTGGTCATTCTACTGTTGGATCTTTGGAGTTGAGCACCACGGCATGTTAGCCCTCCGCCATTGCGGTCATGCAGTCAGTAGAACCAGCGTTAAGGGGTCCTGCCAGGGGCTATGGGCAGTGCAGCAGCTGCGGCTGGTGGCGGCGTGGCGGCGAGCAGGCAGCAACCCCACTGCACCTTCGCGGCCGGCGGTGGCATGTGCCGCCAGCGCCACCGGCCTCACCACCGGCGCTGGCAGCAGCAGCAGCAGCAAGCTGTCCGCTACAAAGTTGAGTGCTAAGGTTCTTGGGATGAAGCCATGCTTCGTGCATGCGCTGAGCGGTGCTCCCACTCGGCCGCGACCAACCGCTGCACGCGCTGCTCCAAGTGCAGGCGGCCTACGAGGCGGTGATCGGCATCGAGACGCATGTGCAGCTCGGCACCAAAACCAAGGCCTTCTGCAGCTGCGCCAGCGAGTTTGGGGCAGAACCCAACTCCAACGTGTGCCCCGTGTGCCTGGGACACCCGGTAAGTTGCCAGCACATGGCCGCCCGATATCTCCTCCCTCGCACTACAGGCACCAATCTACCACCTCCTGCTGTCATGCGCTGCAGGGCACACTGCCTGTGCTGAACGGTGACATGGTGCACAAGGCGGTGCTGGCAGGGCTGGCGTTGAATGCACGCGTGTCGCTGGAATCGAAGTTTGACCGCAAGCAGTACTTCTACCCCGACCTGCCCAAGGGCTACCAGATCTCGCAGTACGACGTGCCGCTGTGCGAGGGCGGGTGGGTAGAGGTGGTGGTGCCACCGGAGCAGACGGGAGGGCAGGGCGTGGTGCGGCGCATCGGCGTGACGCGGGCCCACCTTGAGGAGGATGCCGGCAAGCTGGTGCACGGCGGCGCCGCCTCCCTCAGCGGTTCAGACTATTCGCTGGTGGATTACAACCGGGCAGGGGTGCCCCTGCTGGAGATCGTGAGCGAGCCAGACATGCGCACCGGTGCCGAGGCGGCAGCATACGGTGCCGAGATACGCCGTATCATGCGCTTCCTGGGCGTCTCAGGTGCGTGGGATGCGCTTGGTCTGGGGCGTGCAGCTGCCGGGGAGTGCCATGAAGGGGATGACTCACCTAGCTATGCGCAATCGGCAAGGCGTGGGGCTGACCTTACGTCCGCTGTGACATTTGCTGCTCCTCTGCGTCCCTGGCCCTCGCCTCCTTGCCTGTCTGCTACGTACACTCACGCCTGCACTCCCACGGCGCCTCCTCGCTCTGCAGATGGCAACATGGCGGAGGGGTCCATGCGGTGCGACGTCAACATTTCGGTGCGCCCACGTGGGCAGGCGGCGTTTGGCACCAAGGTGGAGATCAAGAACATGAACTCGTTCAACGCTATGCAGCGCGCCATAGATTTTGAGATTGCACGGCAGGTGCGGGGTTTGTTTTTTGAGTGTTTGTGGGTTCTTTAACGGTGGCAGGACATGGTAAATGGCGACGGCAGGACAGTGAGGGATTGGGTTGGACAGGATTCCAGGAAATGTGGCTCGGATTGCGGCGGACAAGTGGGCCTTTGCTCCCCATCACATGTCTTGCGCTGCTGGCTTGCCTGCGTCCGCAGGTTCAGCTGCTGGAGGATGGGCAGGCGGCAGCAATTGTGCAGGAGACGCGGCTGTGGGATGAGGGGCAGCAGTGCACCTATTCTATGCGCAAGAAGGAGGGGCTGGCCGACTACCGGTACTTCCCGGAGCCAGACCTACCCGCCCTGGTGCTGAATCAGGCGTATCTGGACGAGATACAGGTGAGGTGGTACTCGGGGCACGGGTGGCGGTGTGCGCTGTGTGGACAAGAGAAAGGCCACTTGCTGCTACACCTGTTGCTCCCCGAGTGTGCTCTTGTTATGTTCTCCCTCCTTCCTGGGCCCCTCTGCAGGCCTCCATGCCGGAGCTGCCGCGACAGGTGCGCGAGCGGTACCTGGCACTGGGGCTGAGCCAGTACGACGTGCTGGTGCTGTCAGACGAGCGTGATGTGGTGGCCTATTTTGACGCGGTGCTGGCAGCAGGGGCACCACCCAAGCCCGCTACCAATTGGGTAATGGGCGATGTGATGGCATACTGCAAGGAGGCACGGCTGGGGTGGGATGCTCTGGCGGAGCGCATGGCGCCTACGGCGCTGGCTGAGATGATTGGCCTGATTGAGGATGGCACCATCAGTGGCAAGATTGGCAAGGAGGTGCTACCTGCGCTGTTGGCGGGCGAGGGCGGCAGCGGCAGCGGCGTGCGAGCCATGGTGGAGACACGCGGTCTGGTGCAGATCAGCGATCCCGCTGCGCTGGCGGCAATAGTGGATGGCGTCCTGTCTGCCAACCCCAAGCAGCTGCAGCAGTACCGTGAAGGTGGGTGACAACTGTGTTGACCCCAGTGGACCTGAGGAAGCTTCTTCGGATGTTGCTCACCGTGCCTCATCTTGACATCCTTGCTGGGTCCACTTTTTTTTGGCCCCCTTCTCCCCCCCTCACCACGCATATTTGCTTGGTTTGCAGGCAAGCCCAAGCTGCAGGGTTTTTTTGTGGGGGCGGTGATGAAGGAGTCCAAGGGCCGCGCTAACCCTGCAGAGCTCAACCGAATTTTGATGGAGCAGCTGAATGCGTCTCCCCCGGCATGACTCAGCAGCTTAAACTTGGCGGACTCGCGTGTAAAGAACGGCATTGCATTTTTTTGTTACAAAACATGTACAAAACATACATGTATCAGATGATCAGAGTGTGAAAATAAAGGGCGTAGGAGTCAGCTGCTACCACAGTTGTCGCCGCACCGCTTGCAGGATCGGTTGCAGTACGGCTTCATCCAATCCTCACGGCACTTGCCCCAGGCCGCCTGCTGGGAGCAGGAGTAGGCTGGCGGCGGGGTGTCTCCACAATTGGAGCACCGCTTGCAGGATCGGTTGCAGTACGGCTTCATCCAATCCTCACGGCACTTGCCCCAGGCCGCATGCTGGGAGCAGGAGTAGGCTGGCGGCGCGGTGTCATTGCAGGCCTTCTGGCTGCAGGTTCCACTGCTAAGGCTAGATGTACTGGCTGAGTTGCTGACAGGCTGGGCCAGAGTGGATGCAGTGGTGCTGGTGCTGGGGGCAGCAGGTGAACCGCCGCCCCATGGGCTACGCTGAGAGAAGAAGTAATCTTCAGCCGTGGCACCTGCCTTCATCTTGAAATACATTTGCTCGCCGTTGTCTGACAGCTTTGCCTGCCCTGAAGGCCCAGACTTGAGGCAGCAGTAACCTGCAGGGGGCAGAACGCACAACACTGGCTATGCTACCATGCATGAGTGCACTTTTGGGAATGAACAGTTGATGGAACCCACATTGAATGGGCCATTTGGCCGCGCCAGGCCCACCTGAGCCTTGCAGTGCGTACATGAATCCATCGCAGCCGCTAGTGGAAACGCAGGCAAACCCGCAGTCGCGCTCACTCTTGTTGCTAAAGCAGGCCAGGTCCTTGCCGGGAGAGGTGGGTACCACGGCGGGGCCCAGCGTGCCAAAAACAGTGGACGACTGGCAGCGTAGCATAGCATACAACAGGGGCGATAAAGCTCACGGGATCAGTGCAGGCTTCCCCCCTTCCAGCCTCACCGCCAAAGCAAGCAGCACGCACCACTTGGTTGATGCAGGGTGGATCTGCCACTGGGCATTGCTGCAGACGCTGGTAGGCGGTGCTGGAGAGCGAAGAGCCGCCCAGAAGCGACGGAAACATGAGAATATTTCTGTAAGCAGGGGTGGCACTAATGATGTTAGCCACGAAGCCAAAGGTTTGGCAAGAGCCGGTCTCACCGGAAGTTTTGAAGACATAGCGAGAGGTCGCCGACATTGCTCTTGGACACAGTCATGGCATTGGACAGCTGGCACATACAGGCCGTGCACGATGAGCCCGGCTGGCATTGCTTGGTGAAGGATGGGAAGGAGACCCTCTGCAGGCACGGCCACTAATCAAGTATGTGTGAAGGGTGCAAAGGTACTGCTGAGGCACAGTACCACTTGCCTGAAGGGCGAGAAGCCGACTGGGATCGGTGGAGGGGCAGCGTGAGGCGATGTACCCCGACAGCCAGCCGTAGCCGTTGGAGATCACTTGCTTGTACTTCCACACATTATAATCCTGGGGATGCAACAGTGTTGGGTTCTGGTCAGCCCCCCGCATGTTTCACCCAGGCCTGGCAGGATGGGGCTTCCAAGGGCGGGCTCGCAGCCGGGCGGGCTGGGAACCTTGCCTGCTTGAGAGAACACTCCTGGAAACGGCCGCCAGCGTCGCATCCTGCAGCAATGAGAATGTGGTTCACATCAAGGCGCTGCCAGGCAGATGAGCATCAGGAGATGGGTGCTGCCAGCTTGTGGCACCTCTGGGGGTTGAGCAGCAGCAGCACCCACCGTCCTTTGAACCGCACCAAGTCCACACGTTGCAGTCCGCACGCAGCTTGCAGGCAGCGCAGCAGGCGCCCGGGCTGTCCTGCAGGGCCTTCTCCAGATGTTTGCCTGCGGCAGGCGGGGCCAAGAGGCCAGTGGCAACTCAGGTCGCTCGCCAGCTGATTGAACATGCTGATTGAACTTGCCTGTTTCGTAACTCACCGTCTAGATTCAGGCGCCCAGCCGCGTTGCACTGCCTGCAGTTGCAAGGGCGGTCAGCAGCAGACTGTGGCCTTGACCGCAGCGCACGCTCCCCTCCTCGCCTGTTTGAGAGACCGACGAGCACCACATCGCCTGCCTGTGCTCCGTGCAGGGCTCCGTGCAGGAGGAGGGCGAGCAGCAGGGCAGCCATCGCCTGGTCGTAATCGTCTAGCCGGACGCAGTGTGTCTGACCGGCAGTGCCTGTCGCGGAGTCGCGAGAAAAGACATTGGCAGAACCACGGCTGCAGCCGCAGATGTGGAGCCAGTTAGAAAGCAGCATGATGGGGATGACCTGGCCAATCTGGCGTCGCCCCCATGCACAGCTGTAACTGCAGCACCACCTCCAGGTCCTTCTCTGTGCTCATAGCAATCATGTTTGTTTCAAAGGCCTCACAGGCGCAAAGGCACATCAAACAAGAAACGTGCGCGACACAAGTGCTACTCTTAGACCAGCACGAAAAAGTGGAGCCAGCATGCTGCCGTCTGTGGCTATGCGTGCGGTCCGGAAGTGTGTGTGTGTGTGCGCTGGTGCACGTGGCTAGGGCAGGCCAGGAGCATCGGCTCTACTGCTGCTGCTGTGGGGGCGCTGGCTTCATCTGCCTGCCGCCCGTGTTGCTTCTATTGCCTCCCTGTGAGTTGCGGCCCCTGCCGCGCCCGCGCCCGCTGCTGCCCTGCTGCTGGCGCGGCCCCACAAGCTGGGGTGGCAGGAAGTGGGGCGCCTGCGAAGAGGGCCTGCAGCAAGCAGCCAACATAAGGCGCTTAAGATGGGCGGAAAAACAATCTTGGTAGCTAAATGCAGGAAAATGGTCCTAGCCTTGCAGCCTTGCAGGCACCAACGAGGCAGCAGGACCCACCAGCCTGCCATGTGGGGCGGGAAGGCGGCGCCTGCTGGCGGGTAGCCACCATGCTGCTGCCCATACCCGCTGCTGTGCTGCTGCGGCAGCTGCGGCTGCGGATAGCGCGTGTTGCGCCCCCTACTGTTGCGGTTTGGGAAGACGCGGCCCCGAGGGCCCTGCCCGTTGGCCTGCCCCTGCTGCCCACCGATGTGCTGCTGCTGGGGCGGCAGCGCAATGGGCACGTCAAAGACGTCATCGGGCAGCGCCGCTGCGGGATCCTCCAGTTGCACTGGGTTGGGCGGCCGCTGCTGCGGGAGCTGGTGCTGGGGCGGCCCAGCGTAGGGAGCACCCGGGCCGCCCATGGATAGACCCGGCGGGGGGGGCAGCTGCATGGGGTGGCCGTACTGCATGGGCGCCGACATGGCATTGCGCCCAAACACCGCTGCAGGCGCCAGGCCTGCACCCACAAAGGGCGGGGGCGAGGGTGCGGGGCTGCTCCAATCCACACCACCGCCTGGTCCCAAGGGCTGCTGCTGCTGCCCAAACGCGGCGGCCACTGCACCAAACTGCATGTGGTGGCTGGCGATGCTGCCAAAGTTGAAGCCAGGGGTGGCCACCACGCCTTCAAACAGCTGAACAGCCTCCTGCAGAGCGGGGCGGGGCGGAGGCGAGGCAGGCAAGGTCAGGCTCTCGATGCAAATTTGAACCCAATCTGCAAAGCAGACGGCGGGCAGCAATCGCAAAAGGGTTAACACACAGCTGCTTGCCTTGGAGGGTGGCTGCGCCTGCCATGAGCTGCTGGTGGCGGGGAAGAGGCCGCCGGGGAAGGGCGGCGGGGAGGCAGAGGGTGGTGGCGGGGATGGGGAAGCAAATGGCTGGCCCACTGGCACAGATGCCGGTGGGGCGGTGCCAGAGGTAGCGTTGCCGCTTGCCAGCACGCCAGGCACGCCAGGTGCTGCCGCCCCCAGGTCCAGCGTGAGGTCAGCGGGGAGCGAAGTGATGACGTCTGCCATGCGGTCTGCTGACGAGGGGATGCCAGGTGCCGCTGCAGGCACCACAGCCATCGGTAGGACATCCTGCTGCTGCCGCTGGGTGGGCTGTAGCAGTGTGCTGGGCTCACGCAGGTCGCGGCCCAGAGTGGGCAGAAGCGCCATGTGGTTGGCAACCAGCTGGTCGCCCGCAGCAGGCGCCAACGGGGCCACCAAGCTGGCATCTTGCTGCGCTGCGGAGCCGCCAGCTGTCAGCTGCAGCTTGGCGACCTCATCAGCCAGTGGGGAGCTCCACCCAAAGGCAGCAGGCATGATGGGTGCCATGCCCGTGCTGGTGGCAGTAGCCGCCCCAATGGCAGGGGCAGTTTGTAGCGGGGGAACCTCAGGCTGTGCACCTGCTGCCGTGCCCACAACTGCGGCCGCTACAAGCCCGTGGGGCAGGGAGTTGCCCACAGCTGTGCTCAACATCTCCGGCACATCTGCTGGCAATGGCTCGGCCGCAGGTGGTGCAGCCACAGCCTCTAGCACCAGCTCAGCTGCAAGCTCGCCAGCTGCAAGCCCCTCTGCTCCCTCTGCCGCCGAGGAGGCTGACAGTTGCTCGCCTCCATCCTTGCCACGGCCACGACCCCTGGAGCGGGCTGCCTGGCCCTTGCTGCCAGAGGACGTGGCGGAGGCAGTGTCGCCTGCTGCCTCCTGCTGCTGCACGCCATCCTCTGCTGCCTGGCCGCTGCCTTTTTTCCCGCGGGTGGCCCGCTTGCTGCGCTGCTGCTTGGCGGCTGCGGTGGGGGCTGCGGTGGCAACAGCTGGCTGCTGCGCTGCAGGCGCAGCTGCCTCTTTCTTGCCCTCCTGCTTCTTGCCCCTGCTGCGCTTGCCATCTCGGGAAGCCGTCTTGTCAGACGCATCACCTGCATCACCGCTAAATGGCACCAAGGATGAGGCCGGGGCTACCGGCTCATCTGGCACTCCTGCTACCAGCGCCTTCCATGAGAGACCTGGCTTGACGGCGCTGCTGCGCAATGGCTGCTGCGGCGGCGGTGGCGGCTTTGGAATTGCTGGCGGAGGAGGTGGAGGAGGGGCTGCCGCTGCCTCACGTCTGGGCCCTGCTTTGCCGCCGCTAGCCTGCGGTTCAGCTGCTGCTGCTGCTTGGCACTCAAGAGAAGGTGCATTGCCAACCTTCCGATCTGCCACGGTAGCTGCTGCACTGTGTTGCTGTGAGGGTGACTGCAGCAGTGTCGCCTGTGGTGCGGATGCTGCTGCCGGATCCTCAAGCAGTGGCTGCACCACTGGCGACTTTACTGCCGTCTCAGGCTGCATGGAAGCCACAGGCTGCTCAACATGCCTCTTGCCAGCGCTGTCTGGCCGATCTGCTTGAGCTGGGGCTGGCTGCTGCGGCGACTCCTTGCGAGGTGGCGGCGGTGGCGGCTGCATGCGCTGTTCTCCTGTCGAGTGAGGTCTGTCCTGAAAGTCAGCCTCGCCACGGACTGCTGGCCGCCCTTCAGCAGGGTCGCCATCCATGCCACGCTCCCTACCAAATTCACGAGCAGGTGGAGGCGGGAACAGGGAGGGGTCGCGTGGCTCGGCTCCCATCGGGCTGCGCTCAAGCCGCCCGACGGCATAGTGCCGGTCCCTGCAGGCTAGCAGGGCAGCCGATAGTGCAAGAGCTCAGACATGGACAATCTACCTGGGGCAGGCATAAGCAGCGAAAAGCATGTGCGTGTCCGGTGGCATATGTGCCCAATGCTGAACGATGCGCCTCGCACCTGGGTGGCTGCGGCTCGTGGAAGTCTGCCTCGTTGTCAGGGTGCGGCCGCCCATAGCGCCTGCCATGGTCACGTGGCGGCACCCCATGCCGCGTGTGCCGCGACGGCGGGCCGTCAAACCTGTGCAGCAGCACGCACAGCGGCAGCAGGTTGCTGCAGCAGGCACTGGGTACTGGCGGGAGCTGAAGCAGTGCATGACTGGCCATCTCTCGCAGCACCGCCGTTTAGACATAAAAGGCAGCCAGCCAGAGCAGCAATTGAGTGCAGCACACACGCACCTGTCATGCCGCTGCCAGTCACACGAGTCGTCCCGCCAGCCCGCATGCCCACCACCACCGTGGTATCCACCATGCTGCGGTGCCCCACCGTATCTGCTGTATGGTGGCTCGTCGCCATCGAAGCGGCGGTGCTCGCGTGGCGGCGACAAGTCGCCCCGGTGCCTGCCGTAAAAGGGTGGCGGGCCCCTGCTGTAGCCCCCACCATAGCCGTCCTCGTACAGCGGTGGGCGCCCGCCTTCCCGGCTGCGACCACGGTCAGTGCTCTGCGGCTGCCCCGCACCCGTGGGGCCCCTGCCTCTCTCATCCTCATCCCAGGCCCCCGACTCCGCGGCTGCCGCAGAGCTGCCAGGCCGGTGCGGATGGGCGGGGTGCTGGGGGACTGCGGCGGCCGCTGCCAGCGAGGGGAACTCACGCAAGTTGAGCCCCCGCGGCTGCTCCCAAGGTGCAGGCTGCGCCTGCATGGCTGGACTGCTTTGGCCTGCCCAGCTGGCTTTCTCCACCAGGGATGAGGAGGCCCCTGCACTGCTGTCTGCGTTGCGGTACGAGTCGTCGGCGGCGGTCGCGTCGCCGCCGCTGCTCCAGCCAGCGGCGCCGCCGCCCGAGGCGCTCGCCTCGTTGACCGCATTCTCCTGCAGTAAGGGGCCAGCAGTGGGCGTTGTGTGAGCGCTGGACTCGGGCTTGGGGCCCTGCCACCTGCTACAGCTCACTCACCTTTTTGAGCGAAGGCAGGTTCACTGGGCGCGGCACTGCTAGCTTGCTGCCGGCTTTTGTCCGCTGCAGAGGCGTGGGGAAGGGACATGAAGCGTGAGACGGCGGCAAGCCAGTCATGCACACTGGTGGAGGGGGCCTCTACCGGCCGTAGGACACACCTTGGGTGCCGCAGACCCCAGCGTCACGAAGCCGCTCTTCTGCAGCGTGGCCCCTCCATAGGCCTGCCGCTCTCTCTGTTGCTGCGCCATGCTCGGTGCCTGACGGCAGTCTGAGCTGCCCAGCTGCCAAAGGCAGCGCTCTTTAATGGCTGGAGTGGCTGGAGCGCCCAGCCTTGGCCCTGCACGGCAGCAGCACAGCACTACGCCGCACAACAGTGTGCAGCAAGTGCTCGCTCACGCAGATCCCTCATTTTGACGCAATCGAGTGTGCTACACTGCATGCTGCAGGCCCCAGGGCTCCTGACATGCAGTCCATTGCCGTCTCCGCCTGTGGGCCTGCAGTCCCCACCCAGCACAAGCCGGTTGGGCTGGGCCGCCAGCAGCGTGTGTCACAGCTGAGGGTGCAGGCAGTGGCGGCCCCGCAGTCCAGCCGCACGATGAAGGTCTACCAGGCCGACAACATGGACTTGCACCAGCTGCAGGAGGTCACAGCCAGACCACGGATCGATTTCTCTTCAATCCTGGGCACGGTGAGTTGGCTGGCAAGACCAGCCGCCGCACCCGCACCACCCACCGCCGCTGCTGCACTGCGGTTGCCCTGTTCCTGCAGCCGACCACCTGCGCCTGTCGCATTGATCATGGTGCAGGTAGCTCCTATTGTGGAAAACGTGCGCAGCAGGGGGGATGACGCGGTGATGGAGTACACTGCCAAGTTCGACCGGGTTCATCTCGACGCCGTTTGTGTGCCGATCAAGGTGCGTGTGTTTGGGGAGCAGGCTGTTTAGCAGGGGTGGCATTATTCAGCTGCACAAAGGTAGCAAGCTGGGCAGCCGCGCAAAGCTGACTGGCAGACCCTGCCTGTGTGGATTCAGCCACTGTCCTATCCGTGCTCTCACGACTCTGCTGACTGCCTGGATAACACGCCCCCCCCGTTGCAGGAGCTTCCTGCGCCGTCCCTGGATGCTGAGACTGCTGCTGCCTTTGACATGGCCTATGCCAACATCGCCACCTTCCATGAGGCGCAACGCTCGGCGCCACTGGAGGTTGAGACAATGCCTGGGGTGCGATGCCGGCGTGTATCGCGGCCCATTGGCGCTGTGGGGCTCTATGTGCCCGGCGGCACCGCCGTGCTGCCATCCAGCGCACTCATGCTCGCGGTACCGGCAGCCATTGCGGGCTGCCGCACCATTGTGCTGGCCACGCCACCGCGTCCTGATGGCACCATCACTCCTGAGGTGCTCTACTGCGCACGCAAGGCTGGCGTGACCCACATCCTCAAGGCGGGCGGCGCGCAGGCGGTGGCGGCAATGGCCTGGGGCACTGCCAGCTGCCCCAAGGTGGACAAGATCCTCGGTCCCGGCAACCAGTATGTGACAGCAGCCAAGATGCTGCTGCAGAACAGCGAGGCCATGGTGGCCATTGACATGCCGGCGGGGCCCAGCGAGGTGCTGGTCATCGCTGATGAGGCTGCAAACCCTATCCATGTTGCCATCGACCTGCTCTCTCAGGTGGGTGGGTGGGTGAGGGGTGTGCACTGGTAAACATGTCGGTGCACAACCATGTGGGGCATAGAGTTCGACACTGTGGCTGTGTCGCCGAGTTACCAAACCATGATTGCCCGTTTGGCAGCCCTCACCCTGCTCGTAGCCCTGCCTGCCTGCAGGCTGAGCATGGCCCTGACAGCCAGGCGGTGCTGGTGGCACTGCCGGGGGTAGATGTGGAGACAGTCCAGCACGAGGTTGAGCGGCAGTGTGAACTGTTGCCACGTGCGGAAACGACGCGGCAAGCGCTCACCCATAGCTGCATCGTGCAAGTGGGCAGCAAGGAGGAGGCGGCAGATTTCTCAAACAGGTATGGCTGCCCTGACAGTTGCTCTGGCAGCATTCCGGGGTCCAACACTGTGGTCTATTGCGGTTCTGGGCCCCTACCCCTCTGGGCCCCTGCAAAAACACACTGCGCAGGTATGCCCCCGAGCACCTGATTGTGAATGTGGAGGATGCGGAGTCATGGCTACCGCTACTGGACAACGCGGGCAGCGTGTTTCTGGGGCGCTACACGCCTGAGAGTGTGGGGGATTATGCCTCGGGTACAAACCATGTGCTGCCGACCTACGGTTACGCGCGTATGTACTCTGGCGTCTCCCTGGACTCATTTCAGAAGAAGATGACGGTACAGAGTCTGAGCCTAGAGGGGTTGCAGAAGCTGGGGCCGGCTGTGGCCAAAATGGCGGCGGTGGAGGGCCTAGATGCCCACCGCCGCGCCGTCACACTGCGCCTGGGACTGTCTAGTCCAGACAAGTTTGACTGATGGGTCCACTTGGGTCTTCGCTTTTCCTCGCACCACCCTCTCATTTTCTCTCTGCAGCTTGTCCAGGAAGGTTTTTTATTATCATTGCATCATCCCCACCATTGAATCAGAATGATTTTCTTGACCTCTATGCGTAGTGGGGGCTCGCCGCGGTGATGGCTCGCAGCTTTTGCTGATCATGGAGAAGACGACTGCGCCCAATGCGAGCGGGTGTGTTGCAGGGATCCTCATGATGTTTGCGAGAACCAAAAAAGTGTGCGCGGAGCCGGTTTTTTCGACCAACTCTGCTGCGGACGATGCACAGCGCAGCACATGAGCGCAAGTGTATCTCGTTTCCAGACAATCTTACAAACCAACTTGGGTCGTGCTGTTCACAAACTCAGCTCAGGTTGTGCTGCTGCTGCTGGCCCTGCGCTGGCTGCCGCTCCAGTGTATTGTAGTTAAGCAGCTTCTCAATCAGATCCACGTGCGTCTGCAAGTGCAGTGGGGAGTTGAGTGTGGGGCGCAGCGCCCCAGACCCGTGCCCCGGGATCAGCACCCTCGGCTGCAGGTGCTGCATCAGGACGACCAACCGTGCCCCTCACCATGACCATTCGTCGACAGCAGTAGCGGTTCAAGCCCAGCGCGTCCATTGCATCCCTGAATTGCGCGGGGGGTGCACACAGCAAGCTACGTTGGTGCGGCAGGGGCGCGCACGGCTTTTCCAGCGCAGCGCCCCACTTACCCTTCTGAATACTCCGCCTGCAGCAAGTCTAGGTATGTCTCCCACTTGTTTCCGATCACTTTACCACATGTAAAGCACCTGCAAGTGGCAGTGGACAGAGCAGGGGTGACTCTGCTGCCGCCCCGCTAGTCGCAACCAGCACGCCAACTTGTCCCGGCCCCCACCAGCGGGCTGCCGCGCCGCGGCTGCCGGCGCCTGGCCTGCAGGCTCCCCTGCAAACAAGGCGCCACCGTGAGATGGGCATGCCAGCCGACGCGCACCGCACGGGGATGATCATGGCAGTGCATGTGCAGATGGTGATGGTGGCGAGAAGCGGGCGCACGGCGTAGTGGCCGGCGCAAAACTTGGATGTACCCTCTCTGTACTGGCGGCGGAACCTATTTGAACGCTTGAACACAGACGCCCTGCAGACTCCATCAGCGATCCTCCCCAGCAGGCCGTGGCTCGTGTGGGCAGCACCGATGGAGGCCGAGCTGCAGAAATGGCTGGGCTACAAAGGCACTGACTATAGAGACCTGGACGCTGCGGTGCTTGCGGAGCTCGCCTTGATCGCGCAGCAGCATGGCAAGGGTGCCAAGGAGGCGGCGGCGGCCCTTGACAAGTTCCTGTTGGTGCACCGACTTGGGGGCGGGTAGGTGGGGGCAGCGGGCAGTGCAACCCTGATCGATTGATCGATTGACTGATCCCTCCAGCCACAACATGGCATGGACCTGGGGGTGTCTCGACATGCAATCGGTCTCTCCCACGCTGGCTTGCACAGCGGCTCTGTGACGGTCGAAGACGTGGCTGCCTTCCGTGACAAGTGTCCCTGGCGTAACAAGCCGCAGCCACTAGGCACCGCCCGCGCCAGCAATCTCTTCAACCGCGTCAGCCTGGATGAGTGAGTGCCTGCAGCCCGCCGCCTCTGGCAGAGGCCAGACCCGGCCTGGCTGTGGCAGCACCAGTTCATGCAGGGCGTTCTTCGTCCCGGCACTCTGCCTCATCTGCTGGTGCCCCGCCTGTTGCCCATGCAACCCTGGCCCCCCAAAACCACCCGCCCCTGCAGCATGGCGCCGACGGATCTGGACCCCAGCGCGGGCAGCGAGAACGCCGACATGTCGGCCGCCGGGGCGCAGCAGCCCAGCCAGCGCATCACGCCGTACATGAGCAAGGCACGCCCCGCCTCCACCACCCAGCACCACACCCCCGCCAGCGGCGGCAAGTTTGCAGAGCGGCAGGATGCAGGCAGCGTGCTGACTAGCCTCAACACGCACTTGGAGGTGCCAGCTGAGGGCGAGGCGATGGAGGTGGATGGGCCCCTTGGGGCAGTGGCACTGCAGCGCTGCGCGGTGGAAGTCCTGGGCAATCCGCTGGCGGCAGGCGTCAAGTACATGGTGGACCGGCTGGAAGACAAGGTGGGGGCGGTGCACACACGCGGGCAGAAGGAGAGGAGTGGATAGTCTACTGACTGCCTGGTAGGGGATCGCTGCATGCCACCCATCCGCCGCCTCGCCCTGGCTGCAGGTGGCCTACCTAGAGCGCCGCATCTTGGCGGCCGAGGCGGCAGCTGAGAAGGCGCTGGAATGTGAGGCGCACCCCACCGCAATTGCGGCGCAGCACATGACGCTGTTTGTGGGGCGGGTTTGCTGCGACACCGAGGGCGGCAGGCTGAATGCACAGTCGCTGCTGCTGGAGGGCAGCCAGAAGACGAGCCAGGGTGCCCGCGCAAGGCTGGATGTCAGCCACTGCCCGACCAATCGCCTCTTCCCTGGCCAGGTGGTGGCCATGCTGGGCACCAACCCCAGCGGCCACTGCATCGTGGCAAGCCAGCTACTGCCGGGTGCGGCTGCAGCACCACTGCCATGCACCAGCCTGGAGCAGCTGGCCACCTATGCGACGGCCACGGGGGCGCGTGGGGTGTTGGTGGTGGCGGCAGCAGGGCCGTTCACCTCGAGCGAGGACCTGGAATATGCGCCGCTGGGCGCACTGCTGGACTACTGCGCCGGCGCAAAGCCCGACGTCCTGCTGCTGGTGGGCCCTTTTGTGGATGAGGAGCACCCGCTGGTGCGGGGCGGGCTGTTGGAGGAGACGTTTGATGACATCTATGCCTCACGGGTGGGTGCCCAAGCGGTTAGGGGCAGGGCGGTAGGTAGATTTAATGGGAGGTGCTGAGCCCGCAGCTGCCATCAGTTTGGACTGTTCAGGGATGGCAGAGGTCATTGCGTGCCTGCTTCGCTTGGCTGCCTCCTACACGCCTGCCTACCGCCCTCTGTCGTGCAGGTGCTGGGCCAGATCAGCCGGTTCAGCAAGCGGGTGGGCGGATGCACGCAGGTGCTGCTGGTGCCATCGACCCGGGATGTGCATCACCACCCGGTGCTGCCACAGCCGCCGCTAGATGAGCTTCAGGCGGCAGCGCAGAGCGCCACCGCACTGGCCAACCCTGTTACGCTGCGCTGCAACGAGGCAGTGGTCGGCGTTGGGGCCGCCGACTGGCTGATGGCGTGTATCAGGGAGGAAATGCCGCTCAGTGTGGCAGCAAATGAGCGCCTGACAGCGCTGGCAGCACATCTGCCGGCCCAGAGCAGCTACTTCCCAATCTTCCCACCACCACTGGGCACGCCGCTGGACTGCAGCAAGGCAGGGGCGGCGCTGGACATGCCCTATGCCCCAGACCTGCTGCTGCTGCCCTCCGACCTCGCGCCCTTTGCCAAGCTCTGCCCCCTGCACCAACTGGATCGCGCCGCGGCATCGGCAGCGCAGGCAGCGCTTGCGGCAGCCTCGGGCAACGCAGAGACGGCTGCAGCAGCAGCAACAGCACCCCAAAGTAGAGCTGTGTGCATCAATCCTGGGCGGCTGACCAAGGGAGCATCAGGTGCCGAGGCCTGCCCTGCTGCTTGCCTTCCCAGTTTGCTGCCCGTCGTAGCTGTGTTGCTGCTGGCAATTCCACTCTGGCCGGCTAATGCACCCATGCAGGCGGCACCTTTGCCCACATCCATATTTTGCCGTTGCCCAAGGCGCTGGATGTTGCCAGGGGGGCACTGCTGGAGACCAATGCACCTGTGCTGCACCAGCTGGACGAGCGGTGCCGCGTCGAGATCAAGCGCATTTAAGGACTGGTGCCAGTGCTTGTGCTGCAACTGCTCTCAGCTGCCACATTCCCCAAGCCTCTTGCATAGACTGCATTTGACTGGGTGCCATCAGGCAATCTTGGCATGAAACTGAACAGCTCAGATGATGTTGCCTGAGCAAGGAAGAAGGAGCAGCACATGGCAGGTGTTGAGAGGCATGCACTGAAATAAAACAACAAAAGGGTTGAAATAAGAAGCAGCTTCACGAGAAAACTGGGGCCTTTGATGTCCCTTTAAAAGCAGCAAATCATGAGGAGATGACGGGGTGGCAGCAAAGTTGTCAGTAACCAAACCGACTTCAAACCGTGTCGCGAGCACGATGGCCCGCTGCTGCAATGCAGCCGCTACCGTTTTGAGGGTGGCAGCCCCGGTGCCCGCTGCTGCTTGCCGCCACTGTTGCCTGCACGGCCTTGAGCGCCGCTCGCTGCTCCGCCGCGGCCTTCAATGGCCTCGATTTCAAAGTCTCCAGAAGGAAACGAGGCACGCACCAGCTCAGCAACCACCGCACTCACACCTGCGGTGCTGTGCAGGCGTGCGTCCTTGGCAGCCGGCGGCAGCAGCCTGCTGGCCCTGATGCGGAGGGAGCGGCGCTGGTCATCGCTAGCGGCCACCCACTCCATTCGCCCGCTCGCCACTAGCTCCACGCGTGGGCCTGGCAACCGGTGTGACACAGCCACCCGCGCCGCCTCCTGCTCCGCACTGGCAAATGCCTGCTGCTCCGTGGCGCCATTGCGCCCTCGCACCAGCAGCTTCTGGCGCTGCGAGCGCTGCTCGCTGAGCCGGACTAGCACAAAAGAAAAGGATGACCAGCTGTCAAGCTGCACTGCCGGCAGGTGCTGCGCCACCCACACATCGCCGCTGCTGGCGGCCTCCCACCTTCATGGCAGGCAGGGCAAGTAGCAAGTCAGTGGGTGACAATCGGCACCAGCACCAATTGTTGAAGCACCCTGCCATGGCCTCACCTTTCAGAGACTTTCCGCTCAATCTCCTGCTGCTGGCGTCGCAAATGCTGCGCCTTGCGGGCAACTGACACGATCTGGGTAGTGGCAGCCACAGCCTCCTCTCGCAGAGGGCTCTGTGGCAACGAGCAGGGGCAGGCAATACAGGGCGCTGCAGATTGGAAGGGGCGGTTCATCTTGTGCCGCAAGACAGCGTGTGGGTGGGTGGGTGCAAGGACGCAGGCCCCGTCCCACACACCCATGCCGCTGTTGCCGGGCTCACCTCCTTGATGCTTCCATCAAGCAGCACGCACTGGCTGAGGCCAGGGGACATGAGGTTGAGGGATTGGTCCAGGCTCTGGTCCACGCTCATGCCGCTGCCCCCCACCATGCTGCTGTTGTGCAAACTCAGCGTGCGCCCAATTTGCATGTTAAGGCCGCCGTCCACGGTATCCATGAGGCGCAGCGCTGCCGTCCACTCCTCCTCGTCCTCCCCTTCTGCCAGCCCGCCATTTGCGCCAGGCGGCGCCGGCGGCTCAAACTGCTTCATCTGCTCTGCCTGCCACTTCCGGGTGAACCGCCACCTGCAGCGCGACGGAAACACATAGACGGTTGTGAGTACATTTGCAAGGAAAAGGGAGGCTGGATTGCTACAAGACTGGCTAAGCCCCAGTCCCGCACCTCCAGGCCGCATTCATCTCCTGGTCCAGCGATGTCTCCCCCGCCTGCATGAGCTGCTGCACCGCCGTGGGCGCTGGCATAGCGGGGGGCGAGCTGCCTCCTGCCTGCACCTGGGATGGCTCGCCATGCTCTGCAGCTGCGCCGTCAGGCGGCCGAAGCACTTCCCCGCCGTGCGGCCGCTGCTCCTGCTGCTGCTCCTGCTGCTGTCGAAAGTGATCGGCAAACACCCTTTGCCGCCCTGCCCAGGTGCCAAGGGCCCCATTCTCATCCTCCTGCACCGCGCCATTTTGATGTCTGGCTGAGTGCGGTGCCGGGGGTGCTTGGCGCCGGTTGGATGGGGTGCGCCGCCAGTGCTGGTGCCCGCCGCCGGCCGCTCCCTCTGCCTGCTCATTGCCGGCGGAATCGCTCAGACTGCCTGAAGACCCCCGCTTGGTGTGGTGTCGGGGCAGGGATGGCTCCACCCCAGGGTCATGGTTTGCTGGTTCCCCAAACCTGCAGAAAGCGGTGGGGAGCGACTCGGCGGGGGGGCCATGGGCCCGCCGCTGCCAACTGGGGGGCTGCAGCTGCTTGGCTCCACGCCATGTGCCTGGGACCGGCCTTCCTGAACCAGTCGCGAGCGGAATACACACGCTGTGGACGGCCTCCGACCAGGCCTCCGGGCCTACAATGGGCATACACGCTCACCATCTCCCTTCCATAAACCAGACCAGGTCGACCGCTGTCATGAATGCAGCGCACAACAACCGCCTTCGACTCTCAAGTTAGCCGCATGACTGGAACGTCGTGGACTTGCAGCTCGTGCCAACGCTACAACTGTGTAAGAAGCGAATAGCGAAGTGAGATGAGCGAGACAAAGGTCATGTGGGCCGAGGGAGCCACCGGCCATGTGCCGCCAAGCTGGCGGTGACCTCTGACCCGCCGAGAGGGTGCAGTTGCACTGGAGATTTCCAGTTCGTCCTCTGAGTGGCCCCTGGAAATGGCACCAGGGAATTTACAAGGACCAGAGCTGCAGCTTGCAGGGGCTGTCCTCATCAATCTGTACCCAACAGTTGGTCAGGCTGGTATGCAGACGGTAGCCCCACGCAGTCAGCGGCTCTGCCAGCCGCTGCATGAGCGGCGAATAGCCCACCAGCAGGCGTGGCCGCTGCGAGCGGGGCCTGGGCCCCAGCACATTGCCCAGGTAAGCGACAGGATCCTGCTCAAAGCACTGGCGCTGGGACAGCGGAGCACTAGATGGGGTGTGAGGGCAGGTCTGGGGCAGGGCCAGCCACGCCTCCGAGTGTTGGTTCAACCAGGCGGTCGCTGCGGCGTGCTGGGGCGGGGAGCAGTCTAGGAACCGCATAGGAACAGGACAGTGCAAGTGGGTGTAGTAGGGCGTGGCGTGGCAAGGTGTGAGGAAGAGCGTGCTGGCACCAGAGGGGCTGCCTGCAGCATTTGCCTCATGCCGAATCAACTGCATGATGCCTATCTGCGCTCTGCAGGGATGCATGCAGCATTGTGAGGAAACATGGCTGGACAAAGCGCCCGAATGAGCATGACGGGCGAAGACGTGCTGGATCTCTCCTCCATATGCCTGCTCTCACCGTTGATGCACCAGCATGAAGTAAGCAGCCATGGGAAGCTGCAGGAAGAGGCATGCTGCTGCGCCCCAGCGCCACAACTTGTTGGGCTGCCGGCTGTTCGACTGCTTGCTGTCCAGCACCTGGGAGGATTTAACCATTACTGGCTGCCTGCCAGTGCTGCTCCTGCTTCCAAGCAGGCGTGCTGCCGCTAGGCCGCAGTAGGGCATGAGCAGCTGTAGCGCTGGCAGCAGGAAGCGGAACTCCTTGTGTGCTGGCAAGCTGTATGTTGTCAGGGACCACGCTGCCAGCCCAGCCAGCCGCAGATGCCTGCACAGGTGGCAGAGGCGCAAGCCCGGCTCTGATGCACTGCACGAGTAGCTAGCATGGTGCCATCATGCATGCACTCTGTCTAGCGCTAGCAGCTGCTTGAAGGGCATGGCAGCCTCGTTGACGCGTGCACCTGCCGCTGTGTCTGGCCATCAGAAGGCCTGCTGCCATCAACGGCAGCAGCGATGCCGCTACCACTGGTAGGCCTTGACTGAGGTTCCAGTGCCAGGCGTGCCGCCCATACTGCGCCGAGGCCCCTGCCAGCAGGTTAAAGCGCAAAAACTCCCAGGGCACAGCCACCCAGCTGCGGTGCAGAGGAAAGGGGCATGCGGCAGAAGTGCATGTGACGCAAGGCTGGTCTAGGGTGGCTGGTGGTGTCAGCCACCGCACCATCCTATCCCACCAATCCAGCTCACCGCCCATATCCTGTCCGGTCTATCAATGCTGCGGCGCCAAGCAGGCCGCCGCCCACTGTGGCAGCATTTAGCAGCAGTGGTCCCAGGCCACGGTGTCGATGCCAAAGCAGCTCCAGCGCGCATGGCAGCGCCCAGAAAAGAGCGCTAGATGGCCGGCAGACAACGCTGAGGGCGGCGCAAGCTATCCAGGCACGCTGATGGCAGTGCGGCATGCCATCCCTTCGCCCAGGCTGTCGTTGGCCCCGCCTACTGCCGCCATCACACAGGACCCTGGTGCTGCGACTCGTGTGCCTAGTGTTGTTGTCCCGGCTGAGCAACCAGTGGTATGTGCCGGCGGCAACGGCCAGCGCCTCCATGCTGTTGGAGTACGTGCGCACCAGGCAGTAGCCGTTGAACCAGCTGGCCAGCTGGCATGCAAGGCACCACCTGCACAGTCGCAGCGGGAATGGAGATGATGCAGCATGGGAGGCATGTGCTAGGGCAGACCGAACAGCAAGCCAACCCCAGATGATGCACCCCAGCCAGCCAAGCCAGACCTGCCGATGTGCTGGCCCAGCTCCAGGGCGGCAAGCCGCGCCACATACATATCGGTGGCGGCAGCACACCAGGCTTGCAGCAGCAGGGGCGCCCTTGTCACCGCCCAGGCGCTGTCCATGCGCAGCGCTTTGAGCAGGGAGTACACTGTGGCAAAGAGCAGGGGGTGCACATAGCTGCGTAGTCCGGCTGCCCACTCCCAGGTCAGGTGGCCATACCTGCGGCAGTGCATGCAAACAGTGCAAGAGCCGAGTTGAGGCTATTGCATTAAGAATGCAACAACCTGTGCAGGAGGCAGCTGGTAGCAGCAGGGCGCAATCTGGGACGTACCCAAACACCAGGCGGTGTGCAACCTCGATGCTCTGCCAAAACTCGTCTGGCGCAAAGGCAGTACGAATGGCCAGGGCCTGGGTCACCCGCACCACCAGCGCAGCCACCAACACCACCCGCATGCCTGCACCGCGGCGCAAGGCGGTGGCCGGGTGGGCGGCGGCGGGTGCAGATGGGCGGTTGCAAATTGCAGCTGGCGGGCGGGCGGCATGTTGCCTAGGCGCACGACGGCTACCTGGGCTTCTGGGACGCAAACACAGCACCGATCAGTTTCCAAAAGAGGAAGAGTAATGGGGGCGAGGCAAAAATTGGGCCACGGCGTTCCAGTGCAGCGTAACTGTTCTCTCCCAAAAGCTCTGCCACCACAGGGCGTGAACAGTTTCAGGTGTCCTGCCACATTTGTACTGCTATATCGCACGTCGGAAAAGATGCAACGCTGCACATGCACTTGTTGCCAGCACCGACAGATGGGCCGTTCACGCAGCAGGGAGAGGAGAAGAGGCAGAAGTAGGAGCGGCGAGGGACGTGAACGGCGGCGGTGAGGTTGCACTCCACAGTGTTTGCTCCATCCAGGCGAACTCGTGATGATTGATTTCCTGCAGAACAGCAACATTGTCTTTTGGAGCGAGGAGGCCCATCTAACACATGTGTTATTGCGAGCTTGCGCAGGGAGAGGGACCGATCAAGAGATTTACCTCGAGAAAGATACCGCAGGCGACGCAGCAGAAGCACGGGCAGGAGCAGGAGCAGGGAGCATGGCGGCCGCTCGGGGTCGGCCAGCCCTCCACGCGGGCGGAGCTCCAGCCCGCCTCCAGCAGACAAGCGCCGCAGTGCCTCACCACCTTGCAGCCCCTCGCAAGATGCCAAGGCAGTTGCACGAGCGGAGATGGAGGCCAAGGCCAGGGCCCTGCGCGACGAGGAACGCCGCAAGTGAGCGGGTGCCGAACTGCTGCGTCAGTTCAGGCTTGCCAGGGAACTCGTAGCAAGTTGCATCTACATGGATCACACATGTGCAGCAGCAGAGTGCCATGAATTCTTCTGCTGCATGCTGATCAGGTCCCCCTGTGCGGGCTGGCTGTACTGCGTGCAGGAAGCTGGCTGAGCTGGAGGCCCAGCTGATTGAGGCAGAAACAGCGGCACGTGTGCAAGCCTGGGTGGAGAGCAAAGTGGCAGAGGCGCTGGCCAGCGAGGTGGTGCAACAGACGTTGCAGCAGCAGCTGGAAGAAAAGCGCAAGCTCCTGGAGCAGCAGGTCTGCAGCTGGCTGCTGCCCGCCTGGGTCACCACATGGCAGGCACCTGCACAAAGCCTCACTCCTGCTGCTGCGTCGCGCTGTGAGCAGGTGAATGAGGAGCTGGAGCGGGAACGGCAGGTGGCCGAGGAGGCAGAGCGGCGGCGGCGCGAGGCCATAGAGCAGCAGAAGCTGGAGCTGCGCAAGCTAGAGGAGCAGCGGCAACACATGGAGGAGGCGGTCAAGGCAAAGCAGGAGCAAGAGGAACAGGCGGAGGCGCAGCGGCGGTTTCAAGAGCTGCAGGTGCTGTGAGGATCTGCCCCTTCCCTTGCAGTCCGCCTATGCTTGTGGGGCCGCCTCTCATTGCTGCACATGTGATGACTGTGCATCTGGGGTGCAGGCAAAGATGCGTGAGGCCGAGGAGCGGCGGCGGCAGGAATCGGCAGCGGAGAAGGAAAGGCGACAGGCCAAAACCAATGCAGCAGCCAGTCGACCCAGGCTGGCATTCAAACTGGGCTGACTCGCCGGCTGACACAAACAGTGTAAATTCATGTGCGATGTGCCTTCAGGTGATCAGCAAGGCGGGGTGGCGGTGGTTGTGCAACCTGCACAGCGCTGCATGCAATGCTAGCCCGTGCCAAGGGGGCTGAGTGATGGCACCGCTGAGGGTGGCGCGGTGGCATGATGGTGACTCTGTGCCTCAGCCACACTCACTTGAGGACTGAAGGCACCTGTGGTGCCGCCACGCTGTGCTGTGCTGGGGCCCGCTGTGGATGGCCGCGCAAAGGCATTTGGTCCTCAAATTTTGTGCTCGCGCGAGACAGGGGCAGAGTTTAACGGTGCTCCCCCGTGTTATGGAAAAACGCCCAGCACTAGCAGGGTGGCTCCTTGCGGCCCTGTTGCTGCGCTTGGCCCTGTCGCTCCACAGCTACTCTGGTGAGCTTGTGGCGCGAGGCGAGTTGCGATGCCGCTTGAGAGCAGGCGCCCCACCCTGCCGCCAGCCGTTGCTCCCCGCTGCCCGCAGGGATGCACACACCACCGCGCTATGGGGACTACGAGGCACAGCGGCACTGGATGGAGATCACAGTCAACCTGCCAATGGAAGAATGGTAGGAACCCACCTACACTGTGCGTGCCCGCTCCGTGGCCCCAGCGCCCACCGCCCTAGCGTGGGTGCTTGCAGGTATCGCAACTCTTCCCTGAACGACCTGAGCTACTGGGGCCTGGACTACCCACCACTCTCAGCCTACCAGGTCAGGGAGATGCAGGCCAGTGGCAGCACGGCGCCTAGGTGGGAAAAGGGCAGCAGCTTTGGCTCAATGGCTCCTGTGCCCTCGCCGCAGAGCTGGTTGTGCGGCAAGTATGTGCAGCTGTTTGAACCGGAAGTAGTGGAGCTTGGAACCTCACGTGGCTACGAGTCACCCTCCAGCAAGAGGCTGCTCCGCTGGACGGTGATGGCGGCAGACGCCCTGGTAGCTCTGCCCGCAGCTCTGGCGGCTGCAAACACTTTTGGTGGCAGCAGCAGCGGCAGCGGTAGGCAGCGCCTGTCGCTGCTGGTGGCCATGCTGTTCAGCCCAGCACTTGTGCTCATTGATCACGGCCACTTTCAGTACAACTGCATCGGATTGGGGTTGGCAGCAGGCAGCGCAGCGGCAGCAGTTTCTGGCCGCCACGTGCTGGCAGCGGTGGTCTTCAGCCTGTCGCTGAACCACAAGCAGATGGGGCTTTACTACGCTCCTGCCTTCTTTGCCTACCTGCTGGGCAAATGCCTGCAAAGACCTACGCCGGCAAGCAAGGTGAGGTGCATGGGCTGGCTGTATTGGTCGCAGCTGTTGGTGTCTGTGTACCTGTGCACTTGCTTCACAAGCGGCTGCAGCTGCCTGCATTCCTCCACTGCTGTCATTGTCTTCACTGGTGCGCAGGTGGGCGGCGTGGCGGCGCTGGGCGTCGCAGTGCTGGCCACGTTTGGCATGGTGTGGGCACCCTGGCTGCGCTCGCCAGTGCAGAATGCTTGGCTAGGCGTGGTGTACCGTGTGTTCCCCACCCAGCGCGGGCTGTACGAGGACTATGTGGCCAACTGGTGGTGCGCCTCCTCTCGCCTCATCAAGTGGGTCCGCCTGCTCACCCAGCCCCGCCTGGTACAGCTGTGCGGCGGCACCACGCTGGTGGCGGCAGCACCGGCCATGGCTGCACAGGTGATGCGCCCCACCCCACGCGGCTTCCTGCTCTGCCTGGCCAACAGCGCAATGGCGTTTTTCCTCTTCTCATACCAGGTGAGGGTGCAGTACCATGGGAGCAAACGGCGTGGGTGTTGGGGGACTGTCTGGGCAATGGTTGGCTTGATTTCAAGACAGGCGCAGCGTCAGGCTTCACAGCTTGGTGCCCAGTTGGCTTGCCGGCCCCGAGGTGCTCCCCTCCTCTCTTCTGCTTCCCCAGGTTCACGAAAAGAGCATCCTGCTGCCACTGCTTCCCCTGAGCCTGCTGTTGGGTTCAGAGCACCCGCAGCTGCTGTGCTGGGTCAATCTAGTCGCCACCTTCAGCATGGCGCCATTGCTGAAGAAAGACGGGCTCACCTTGGCGGCCGTGGGCGCCACCGCATTCTGCCATGCAGCCATTCAGCTGGCCAGCGTCGCAGGGCTGGCAGGCACGGGGGAGAAGCAGCGGGCAAGCAGTACCTTGCTGAAGGCATGGCAGCGGCGCCTTTTTCGGCTGTCGTTGGCAGGCTGCGTCGCCATCCTGGCAGCGTCTGCCGTGCTGCCGCCTCCCTCCCGCCTCCCCTTCCTATACGATGCACTCATCGTCACGTGGAGCTTCCTGCACTTTGCCGCCCTCTTTGGCTACACGTACATGCTGCAGCTCCAGGAGTACCGTCGCGCTGCCGGCAGCAAGGTTAAACAGTTGTGAAACAGGCTGTAACTGCACTTCATGCATGGCAGATTGGAGAGCCAGTGCGGTTGACAGAGTGCCACACTGCAGTACCTGAATGTAGTAGATTTACAATAGAATTACAGCATGTTGTTACTTGAGCAGCTTGGCCAGCTCGGCGTCCAGCTGGGGCAGGATCTGGAACAGGTCCCCCACCAGCCCGTAATCGGCCAGCTGGAACATGGGGGCGTCGGCATCAGAGTTGATGGCCACAATGACCTGCACGTGAGAACAGCAGCGGCGGGAAGTCCCAGTGCCTGATCAAGCGCAATAGAAAGTGGCCGAGGATGTGTGTTGGACTGCACCATTGAAAGGCAGCCAGCAGGCAGGCCTGCAGGATTGGGTCGTAAATGTGGCGGCATTGCATCAGGAGCTGGGCACGGACCTTGCTGGATGACATGCCTGCCACATGCTGTATGGCGCCACTAATGCCAACTGCAGAGAGGCAGGGTAGAAGGTTTTGTTCACAGAATATGATTCAGTATCATATCGCCCTCTGCTCCCAGCTCTACAACAGCTCAGCGGCCAGTCTGGCTCACTTGCGATGTATAGGTCTGGCGCTACAACCTTGCCAGTCTGTCCAACCTGCGTCACCGCAGCAATCAAAAATCAAACACAACAAAAGACAAGGGATGGCCAGACAGGGCAGTCTCACCAATGGTGAGGGCAGGCAGCATCCTTAAGTGCCGGCTTCTGCTGCCGCCAGCACCACCTGCCTGGAGGTCATTGGGTGCGTAGCCGGCATCCACCGCCGCGCGGGAGGCCCCCACTGCTGCCCCCAGCTTGTCTGCTAGCGGGTCCAGGTAGGTGTGGAAATTCTCTGCGCTCTTGAGTGCCCGGCCGCCGCTGATCACCACCCGCGCCTGCCCAAGCTCCGGACGGTCTGTGGACAGGCGCAACAGGAGGAAATTAAGCGGGTAGCAAGAGGGACACGGGTGGTGGTGGGGACATTGCTGATCAGCGATGGAGCTTTGTAATGCAGCAAAGAAAGGTGAGGTCAGGCCTGAAAACCACCGAGGCACACGTCGCAGCGAGGATCCTCACCTGACTTGCGCACGTCTTCCGCGACCCACTCCGACACACCCGCTGCGTCCCGGGCTGCCTGCAGCTCCTCTGCGCTGACGGGCTGCGCAGACGCGTTGCCGCCTTGGGCCGTTGCCGCCGCAAAGGCGGTGGGGCGCACTGTCAACATGCGTGGCCCCTCGCCCAGCACTTTCACGGTGGCCAGCGCATTGCCGGCGTAGATGGGGCGCACGAAGGTGGAGCTATCCTTCACCTCAGCGACATCAGCCACTGCCTGCAGCGGGCGAGCAGAGGGTGGAGCAGCTGCAGGTGCCATGCAGCTCCAGGCGGCCAGCAGCAAGTTCATGGAGTCATGTGCAGATTGGCACCCCTCCCTGTGATGCCTGCCGCACCTGCACATCCAACAGTGCTGCTGCCCGCGGCAGCACATTGCGGCCGAAAGTGCTGGAGGGGGCCAGCACGTGGGTGTACTTGCGGCTGCATGGGGAGGGGGGGCACAAGATATGGCTGATGGCACTATTCCGCGAGACAAAAAATGCACACATCGAATGGTCAAATCTGGTTGCTCCAAGACTGGCTGCCCGTCACTCCTGCTCCCATCCCCCCACCCACTCTTACTTGCTCTGGACCACCTGCAGGAGGGCTGCTACTGGCTCTGCCAGGCTGCGCGCCAGGCAGGGGTCCTGTGCAGTCAGCACGCCCGCCACGCCATCAGCCTTGCTGGCTGCCTCAGCCGCGGAGGTGGTGCTTTCCCCCGCCACCAGCACCGTGACAGGCCCCCCCAGCTGTTTGGCTGCCGTCAGTGCATGCAACGTGTTGGGCTGCAGCACGCCATCCTTATGCTCTGCCAGAACCAGCGTGCTGAGCTGCAGGGGAGGGGCAGAGTGTGTCGTGGGGGAGAGTCTGGCCGAGGCAAGCTTCCAGGGAGAGAGTTATGCTTCCCAAGGCGTGGAAATGACAGCACACAAGCTGCACTCCTCTCACCGATCGCAGCCCAATAGTGGCAACCGCGTTCGCCGCCCGCCTAGCGGGCTTAAGAAGGGCCATGGCGGCGGGCGCCACCGCCAGCACGGAGGGGCAGGCAGCTTTCGGAAGGAGTGCGCTCCGATCGAGCGTCGAGTTGGGCGTTTCTCAGCCCTGCAGGCAGCCGCTGCACGCAGGTCACCGCAAGGCTCGCGGGTGTCCCCGCCTCCCTGTCTTCCGGACCCCAGGAACCCTCGAAGGAACGCCCGGGAGGCAGTAGATCGTCTTGGCGAATTACCGCGCCGCCCAAGCATGGTTAGCGCATCCACGGTGGCTGAGAAAGCAAATTTCAATTTTTTGGTTCTGGGGAACTGTTTGGATGTCGCCAACTTCCGCATCGATCTGCTAAGCTTGCACAGGCCGCCTCCCCCCCCCCGCCCCCCACCC